GGGGGGGGGGGGGTCCACGATGATCTCAAGCTTTATAAATATGAGCTTGCGTCTCCTTCTGGGAGGGAAGCTGCACGTAAGAAAGAAGGTAAGTGCACCGGGTAGCATTACTGTGAGACATTGACTTACGGGTTATACTGCAGCAACACTCATCCATATAACAACAAGCTACCTATATCAAGACTTCATCACCAATACCACTTCGATTCATCACTACTCAATCAACCTGATATCATATCGATTCACTCTTCATCATGGATCGTCAACCAGCCGCCATATCCACCATGGACCACACCTCTCCTCCATCCGAAGGTACGCAAGCACAACACAAACTCGTCATCCTGCCCAAGCTGACGTTCAAATCTGCAGCTCCCGTTTCCCCATCCGCTCAAGCTGGTGCCGACCGCTGCATGCGCCACACGAATAGCTGGACACCATCGTTCCAGCGCCGACAAAGCTGGAGTCAGGAGGAACGAAAGCATGAGATGCACATGGACAAAATTGAGCAGGTCAGCACAGGACCTGGATTCACAGAGAGGGAGGGCTCCTAAGCAGTCACTGTGACTTGCGTGGTATTATTGGCATGGAGATTCAACGACAACAAAATGAGAACCGGTAAGGGTGAAAATTGTATACTACAGGGCATCTCAAGAATGGATTAAAGGACCGAAATAACCAACACGATTGTATTCTTAGCTACCTAATGAAAAGAAAATGATATGCCGAGGTATCTTGACTCCGAAGCTCCATGTTATGTCATGCGACCTCGCATGATCGATGCACCCCTCGTAAAGCCCAAAGAGAAAGTAAAAGAATTTAAATGAACGCTTGAGGACGGCCTTGCACCCTGGATTTCCATATTCGCTGCCTTGAACTCCAAAACCATTTACTCCTGTGTCATGTCAACGATTCATCCAGACGCTCAGCTGTAGTTGCTACAGCACTGTTGATAACCATTTGGAAGTGGCGGTCTCGCGGGCACCTTCGTAGAAATCCTCGTCCTCATCCTCATCATCGGAATAATAATCATTCTCGTCCTCTTCCTCGTACTCGCTCTCCTCATCGTCTTCATCGTCATTAGTATCATCGTCAGGAACCTAGACCGGTCGAGTCTGCTTGGTCTTAAAATTCTGGCCCCTCGTACTTAAGTATTCCACCAGCACGGTTGTGGCCAAGGCTCCTCCGGCAACTCCAACAGTGCCCATAAGAACTTTGCGACCCAGTCCTCTTTTCTTCGTCTTGGCTTCTCGATGGGAGCCAGAGGTCTCTCCATCTGTGGTAGGGAAAACGCCACCTCGACGGACCTTCTCATCAAAAGAGTCCGAGCCACTATTCGCTGTTACCTCAGAAGCTGGTCGCGTCTGACGAAAGATCATGATCTGGCGGCTGCCAGAGACGACTTCATAGCCTTGAGCCTGGAGTGATTTGAGATAGGGGAGGAATTTGGCAGGCTCTGCCAATTTCATAAGTGCTGCAGGAAGGGACGTTGGTTTTTCATTCACATCAGTATTCGAGGTACTTTGCGCCACGCTCATCGTCTTCGAATTTGGGTCGTAAGCGAGTATTTTGTAACAGCTGGCGATGGGCGTCTCAGATGTCTCAGGTGGCTCTGACTTATAGTGTTTCTCCCAGACTGGAACGGTTGAGCAACCACATTCTTCCGAGTAGCTTGTCTGCAATCCTTGCGGCTCATGCGAATAAGAATCCCTGTACACCTTGCCCGAGTAGCGATTCAGTGCTGGTTGAAGCCTTGTTCCTTCGACAGGGAAACTTTCGTCCATAGATCCAGGTTCTTCGTTGTCCTCAACAGCAAATGCAGCCTGCTCCTGAGATGATGGTTTTCCAGTACCGTTTTTTGGCAGTAGTGTTGAATGAGATGATGAGTTATCCTTGCTCCAAGACGCCGTAAATTCCTCTGGGAAGTCTCGAGCATAGTTGCCGGTCAACCTCCCATCAGCTTCGGAAACGCTGTTGCCAGAAGAGTCGTTCCTGGCCTGCTGACTGTTCTGATAGGCCCTACGCAGAACAGCAGCTCGAATTGCCTCAGCACTTCCAGAATCGTCCGTATGAACGTTAGTTTCCATAGAGTCGGGAGAAGACCTGTTGGGGTTTCCATAATAAGCATTTGATGTTGCGTCCGGGGATTCTTGGGAACCTGCCTTGGAATCGAACTCTCTGAGGCCGCGGGCGACTTCATCCAGAGGGATTGACATATTACCATTTGGTTCATTGTGAAGAACTGTATTATACTTGTGCAGGTCCTGATACACCTTGGAGGCTTCCTCGGGGTTGACAGGGTAAGCTTGAGCCTGTGACACAAATTCGGTTGGTCTGTAGCTACCAAGATCTTGGTAGTTCTTGGTCAATTCTTCAGGATGAACGTGCTGAACACGGATTGTCTCCTCGTAGCCAGTAGACGGGTACTTATTCAGATCCTTGTACTGTTTTGAAGCTACCTCTGGGTGGACTTGCTCAGCCTCGGGTCCGTTGTTGGGGAACGAAGCATAAGCATTCAAGTCGGCATATTGCTTTGAGGCCTCCTCAGGATGAATGCGTGGAGCAGCGTCATCGCCATTCTCGTAACGACGGTATGCTGGCAGATCTTTGTACTTCTTGGAAGCCTCCTCTGGATGTACTCGTCTGATGGGGGAGGAGAGATCAAGAGCCGCATAGAGGTGGGTATCCTTGTAGCTCTTAGACTTCTCTTCCGCAGTAGGCCGTCTCAGACCATCAGGCTCATTCCATCTCACTGCGCCATACAGGTGAAGGTCGTCATAGTTCTTTGACAACTCCTCGGGAGTGAGCTTTCGAAGACCATCAGGTTCATTCCAGCGAACAGGTCCATACAGGTGAAGGTCGTCATACTTGCTTGCAAAGTCCTCGACAGGAGCATCAACCTTGGGGGCTAACGGTTTGCCCCGCATTGTGGTGTCCAGCTGGGACTTCGCATGGGCCTCAAGAACTGACTTGCTGGCTTCAAAGGGAGCCTCGTAAGAACCCAGATCATCGTACTTCTTGGACTCTTCTTCGGGGGTCAGGTGGCGGAGGCCGTTGGGCTCACTCCATTGAACCGGTCCGTAGGAGCCAAGGTCCTGGTAGTCCTTGGAAACCTCCTCTGTCGTGCGCTCACGCAGGCCATCCGGTTCGTTCCAGTAAACCGCCTCGTACTTGCTAAGGTCATCATAATCCTTGGACAGTTCTTCAGCGGACTTAACCCTTAAACCATCAGGCTCATTCCAGTAGGTTGGCTTGTACTGGTCCAAATCTTCATAAAGCTTGGAACGCTCTTCAGCCGTCAACTGACGCTGAGCCGAAGGATTGTCGATTTTAGACGAAGAATATTTGTGAAGATCATCGTATTCCTTGGAGTTCTCTTCCTTGGTTGGTGGCGGCTGGCCGTCGGGCTCGTTGTGCTTGACTGGCCCGTATTGATCGAGGTCGTCATACTCATCAGACTTGTCCTTGGCAGGTGGTTCATCAATCACCGGTTCATACTTGTCTAGATCATCGTACTTGGGCTCAGAAAGCTTCTCAGACTCTTTTGGATCTTTGACAGGGTTATACTTGTCCAAATCATCATATTTGGGAGTAGAATCGGGTTCTGCGGTTGCCGCAACAAAGTCGATCGGCTTATAGGCTTCCAGATCATCATATTGTGGCGCGGCAGCCGCTTTTGAGGACCGGGATACTCTGCGATTCGTGATAGGGTCGATGAAACTGGCGTCCTCGCCAGGGCGACGCTTCGTCGCTTTACCACGTGAGCTGGTGAAGTGGTGGCCAGTAGTTAATGTAGCTTTACGGATGTTGGCCTTGTCGTCGCCACGAAACAAGTGATCGATAGCACTTCTTTCTACGTCCTCAATATTTGTTCCAGGTCGAACGCCGGTAAGGTCGCCCATCCACGTTTTAATCTGCTCCACGCTAGCGAACTTGCTAGAATCGGTGGGCTGGTTGAAACCTTTCATGGCCCTCCTGAAAGCAGCTTTAGATCGATACTCCCAGGAAACATTGCGAGTTAACGCCGCAGGGCGCTGAGTTCTAATAGAATCCCGTGTCTTTCGGGGCTCGGCAGGGGTGGAGGACCCCAAGATAGTAGAAAAGCTCCTGGAACGATCGCATCTCGTTTGTAATGACACGGTCGATCGCAATGCGTTCGAGGCGTAGGGTCGGCTTTGGAGGAGCTTTTCACTCGTCCAAACACGTGTCGTAGCCAGCATTGTGAGGTTATGATATCAGTGTCCTAGATAACTGCTTCGAAGTTAGTTTCGGCCAATGTAAGACAAGTCTGGTATATCTGCTTGCAAAGACCAGACATGCACAGTAAATCGAGGCGTTCCAACTCACCGAAAGCGAAAGATGTTGAGAGCAAGCACCCGAATTATGATTTCAGGGCTACAGCTGACACCAAGAGCTCGCAAGCACACAATACGTGGTGATAAGAAACCGAAGAGGTCGAGAGCTTGTAGTGAGACACAGCAGCGACTAACACGATGATAATGGAACGGATGCAAGCATAAGTGATTGTAAAACAAAGATGGATAATATGAGACTGGGGAATGAAGAGAGAAACAAACAGGCTACATGAGGGGAAGGCAGCACCTTAATACAACCAGGATGGATGGAACGGAAGCAGCAAACAACGACACACGATGCAGGCCTCTTTGGCCAGGGACGGCCTGAGGTTCAATAAAGCCGGGGCAGGAACGAACTAAGTGGGGTCACTGTGAACTTGGGGGAGTGGAGAGGACGGCTAGGCAAAAAAGAGGGGAGTCTCTAGGGAAAGAGCACTGTAAGATGTGATACAATTGGACGGAGTCTAGGGAAAGAGCTAGAGGGGCTTGGTGAGTTTGGGCTCTTGGTGACGCTGTGATACTGTATCACGACGGGCAGTTGTGACTCGTGTCTAACGCCTCTTGTGGCCTGTAGTATTGTGTTAGTATTCAAACAGACTTCACAAACAACGAATGAGTTATCAAGATACGTTTTCAACCACCGCAAACGTGTCTTGACTTACCGAGGGGTCTGACAAGGCAGCATTGAGTTGCGCTCTACCCCGTAAGGTTATGTCTTACCGGACCAGTCAGCCGCTGCAACGAACTGGAACCTACCCTGCCCGTCCTGCAGCGCAATGAGTGCTGAAAGGCCCACTGTACTCGTCCATTTGCGGGGGAGTCAGCGTCAAACCTGAAGCGGCAAGTGGACGATTTCCCGCCCCACCTGCTTGGTGCAACAGCCGTTGACGTCAAGCTTGCAGGCCCCAGATGCCTCCCGTCTGCTCGACAACAATGATGGGTACATCTTTCTGACTGTACACAACCACAAGGTCACTCTTCACCGGGGAGATCTTGTACAACATCTCGGCTTGAGGCCAGATAAGGTTCCACCATGCCACAATAACAAGCAGCTATCGTGACTACCACAAACGGTTATTCCGCCTTTTTTCTAGCGAACTCTCTTCAGCACTCAATCACTCATCTAAGCTACGGCTCACGCGAGGTGTCAGGGGTGTCTAAGTACTGTACCACTCGGCTTATCAGAGACTCGGCTAGGGTCTTTTGTGGCTTTGAACCCCTTAAGACATTCGACTCTTAGGACAAATGGAAGCAGCAGGCATTGATGCAATGCAGCCATGTTGAAACGGAAAAGGCAGAAGCGGCCAAACAGCATCCGACATTCATACTAACCCGAAAAGACATGTTGTTCTTATCACGCCTTCTCGGTGGTCTGGACCGACTCCGATAAACGACAGAGTGAATAGACCGTCTTCGTTTGTTATGGTCAACGATTAAATAGCGCATGCGGCGGTGATCAAACAAGTCGATTTTACCTCGCATCAGCGCATCCAATCGCAGGACGACAGGGGCTTTTGTCACTGAAACCAGAGACATGAGGAGGGATACACGTCTCTCATATGCAGCAGCGATCTATTGCAACCTCCAAGCCGATTTAACAGGCCAAGCAGTCAGCATTCTTTCCTTTCTTTTGTTGAATATGTGTGAAGCGGCATAGAAGCCGACATTGGCCGATTCTTGTTTCCTCTACTATGCCAACATGTTTCTCATGTTATTGACCACTGGCAAAGCCTAGCATCTATCATTTCATCCAGAGGAAAAGTGGCTGCTGTGCCACTGAGAAATGGTGCCTTGGTGCCATCGTTTTGGGGGACCTGGAACAATTGCAGGGGTTCCGTCAGCTGATTGGTACGCTGAGTGAATCGATATTGTACTCGCATCGCTTCAGTATCAATAAGCAAATGTTCTGTACGTACTGTACATGTTGGGGCTACGCGAGGGAGGATGCCAAGATGATGGGATAAGTCAAGATGCCGCCGCGGCAACTGCATTGACACTTTCGTTGTCAGTCACAGCTCAAGTCGAAGTCGACTTATACATGGACTGGCGGGTGACAAAAGAAATCACAAAGTGAACAACAAGACCTTTCGGTCGTACCGAGATTTACCGGCAAACATTCTCACATTTACAAGCTCAGTATCTTTATCCCGGCGAAGAAATGTCATCTAAGGCTTAGGCTACCAAAATAAAGCAGTCTAAACTTTTCTCTAACTTCGCCATAAGATGACTAAACTATTTCGTTTCTTATGCTTATGACAGTCAATTCTTCTGACACCCTGCGGCCCGGTTAGACCATATGTCTCATACTGAGGAATGTCTTCAAGACGATCTGTTGAGAGAGGGATGTGTTTTGAACTTATAATTAAGCATTACTATTGCGCCCCAATAACCGGGTTCTCAAAGTAAAAGAAATGGTTTCCACCTCTCTATCATTTACTTCTGTAGTGGAAACTCGGCGTGAGTCAAAGGAGCCGGCAAGGACGTGTCTTTGGTATAAGAATCCTTAATGAGTAAAAAAGTGTATCTTTGCTTACAAGTAAATCCAAAATACCCATCAACATAAATACCTAAAGGGACCATAATAATTACCAACCTCATTTATCGCATCGTCATTCATTCTCTTCATCGGGCACTTTTCATCGTGAGTGAGGCTCATCTTCAGTGGAGCGACGTGACCCGCTCTTCCTCTTTAAGTCACCTAACCACGGTCCGTGCTTCCATGTGACATCACTTGGTCCCTCACCACCAAATTTGATATCATCATCAGCCTTGCAAGCCTTTTCCGATTTAGAGAGCGCCTATCAGCCGAGCGGCACCTGACACCAACGTTCCTTTTTGTTTCTTTACACGTATATCTGCATTTGCTACAAAAGTTCACAGTCATGAAGCGGTCTCAAGGGAAACCCTCCGGTCGTGGTTTTGAAGGACCCCGCTCGGGCTTCGGAGGCTTTGGCACCGCAGCCTCCGGAACCTCCCTGTCATATCTCGCCGAGCCTCCCTCATTCTCAGCTATTTCAGATCCGAATGTTGTTGTGTCGCTGAAGAATGTTTTGAAGAAAGACAGCACTACCAAGGCCAAAGCGCTTGAAGAGCTACTAGCTTATGTGCAAGCTCACCCATTTGAGAAGGATGGCGGGGTAGAAGAGGGCATTTTGGACGTCTGGGTCAGTAGACAGAGACAGGTATACCATGATCATCGCGATGTAACTTATACGTTAACAGGTCCAAATATATCCTCGTACGTCAATAGACAACTCACGACGAGTGCGTGAGCTTACTCACAATCTTCAATTCGAGCTTATGAAATCTGCTCGAAAGAGATTTGAGCGTCATCTACCAAAGATCGTCGGCGCATGGCTCGCTGGTTTGTATGACCGCGATCGCGTAGTCGCCAGGGCTGCTAGCGATGGTCTAACCCCATTTCTCAACACCCCTGAAAAGGTCATTGCGTTCTGGAACAAGTGCCAGGCTCAGATCCTTGACTATGCTATCGATGCTATTCAGGAAACACAAGACACCCTCAGCGACGAGCGCTCAACAAATGCCGAAGATGCTGAGGCCAAGTACTTCCGAGTTGTTACTGCCAGTTTGGCCCTTGTTTTGGGTCTCCTGCAAAAGGTTGAGCCAAGTAATCTGGAGAAGTTGCAATCACGTTATGATGACTTTTTCGCGGAAGAAAATGTCTGGAAGACAATCACCTATAGCGATTCAGCAGTCAGGAAGACTGTGTGCCAGCTACTCTTCGCTTCTATCGACCGAAAGCTACCCTATGCAGACGATACAAAGGTCAAGCAGGCCTTTATCACTGGAGGGTTAAAGACTAACCAGGCTGGCTCAGCTCTTGAGTATGTACGAGCTCTAACAAAGATGACACAAACATACCCCGATGTTTGGACATCTGCAAAGACTTCGAGCGGACCAAAGTCACCTATAGGCAGACTTCAAGCGTTTATCTCCAAGGGGTCACAGGGAAGTCCCCCAAAATTCTGGGAATACTTGGATCAGTTGTTGATGGTTTTGCCATCGGACTTGATTACACCTGAGGTTGCCTCGCAGTTTCTTTCATCTCTCAAATCGGGAATCACACATCGCGAGGAACCTCGAACCAACACTTCATTTGCTTGGAAGTGCTTTATCGATACCGCCAAGCGATCGCTCAAGAACCTACCCGACGATGCCCAATTACCTTTTGTTCAGGAACACCTGTTCCCCCTTATCGAGCAATTCCTTTTCTCCGTGTCCGAGAAGCCCGTTGCTATCCCTATGGGCCCGAACGCCATTTCCGTCTTGGTAGAAGCTTACATCGCCACTGTCCAAGCATCTCCATCTGTTGTATCTGCCTCCGAAGAGGAATGGAATCGCCTTGCCAGCATCTTCTGTGCCAAGATCTCTGGTTCTCTGCCCGAAGTTTCACGAGAGTACCAGCAGTCCCAGGAAAAGATCTCAGAGGAGGGTCGACGATGGTTTGGTCTCATTGGTCAGATTGAGGACAAGATTGCCGAGTTGACTGATGATGTTCCCGACCACACGGCTGAGCCCTCTCTCAATGCTATCAGCCAGAGCATCTCCCTTCTAGAGAGTCGTAACCTGAAGCCTTTTGGTGCAGCACGAATCATCGAGTATGCGCTTAGCATGGCACCTCGCCTCTTCCACGGCGATGGTATTACAAGGCTCTCGACATTCTTCACCTCAATGGCGCGGGATGACGCTGCCAAGGCTGTTTCCTCGCCCTCTTCTCGATACCTGCTCTCGTCCCTCCACCTCCTTGGCTCTGTTTCCACCCAGTTCGCGCCTATCTGGAATTCTTGGGTTGAGGCCGTGCTCGACCTGCCCTCCGAGGCCACGCGCGATGTCGCTCTTGCGTCTCTCATTTCTAACGATAGAGGAGCTGTTCTTGCCAAGGGTAATATGGACTTGCAAAAGCATATCATAGGTCAGGCCGTACTTCTCGCAGTCGGTAACAGCAACGATTGGGAATTGTTGGAGGCTGCTGTTACTTACCAGACTCTGACTGATAGCAATTACCGAGAGCTTGTGCAAGCTCTTGTCGAGATTCTTGAGAAGGACCCACAGAACACAGCGTCTACACTGCAGGCTTTGGAAATTGCCGCTAAGGGTCGACCTGAACTGTTCTCTAGAGACGAGCGTGTACATACAACATTGGTCGCGCTGCTTCTGGGTTTGTCTGAGCTTGAAGACTCCGCAGTTTCCTCCAAGGCCACCGCCATTCGCAATCTCTTGGATAGTCATACTGGTGGCAAGTTGCCTGTTGTTGCCGTGGTTCAAGCCAACCTCGAACGAGCGGGAACACAATCTCTGGAGTAAGTTACCTTGAACTTTTATGATCTGCACAATCTAACCTTTTCTCAGTATCGACACATTGGTATCGCAGGCGCAAAGTGCTGCTTCCAGCGATATCCCGTCCGAGGAGCTCTTCCCAAGCACGAATGTCTGGATGAAAGAGCTTGCACCATTCTTGGAACTGTCTATTAACCCCTCCTTATCAATTACCAACAGTACCGGTGGCGCTGCTGCCCTAGTCAAGGGAGCACCTCGGTCTACACAGCTGCGAGTTCATCGTGACAGAAAGGGACGCGCTATCCCCACCCGAATGGCCCTTTACGTGTCGCAGCTCTCAGATAAGCTTCCTCTGTCGCAACTGCCGAAGCCATTCCAGCTCGAGCTTCTATACCTTCAGTGTTTGACTGTACAGCTCATCTCTGATCAGATCACTTGTGTGGAGGACAACCGGCTATGGCAAAGCCTTAAGCACGCTGAAGCCAGTGCTCAAGCCGAGGAGTTCGTCTCCAAGACACGTGGTATTCTGAACGATCTGGCTGCCGACGCCAAGGCCTGGAGTGAGACCGAGGAGAAGCCAATTATCCAGGAACTCATTGATCTTCTGACCGAGCACTCGAAGGAATTGTCGCCCAGAGGAATTTACAGTGCAAGGGCGCTGAGTGAGCTTATTCAATGCTTGGCAGAAGCCCACGGGGCATCATCCAGCTTTGAAGACGCTCTTATGAAGCCTGACATGCTCAAAGTTGGCCCTACAACTGTCCTTCCCGCCTCGGCCATCATTGCAGGATTTGGCGAGACTCTCCAACCCTCTAAAGCCGCCAACAACTTCTGCAATAGGATTGTAAGCGAGATTGCGGGAGCCAAAGTCGAGAATGAGAATACTCTCATGACTCTTGTTCTGCTTTCATCTTGTGCTCAAATTTATGAGGCGGGTGAGCTGCCTGTAGCGAACAACCGAATTGTTTTCGCTGTCCGTCAAATCACTTCTTGGCTTGATGAGCCTGAGAACTTGAGTCCAGCCCTCTGCGCCGAGATCTGCCGCGCTCTGAACAAGCTTCTCCCATGTATGAAGGATGTCTATGGCTCTTACTGGGAGAAGAGCATCGAGTTCTGTATCTCGCTTTGGAACCGCGCTCACGAGTTTGAACTAGATGAAGCTCTCCCCTTCATCCACTCTTCACTAAAGCTCTACAAGACTATCGAGACTCTTCCTGAGCCCAATGATGATCTTGAAGATGCCCTGAAGGAGTACGCCAGTGCTAAGCCCAGAGCTCTAGTTGAGCTTCTGCGCCTCGATCGCGACACGACTTCTCAGCCTCTCGAGATCGTGGATGCTATGCTTTGCCGAGAAGTCGAGAAGATCTCCCTTCGCCAAGTCCCCGATCTTTCCGATCTCTTTGGTTTGGTGGCATCCGACTCGCGTGATATCCAGACTGCTGCGTTCAATTTGCTTCACAAAGCTCTTCCTGAGCAACAACAGCAGAAGTCCGTTGACGCTATGCTGGACAAGACAGGTATGTTTAGACCCAATTATGTTTAATTCATTTGCTGACCTTATAGATGCTCGACTGCCCGATGAACTTCTGTCTCTTCTACTTGACGCCCCCACGCTTGAAAAGTACTCTGACGAGATGCTCGCGGAGTTCCCCTCATCCATCCGCTCATATCTCCTATCCTGGAAGCTTGTGTTCGACGCTTACTCGACTTCCTCCTTCAAGATCCGTAACGACTTTAATGAAAACCTCAAGCAAGATAATTACGTGGCGCCATTGCTAGACTTCATGTTTGACGTCTTGGGCCATTCGGCTGCGCATCCTCTGAAGCTCGAAAAGATCAACCTTACTTCGGAGCACATTAAAGACTATGATGTCAAGTTGGCAGAGTCAGAACCAGAAGAGAAGAACATGCAGTGGTTGCTGGTTCACATTTTCTATCTCCTGCACAAGTACACACCTGGGCTGTTCCGAGCCTGGTACATCGATTGTCGCTCAAAGCAGACACGAATCGCCGTCGAATCTTGGACGACCAAGTACTTCTCGCCTCTTATCATCGCTGATGCTCTTGACGAAGTGCAGCAGTGGGCTGATACTCAAGAACCACCCGCCATGGATGAGAAAGAACTTGTTGTGCGAGTCGCTCGAGCCGCCCGAGAGATCACAGCTGGCTACGAGGTCGACGAAAGCATGGCTGCTATCTCAATCAAGATCCCACAAAACTACCCAATCGAGAACGTCGTGGTGCAAAGTCTGAACCGTGTCGCCGTCAATGAGAAGAAGTGGCAGAGCTGGATCATGACTACACAGGGTGTGATCACCTTCTCCAATGGCAACATCATTGATGGTTTGCAAGTGTTCAAGCGTAACATCATTGGTGCTCTCAAGGGCCAAAGCGAGTGTGCCATCTGCTACAGTATCATTTCAACGGATAAGCGCATGCCGGATAAGCGATGCACAACCTGTAAGAACCTGTTCCACAGGACTTGTTTGTACAAGTGGTTCCAGAGCAGTAACCAGAATACTTGCCCGCTGTGCAGAAACCCCATCGACTACTTGGGTGCAGATACGCAGAAGAGACGTCAGGGTTAGAGTATTTTGATAGGTCAAGAGGTGGTAAAATTGATAGAATAAAAGAAATTTTGAATCGCTACCTTCTAACGCTGTCTTTAGTGAGGTGTATCTAAACATGCATACCCAAATGAAGTTGACCGATCAGGCTCTGAAGTTAGAGCTCGACTCCGCCATCACTGTTACTGCAATCGCTAACAATCAAGCTTTCAACTTTTCCCCTGTATTTTTCCTCGATCGGCTGATTAGCCACCCCGTTGTATTCGCCTGTATCGGATTCTTCGGCTGGCTTGTGGGCTTCTCCAATGCATTCGTTCTCATCAGATTCTTCGGTCGGGTCAACACTTTCTTCTTCTGAACCATGAAGCTCTTCCGCCCATTTCATGACCTTCTCGCGATCCAAAGACATGAGCACTGGCAGGGCAGCGCTTTGATCAGACTTGTTGGACTTTGCGGTGTTGGGGGTGTTGGAAGTCTTGGAACCTGACGTGGAGTCTTTGGAAGAGTTGTCAGCAGATATGGGACAGGTCGAATCTTGGCGGTCTCTGTGAAAGCAGTTGATGAGGACTCTGCAAAAAAGTTGCCGTTCACTGCATCGGGGGGGATGCCATTTTTTTCGGCTATCTTGACCCATATGGCTTCTTGGACCTTTCTGGCCTCTGTCCTTCTGTTCATGATTGCTTCCATGGCATCTCTGGTATTTTTGGAATCTCGGGAACCTTGGGTATCTCGGGGATCTTGGGGATCTCGGGTACCTTGGGGATAGGTGGTATTTTTGGTATCTCTGGCATTTTCGGTATCTCTGGGATTATCGGTAGTAGTGGAGCTGATGGATGAGGCGATATTGGTAGAATCGTGGCTGGTGGTGGCAGATGCGCAAGGTTTGTTCCCCGATGGAGTATTGGTACATCCGTATGCCATTATAGCCGGGGAAATGAGGGCACCAACTGGTACGTCAGTCTCGTTGGGCAAAAAGAATTATGAGAATTGTTTACCTATCAAGAGGGAGATAGTACGCGAACGTGGTGTCTAGCTGGTATGGATATTGACAGCGAAAGTGAAGTGTTGTTATTGCAAAAGAACTGTTGCGGAGTGGAAAGGAAAGGGGTTATGATGGTAGAGATGTTGTTTTCATATATAGGAAGGAATGAATTTATAATTGGACATTACGTCCGATCGAAACTTCCTTCTTCACAGCATTTCTCGTCATATACGCTTTCCACTTGTGTTGCTTTAGCAAGCGCTGTCCCTGGCCGTACCTGCCTATTTGATGACAGAAGAATTGTCCTCGCAGCCCGGGTTATGGTACTAAGACAAAGTAGCACGAGTCCCAGCCTACACTGGTATGAAGTGTCTATACTATCTTCTCTCTCAGGGCCTCCGCAGCTGATAGTTCTAATGCCCGGATGCCTGCCTCGCCAGCTTCACTTTATGGCTCCACAGCCAGAGCTTTGTGTTCAAGAGCCTACAAAGATGTCAGATGTTATCGGCTCAGTATAAAGCGAACGCAGAACTTACCTGCGCAGATGTCAGTCGTTGGCTATCATAACGCACAAGCGACGACACGAGATCTATTAACTCCGGTTGCACGCCGGGGAGAAGCTCCTCCCAGCTCTGGCCAGAGAAGACTGTCCAGAGCTCAAAGGGGGCAACCTTGAACTTCTTTGCCTCAGGCCATGTCTCGGGGGTAGGTGTACCGAGGGTTTTGAAGACGCTAAGAATGAGGCCGAGCTGGTTTCCGTCTTCGTGGACGGCGCGGGACTCGAAGATTGGTGTAGGAGGATCACGAAGGACCTCTGAGAGCATGACCCCTAATCCCCACATGTCGACCTCTGGTCCGTAGGATTTGTGGCCAAAGAGGACATCTATCGCGCGGTAAGGACCCGTTCCGATATCTAGGATTTTATCGTCGGCTGGTTCTGAGTGGGTTGATAGCTCAGGATGCCACGCTGTGCCAAAGTCGGAGAGGTATGCTGGGCCAGTGGGAGAGGAGAGAAGAATGGCTGAAGGTTTGATGTCTCGGTGTATGATACCTTGCGCGTGAATGTCCTTTAGGCCTTGGAGGATGTCTCGAAAGATCGAACGTACGGAGTCCAGCGGTAAAGGTCCTTGGGCGAGAACGTCGGCTACCGTATACGGCATGTATGGAAAGACAAGAACGAATCGCTGCTCCTGATCCCGGAAAGTCTCGAGAAGGGGGATACAAGGCGACCGCAGGGTCTTCAAAATCTTGGCTTCGCGCTGAGGGTTGTGAGGTTCAATGTCTTGGTACGTGACAATAACTTTGAGGGCCTTATCGCCTGATCGATACACTTCTGAGGTGACACCATCCGATACAGGGCGACAGTTTTTATAAGAGCCAATGCGAAGACCAGAATCGGCTTCCTGCTCAAGATCCTTTTCTTCTTGAGAGCGCTGGGGTGTTGGAGTTGTGGTCGGTTGACAGGCGAGATTATACTCTTCCTAGGCCTTGTCAGCGGTTCCGTGAGTTCTGGACCGCTACATGGCGTCGGCGCGCACCTGAGTAGAAGAGATTTGGTAGGCGGCCTGTTCAATGGCGATAGCCTCACTCATGCTGGAGGCAGAGAGGGAGTCTTGGCTAAGAGGTATAGGTTAGTTGTGTTTGTGATGTCAGAAGCGTTCGAGTTACATCTTTTGGATTGTCTCATAGCGCTGAGACATGGTAAGAGCTGCTTTCCATTCTGGGAGTGCCATTGTTGATAGTATAGTGTAGACTGTAGTGTATCTGTATGTGTACAACTTGCAGGGTTCGATGGTTTTCACAGCTCAATTGCAGAAGCTAGTCTAGTACTATGTAATAGTACAAGCGTCGTCAAAGTTGGGGCATGACATTCAAATTTCCGGCAAAGATCAGCCCTTAAGCCAGGATGTCTCAGGTTCTTGGTTTTGGTTTCTGGTAGAAAACAACGAGGCCCGCAATTTCCATAAAGCAGAAACAAGGTCAGGACTCAGGAGCCAGGAGGCCTGAGGATGGAGCCGAGGGATGGTCTATGTAGTTATGCTGAATGTCTTACAGCTTATAGCATTGGTTAAAATAGAAATTGATGTTTTAGTATCTTCTAGATTGGTTATGATGATGAATTCATGGTGTTGATATCATTCAAATTTAATTATCTACCGAGGCTAAATAATGAGGTCATGCTTGTTTTGTGTCCTCGTGATTTTCTTCTCGAAGTCGGTTCGTCTAAACATGGATCTTTTAGCTACAAGCCCAGCCAACAGCCAACCACCAAATCTTTGTCCTTGCTTAGAGCTCCACTGTCTCTAAATCAAGCTACCCCAGCCCAGCCCAACCCAATTCAGTACCAACGCCAGCCCTGTCTTGTCTTGTCTTGACTTGTCCATGTCCAGTCCAGCCTCTCCTCTCCTCATTCTACTTTAGTTTCTTTTTAGCCGTTGTCGTCTCCCCCAGCCAAGGCATTATTACCTTGTCACTGTGAGACCAAGTCCCTCAACTCACTCTCCCTCTCTCCTCTTTGACCACGCGTCGTCTTGGAACTGTACACATTGGCAGTACATAGAGTAGACCAGTACCTACTCCGAATCATCCGATTACGCTACCGTCGAATCGACGTTGTTTACCACTGAGGTAACGCACATCGCATCCGCATCCAAACGAAGCTCCTCGTCCTCCATCTTCGTCACTCCGAAGCTCGACCGACCCCTCTCGTTCAACGAACCGCCATGCGCATCACCTGTTCGAGCAATTAATACTATAATTAATTCATTGCTCTCCTCCGCATCTATATATAATTCTAATATCCATTTGCGCAATCGCCCATCATGGAGGATATGGCCAGGGCCGAGTATCCCGCTATGCTGGTAAGCTACGCCCTTTGGCTTCCATTGCCGTCGCCAGGAGCGGCTACGAGGGAACAGCCGATGCGCTGTGTGATTGAGCTCCGACTGACTCCTTTTGCGCAATTAATAGGCAGCTCTCCAGCCCGGCCAAGCGGTTCAGACCCTTAGCGAACGAATGAAGCGCATGTCCCGTGTCAACAACGAAGTTGCCGACTGGCTCCAGGTACGACAATCCACGACGCCAATGGCTACGCAGCGACATGCCATCTTGCTGCGAGTCTCATCGACATCCCACTGATCAATTCTATACAGGAGCGCCGTCGCGTGGAGGAACAATATGTTGCAGGACTAAAAAAGCTCACCCAGTTCAAGGTGCCAAACGCTCAATCAGAGCTAGGGTAAATTTACCCTTCCATGGCATTGATGTCGCATTATGCTCACAGCTGCTGCAGAGTCTTCCAGGCGCCATGGAACCGAATTATCGACTCGACTGAGAGCATCGCTCACTCCCACCACCAACTCGCCGATCGCATCGAAAGGGATATCGAGCACCCATTACGCAACTTCTCCAACCAAAAGGACTTCCAGAACATGAACACCATGTCCAACAACTTGTCGACAATGGCAAAGGATCTCGAAGACTCGCAGAGCGCTGTCGACAAACTCACTAAGAAGGGGAGTCGAGCTAATACCTCCAAGGTCGAGGCTGCTACATCCAAACTCGAATCCGCTACTGGACAATGGGAGTCACAGGCACCTTTCATCTTCGAGTCTCTCCAGGCTCTCGACGAGTCGCGCGTCAACAAATTACGGGATTTTCTTACCCAATACCAAACCCACGAGTCCGATTCGGCCCAGCGTGTGCAGGAGAACGCTATGGAAACCCTGGCACTGATGCTCGAGATCGATACCGAAAAGGAAATCCAGTCTTTTGTGCACAGGGCTACGGCTGGAAAGGCGAAGCTTCCCACTAGAAATTCGACGCGCCAGTCTTCGTTTGCTGGCAACACACCTGCTGGTACTACACCTTCGACACCAGTACCTCCAAGCACTGCCGACAGCACCAACCTGCCAGCTCCGAGCGCCCATACCGCATCACCTGCGCCAGTCACGGCCCCAACTTCATCCCATGCTGATGATGATATTAGCGAGACTTCAACTCCAACGGAGAAGCCAGGTGTGTGAATTAACCAGATCGCAAATGAACATTAGCTAACAAGTTACAGGAGGTAAGCTTCGCCGCCTCGGTACGATGTTTGGTGGACGCAGGAGACAGAGCATGCACGCTGGTTTCGGCCAGCTCTCTCCCGGCAAGCTAGGCCCCAGCTTCGGAAGATTGGGAACTAGCCACAGCCAGAACGATCGTGGCCCTTCGCCTAGAGCATCCTCCAACAACCTCCAAGAGCACCAACGACTGTCCTCTCTGGCAGAAACCCCTGATATGCCGCGGGCACCCGATAGCGAAAACGACACACCCAAGCCTGACTCACACGAGAATACGAACGGAGTGTCGCACAATGGAAATCTGCTCGACAGCCCGATTCCACAATCGGCTGGAGGCGTCAACGGCAACCACGAACTCGATCTATCGAACGTCCAGCCACCTCCCGGACCTCCTCCGTCGCACAAGCAAGAGCCATTCGCACCGCAACCGAACGCAACCAAGGACTCCGAAGGTTTCAACGTTCCTCCCCCTATGAACGATCCGATTTCCGAGGCTCAACGGGAAGCCAAGCAGGAGTCTGGTGAAGATCCTGATCAATTGCTCAAAGTCAACATCCAGCAGACACCTGTTGAGGACGAGGATCCTGACGCTAAGCTGGCTGCGCTTTCTAGTGTTGCAAACAGCCTCAAGCTTGGGCCTGCCACTCGTCGCAGTGGTACAGTTAGAGGCCGTCGTGACGTCCGTCATACGATGTATGTGCCGCCCCCTAACCTGCCAGAGAGTGGCACCGATTCTTCTATAAGTGCTCTGCCGGTGTCTCCTGTTCTGGCACCATCTACCTCAAAGGGAAGCGCAGTTGCTGCACTGGCGTCCGAGGCCAGCATTGCCGGTACTTCAGACACACAATCCGTGAGATCGGGTAACTCATTGGGTGGTCTGAACCATCCTCAGCACGCTCAAATGACTGCTCCTGGTCTAAACTCTTCCATCATTGAGAGCGTGTCTGCTATCTTTGAGGACGGTGTCATCAAGTCAGCCTCCGTCACTGGTGAAGTTGCGTTTGTGAACAACCCCAGCGACTCGGGTGATGCTAAGAGTAAGTCAATCTCTACCTCAACTAGATCTCACTCACTAACATACTTAGGCTATGAAACCATCCGTATCAACAACTTTGCGGCCCTCGAGCGTATCGGCCCGAACCGCATCTTTGTGCAGAACTCATCTCCTGACAACAACGATCAGTTCAATCTTGACGTATCTCACCTCACCAAGACTGCCACCGGATTCTCCTATCGAGTATTCTCAGCGGAGTCCGACACTCCATCCTTGGGCGAGCATGCTCCTATTCTTCTGAAGCCCGCATGGAAACCGCAGGGAGACAAGCTAGGCTTGTTGCTACAGTACCAACTCAACCCATCGTCAAAGATTACCGCCCCTGTGCAATTGCACAACGTGGTCATTGTCGCAACATACGAGGGTAAATCAAGTGGTGCACAGACAAAGCCTGTAGGAATACACCTCAAGGACAAGCACCTCGTCTACTGGCGCATTGGCGATCTTACCCTTACCGCCGAGCCCCAGAAGATCGTGTGCCGTATCATCGGTGCAGAGGGTGCGGAGCCTAAGCCAGGACATATCGAAGCTCGATGGGAACTCACAGCCTCAGGCGACCAAGTTGTTGGAAGCGGCATCTCCATCTCCCGACTCGATGAGGGCAAGGGTAAAGGCAAGGAAATCTCCGAGGACGATCCCTTCGCCGATGATAGCGCAAGCACAGAACAGAAGTGGGTAGACGTGCCAGTGACAAGGAAGCTTGTCAGCGGTAAATATGAAGGACGATAAACGGGTGCAGGCAGGGCTGTTGAATATTACCACGTGCATGGATAGAAGCCAAAGAAATACGTTTCTTGGCGGCGCATTGAATAGCGAGCGTTAATGGCTTGTTCGGGGTGAACCATTTTATTCACTCTTTCTTCCCTTTTGTTCCTAATGTCTTTTCTAACTCTTTTTCTTTGTATCCGTATTTTATATGTTTCTGGGCATTATCTTGCTGGGAGAAAAGGTGATAGTGTTGCTGTCATGGGACTTGCAAATGGAGGATATATCAAGCAGTTGAATCATCAAAAAGGACGTTGTATGTCCAAAGTATTCTTGTTCCATTTCGCTACGTCTATACATATCCCCTTTTGTCCTTCCTCATGAATCCTAATACTCCAAAATAACACCATGTTCCTCCTCTTATAACGGGACGTAAAGGCGTTCGCTCATGATAGTGATGTGCATTTATCGCTAATTTCAGTCCGACTTTTCTGCCAGCTTTTTCGCTTTTTGGCTTACTTGGTCCTTCTTGTACTTGGAGTACTTCTCGCCCAAGTACCTCACTGTTCTTGAGATGCCACCCATCAAAAGCCCCTTCACACTCTGCACTGTACTTGGCCAGTTGACTGTCTGCTTAATGGCAATGCGCACTGTCTCGTGAAGCTTCTGGGGTTCATCAGTGGCAATACGGCGCTCGAAGTCTCCTCCCTGCATCTTCTTGACGGCAGTACCATCATCGTCCGTGGAGGCCTTCATGAGCTCGTTGAACTCTCCGCGAGGAATGCCGAACCGCTTCTGGTACTGGAAATAGACGCGTGATCGGAAGGTTTGGGGCAGACGTCTGACCATGTTACCGCGGCGCTTGGGGTCCATGTCCTGCTGGAGTCTGTTGTGGGGTTCAGGGTCCATGATCCAATCAGTGTCGTCAATACGGCAAGATCCTGTGAAGTCGACGTTGGGAAGTGTCTTGACGAGCGGTGCGTAGAGGCGGCGGAAGTGAACGATGTTGTTGTCGACGATATTTGTCACCTTGCTCTTGTTCTCCGTGGGAAGAGCCATACGGGGATCACCCAGATAGCTGAGGCCAGCGATAGTGCTGTACAGCTCGACCTCTGTAAATTCCGGAGGTAGGAGAAGTAGAGCGGTTCGGAGGGCAGCGATGAGGTTGTGCTGGTTAGCGAGTCGTACACGAGGATGGTCGCGAAGAATCTTGACAGGCTTTTGAAGGCGACCAGCAAGATACAAGCTATCCCACGACGAGAGATCATGGACTAGGTTATCGATGCTTGTTACACCGTACTTAATAAGCATGCCATTGACCTCTACGAAGGGGTTGAAGTAGACTCCAGCACCCCAGTTTTGCACGCGCGAAACAGTGCCGGATCCCAGGGACGCAAGACCAGAGTAGTGGTTGCGATGTTGCTTCATGTTGATGGAATGCCAGTGCTCAACATGCGATACTCCAAAGATAAAGTCGAGCACCTTGGGAGAGCCCTTTTGCGACTTGATGAGTGCCTCTGGAGGATTCGGGTGGACAGCACGAAACTCGGACTCGGAGATGTTGGCCTTGGCAGCGCTTTGAGGAAAGACTCCAGAACCGTATGCGAAACAGTATACGATGGGCGCATTGAACTGGCGCAACATGAGGCGCAAAGCTTCTTTGAGCTCATAGTTAATGACCATGTGCTGGTTTGCTCCAAAGAGGCGATGCGGCAGGTCAGCAAAGGTGCTGATTTTGGTATCGAGGTCTTCCCATTCTGTGCTGAAGATGTTGAGCTTGCTGGCTTTTGGTTCTGAGGATGCGCTGCTTGCGATGGATTCATCGCTGGTCTTTGCCGAGCTTGCCGAGCTGCTGACGCTCGAGGATTTTGACGAGTCGGAGTACCATCGCGGTGAGAAGGATTGTTGTGTTGAGCTTAGTTGTCGTGGGAAGATCTGGAGGAGGCGGGAGTGACAGGGTCGAAGGGATATGGCTCGAGTTGTCACTGAGGACTATGAGAAGCTGTTAGAGGGAGGATTCAATATGGATGGAGGGGCATGTGTTGGGAACTTACCCTGAGGCCAATTGAGGCCATTGCTAGAAAGTTTTGAGTGGTAACAGAAGATGCCAAGTATTGTGATGATAACTATGGAAGTACAGGAAGTGGTGGTACAGCAGCTATAGCTGCGTTGGCTCTTAGGAATGCTCTAACAGCTACCTGGCGAGATGCTCCATGCGCAATAGTAAATGTTGAGCCAAGAACAAGACAAGACAAGTCAAGCTCTTAGGATCAACTCTGGACCGATATTGAATCGACGTCAGTGGAGCATGTACAGTCAGCGTATAGACGTTGAGTTGATCGTCGAGTCTGACGATATAGGCTTGACCTTTTTCGAAGCTGAAGCTCAAGCTCGACAGGTAGAAAATAGATGAAGTGGATCACGAGAGAATGTGGGATGGCCAATGAAAAGGGTCTTTCCCGAAAGAGACAGGGTCCCCTCCATCATTTCGTCAGGTACTGCTACGTCACTGGACGATTTGGAACTTGGCAACAGAAGAGAGGAACATTCAGGAACGTTTCTACCAGGATGCGTCATTGATTGGAGAGATGGAGTAACAAGCTATACAGGGATGTTTTAAGCTGTTTCCTTGTGGCTTATGAAGCAGTCTAGCTCATGATTGCAAGGTGAGAGCATTGGCGTTAGTAGAAGCTAGATTAGAAAGTTGACTATGTTAGCAGTCATTGTAAACTCATGAACTCATCAAAGTTTCATCATTTAACTGAGGGGCTTACCGGAACCCGTTGATAACTCTATAAACTACTATATTAATTATTGAATCTTTATCAGATTACAGCTAGCCAATAGATAACACAAAAGCTCTAGGAGGTGGCTTGACTGTTAAGAGTGGCTGAGAGGGACATCTACCCTACAAGATTTAGAACATCATTAGGAAAGAGCATGCGCGCTCCTTCCTCATCAACACCATGCCAGTTCAGTGATTCACTGCTCAAGGCAGAAGCATTTCTGAGAGTATCTATTTACTCCAAGGTATCAAAAACCTTTCTACATCCTTCATCCTTCATCCTTCATTCTTCAGCCCGCCTCTCTGGAGCTCATGCAGGGACCCAGTGGGTCACGTGATAGCGCAAGCTGCTGTGGTGATTCTAAACAATGCGTTCTGCGACCGCGATTTCTCATGCACTCCATCAACTTTAGTTCACAACCCCCAAAATGCGATCCTTCACGCCCAGCGGCAAAGATGGGCGTGGAAGCCGCAGAAGCTCAATGACCAATAACAGGTTCAGGGCCAGTACTAGCAATATTGATCGCCCCCAAACCACACTGCGACAGTCCAGGGTAAGTCAACAACCAAAACAAAACAAAACAAACAATGCCGAGAGCGTCAATTGTCTCTGACCGCGAAGCCATGATCGCAGATCGCATCCTTCCGATCAAGTACCCAACCATCCTATAACCTATTCACTGGCGAGTCCAACCTACCTCGCCCTGCCTCTCGACAAAGCCACGCCCCAGAATCTGTCCGCCCCGGCTCGCGCGAAAGTCATAAGGAGAATATGGCGCCCCCCGACGCGGACGAGTACGAAAAGTATAGGCGGCAGATCGAGGCGTTGAAGGCGGAGATCGGAACACTGGAATACCGTATGCAAACAACTGAGCAAGAGAAGGAAATCGCCCTGTCAACAAATAACGGCAAACTCGAGCAAGCTCGTAGGAGAGAGCAAGATGAAGCCCAACAGCGACAAGCTGCTGAGGCTGAGCGCCAGAAAGCAGTCGAACAAGCCGAAGCTCTACGAAGAGAACTAGAGGACGTCAAAGAGTCGGTCGAGGAGGATAAGAAGAAGCTGGAGCGCAAAGCTCGTGACGCAGAGGATGAGGCCCGTTTGCTTCAGGATCAGCTTGAGGACCTGTCCGCTGCCAAGGACGAAGCAGCGCGAATTGCCGACCGTAAAGTCACCGACATGGAGATGCAGATCGCTGCTGCCCAAAAGACGGTTAAAGAATTCGAGCAGGAGAACGAGCAGCGAGAGAATATCCTTCAACAAACACAAGCCCAATTGGCCGAGAAGGATGGTCATATTGCCAACCTCGAAGCCGATGTTCTGCGACTCAAGGCACAGAGCGGCGACGCCGAGACGATGGACATCATCAGACAAGAACTTTCCGAACAGGTTCAACATATTCGCAACCTCGAGTCTACAAACCGCGATCAACTCTCCGAGCTTAAGCATCTACGAGCATTGAGCAAAGCAGTTGAAGTTGTCGAGGAAGAGAAGCGAAGCCTACAACGAAAACTGGAGTACGCGGAGACGATTGAAGCAGAGCTTACCGAAGCCCGTATCCAGCGACAGCGTCTTGAGGACGAGCGATTGGCCTGGTCTGCGTACCTCGAGAATGCTGCTGCGGCTGACGCATCCGAATTCGACTCACCAGAGGCCGTGGCGAGAGCTCTGGTGGAGGAGCGCCTAAACAATGCCTCTTTCGTTGAGAAGGTGGGCGCTCTGCAAGCTGAGATGAGTGCGGCACAGAACACGATCCAGTCCCTGAACGAAGAGAAGGCTCAGCTCAAGGGCGAAGTCGAGAAGGCCAAGGGCGCTGCCAGCGCAAATAATGCCGACAAGGCTCGCGCGCGACTTGAACGACAGCGTGCCATGGCTGTCAAGGAGGTGGAATACCTTCGCGCACAGCTGAAGACTTTCGATGTGGAGGACGAGACGCTTCAACCCGAGAAGTTCGACGAAGCCCGCGCACAACGTGTCCAAGAGCTTGAAGAGCTCGTTGACCAGTACAAGAAGGAGGTTCAGACACTACACACTGAACTTTCATCTCTTGAGCCTTCGGCAACAGGCACCCCACAGCCAGTTACAGGCAGCAAGCGATCGAGAGCGGAGGATGACAGCACTCACGAACAGCTTGGACAGCTTACAAGAAAGAAGCGCAAGCTGGAAGAGGAGCTGACAAAGGCTCAGAACAAGATTGCTCTATTGGAGAAGGACGTTTCTACAAGCCGCGAGCAATTGAAGGCTGCCAAGCAGTCTACACAAACACGCGTCTTGTCGCTCAAGTCAAACCCTACATCAGACTTTGAAGCGATCAAGCGCTCTACCCTCGAAGCTCTGAAGAAGGAGAACGAGGATCTTCTAGCCACACTTCGCGGCAAACCATCCACATCCATGATTCCGACCTCCGTCCTGTCCGCCATGGAGCGCGAGATCACAGCCGCAAAATCCGAAACAGCATCCGCCGAGAAGCGAACTCGTCGCCTTAAGGAAGTCTGGGGTTCCAAGTCCCAAGAGTTCAAGGAAGCCATCTTCTCCACGCTCGGCTGGACTGTGACGTTCATTCCCAACGGCAAGATGCGCGTTGAGAGCACTTTCTACCCCTCGCAAACCGACGAGCACGAGAACTCGATCGTGTTTGATGGCGAGCGTGGTACGATGAAGGTTGGTGGCGGCCCGCGAAGTGATTTCGCGAGAAGAATTAGTGATCAGATTGGGTTCTGGGTTAGGGAGAAGGGATGTATTCCTGGATTCCTGGCTGCGTTGACACTGGAGTTTTATGAGGAGCATAGCAAGGCGACTAAGGAGGCGTGAGCATGAGTTGGCTGCGGCGCCATTCTCTGCACAGGCGAAACAATTTTGGGAAATACCGAGCACCTGAAGAGCGATCGTGCAGCTGAGGTGGAGGCAATGAGCAGGACGGCACTGTAAGCACCATTACCTGCGCTGGCGAAACGATTGTGGAAACGTCTGGAAGACATCAAGCACCTGAAGATCGATCTTGCAGCTCCTGGCTTCGCCTCAACTTCAAATGGACGATTTTGTTTTGGTTGCCTCTTCGCCTCGTCTCGACTTCAAGGGCATGCGAACCCACTACCCCCGTCAACAAGCGATTCGACGCCAGCGTCTATGGCAACATATCTCCAGGTATGGAATATTCCAATGTGAGAGTTGAGCCTTCATCTCCTCATGATGAGCATCATATGATGGATGTAGAGGAACCTGACGAGGGCCTGGCTAGGCTTCGTCTCGAATTCAACGGTCTGGCTTCGCCTCGAACTCAAAGAGACTGGCTTTCTTCTGTCTGTGAGGGTTACGGGTGTGATTTGATGATAAGATTAATACCCTTTGTACATTTGCCATTTTACAAAACGGAATCGGGCGTTGAGGATTTGTGTATATAGAGAATGAGCATGGACACGGATGTCGAAGCCTGTCTGTATACCTAGACAAATGAGTTACTTTGTGAACTAATGGACAAAGTTTGCTGTTTAATCTATTGACTTGAAGTATCTCTTTGACTCACGCCAGTGATATAGTGTTTCTTCTCAATGTTGAAGGGTCCGACCTTGCTGTCGCACTTGAGTTGAGGTATCGTGGCTACCTTCGGCTGACTCTCACCACATCAGCAACACCCTACCTCAGTAGCATTGAGGCTATCCCCAAGACTACACCGAACATCTCAATAGCATAACTGTTACCCTCAAACATCAACAAACAATTGACTCTTATCTCAACACTCCCATCGGAACGGATATCATCGCCTTCATTTAAAAGACAATCCACTTCCAAAGGCACCAAGCCAGCCGGCACGGGAATAGCAACCCGCAAAGTATCCACTAGGAACGATCCGTTGAGCCGCCTTTACGTTATAGAGAACAGGGGTCTTGTCATTCCCAGCCTTGAGGCTTATTATTATCTGAATTCTTAGTTGTCAGGTAACGTAATTAATGCGATAGCTATTTAATGGACGGGTAAATGTAATTGTATTGGGTATTTGTTCTTGCAGTGGCGAGGTTTGGTTGTCGAACCACTTTGGGAGTGATCGACTGACGGGTTGAAAAACGTTTTTCGCTCGGGCCGAAGCAAGCCTTGATCTGTAAGGTACGGCAGGCAAGAAACGGAGTTCGATCAGAGTAATCAGTCATTCTGTCAGGCACAGAGTCAATGATCGACAGTTATGAGAACACATTAACTATAATCACTATTAATAAATGTCTTTGTCTGTCAAACTCAATTGAACCCTTCTTTTCATCACGATCTTCTCCAACTCTTGAATGTGGGGAAGTACGAAAAACTCCAAATTTTCTCTTACAATTTGGAGAAAGTCGATATTCTCCACACTCAATTTACACTCAAAGAAGCTGTAGATAGCCTCGCCTTTCCCCATGGAGATTTACGTAAAGAAACCAAGTCAACACCCGGGGGAGACTCCCCTTTAGATCGTGGAGTATTGATATCGTGAATTGGAAAAATTTTCCCATATCAAAAAGGAGCATGACTGAGTGGAGACGCTCTTCATAGCGTTGTTTTTTTTTACTATGGGCCCGGACCGGTTCTTGTTTTAAAGATCTTTACTTTATAATGGGGCGACCGAACTTGACTTTTCTTCTCCCTCGCTTTGTTTCCTGTTCCCTTGTAATTCTGGTTATTTCCAGATTCTAAGTCTTCAATATGGCTGTCGGAAAAGTTACTGATGATGCTCCCGTTGTGGGTGAGAAGGGCGTCGTGAATGATGCTGATGAGAGAGGTGGTCCTATTGTTAAGGAACCCTTCACCGCAACAGGGGAGGAATATGAACAAGATGATTTCATGACCAGAACGGGATTGAACGCCAAGTCTTTTACCAGAAAACATTATGGTCTGGGTCTTGTCGAGTTGGATCGTAAGATGAAGCCCAGACATCTTCAGATGGTTGCTATTGGAGGATCTATCGGTGCTGGATTCTTTGTTGGTTCAGGTTCTGCTCTGAGCAAGGGTGTAAGTCAAAACATCGACTTGGTATGATCCAATATTGACTTGACTGTTAGGGCCCTGCTACTCTGTTCATCGACTTCTTCCTCGTGGGGGTCATGGTCTTCAACGTCGTCTACGCCATGGGTGAATTAGCTGTCATGTATCCCATCTCAGGCGGTTTCTACACCTACGCAGCACGCTTCATCGACCCAGCATTTGGTTTCGCAATGGCTTGGAACTACACCCTTCAATGGGCCGCCACACTTCCTCTGGAACTCACAGTCTGCGCCATCACGATCCAGTACTGGGCCCCTGACTCAAATCCCGGTATATGGATCGCCGTTTTCCTTGCTGCGATTATCATTCTCAACATGTTTGGCACTATTGGATACGCTGAGGAGGAATTCTGGGCTGCGTGCTTCAAGTTGACGTCTATTTCGATTTTCATGATCATTGCGCTTGTGTTGGTCTGTGGAGGAGGACCATCGAGTGGAAGTTACGACACATACCAAGGATTCAAGTTGTGGCACGATCCAGGCGCCTTCAAGAACGGATTCAAGGGCTTTTGCTCTGTTTTCGTTACTGCGGCGTTCTCATTCGCGGGATCAGAACTCGTTGGTCTTGCAGCTGCGGAATCTCGAAACCCCACTGAATCAGTTCCCAAGGCTATCAAGCAAGTCTTTTGGCGAATCTGCTTGTTCTACATCGTTGCATTGCTGTTCATCGGTCTTTTGGTCAGCTGCAACGACGAGAATCTCCTAAGCTCAAGCTCCTACTCCAACAGCGCGGCATCACCCTTCGTTCTCGTCGGAAAGTACTCCGGTCTTCACGGTCTTGATCATTACATGAACGCCGTCATCCTTTCATCCGTCCTATCTCTCGGCATTGCTTCCGTATACGGAGGCTCTCGCACGCTTCTCGCTCTCGCACAGCAAGGTTTTGCGCCCAAGATCTTCACGTGGGTTGATCGTGCGGGACGACCTTTGCCATCCGTTGCGTTCATTATTGCGTTTGGATGTCTTGCTTTCTTGAACTTGGATGCTGCTGGTCCTGTTATTTTCGATTGGCTTCTTGCTTTGTCCGGTTTGGCTATGCTTGTTTGCTGGGGATCTATCTGTCTCGCGCATATCCGATTCCGAGCTGCGTGGAAGTACAATGGCCATACGCTTGATGAGATTCCTTTCAAGGCCATAGGTGGTGTTTGGGGATCATGGATTGGTCTGATTTTCGTTGTTCTCATTCTTATTGCACAGGTAAGTTTCAAGTTTGCCCCCCTTCTTCTGACAGCCATCTAACAATTCACAGTTCTACGTTGCCATCGTTGCCCCAGTAGGCGAGTCAGGAATGGGAACCGCCGAAGACTTCTTCATGCAATATCTCGGTCTGCCCATTGTTCTGGCCTTCTGGCTCGGAGGATGGATCTGGAAGCGAACAAGCTGGATCAGTATCGAGAAGATCGATATCGATACAGGACGACGTGAACATGACTGGGATTCTATCAACGCTTGGCGGGCTGAGCTCGCCACGTTTCCTTGGTATAAGCGATTGATGTATACGCTGTTTTAGAGTTTGCGTGGATATGATTAAGATTTAGAGTTAATGAATTGCGAAAAGTTCTGGATTTCTGGTATGAGATGGGATTGATAACTGGCCTCTTGGATCTGTGAAGTGGTTTGGTTCTTTGGTTAAGTGTGCGATTGTTGGTCGGTTGTATGTTCAAGTACACGACCTAATCATGGTCTTTGTCTTGTAGCTGAGGATATCCACAAAGGGCTGCGCTTCAGTTTTGTAGAAAGCCATGATTGTTCTGCCGTACTCTGAGAACATGCCCATATTCAAAACACAATGGCTGTTCTCAATACTCGACACGGTTTCTACAAAAGCCACACAGTACCCACCGACTTACATTAGCAAGAATCTAATTCAAATAAAATCAAGTTCGAATCAGAGATCATTACTAACATATCACAGAAAATCCAAAATGGACGAACAAGGCGACGTCGTCATGGGCGGCACATCCGATTCCTTCCCAGAACCATCCCCCTTCCTAACCATCCAAGCCAAAACAGCATTCGCAACCCACCTCAACTTTCTCATCAAACTAACCAATGAACCCATCCCTAATCTAGGCTCCGAGAAAGAACAAATCGAATTCCTCATTCAAAAGTCACAGGCTGTAGCCGACCTTGTTCAGCTTCTGCAAATTAGTTCCGACATACTTGCTGAGCTTGACTCACACTGGCCACGCTGGTCATGTCCAACTTACTGTTAGAGAGACCCAAGAATAGAGGAAGCGAAGAAGACCAGAAAAGTGTGCTAGGTATTGTCAATATTGCGGATCTTACTGTTTATATATAACCCAACACAATACAATCTGTTTGAAGGTGTTTCTAATAATGATTGCTATCTTGAGAATCTAGGGATGTTTGATTATGATATATGAAATCTCTAAGTCGAGACCTGCTTTTCTGTGTAAACCTTATGTTTATGTCTCTACGGAGATCCATCAAGGTTACCGAGCGCAGACATCTTTCGTGTAAGTTACACCCGCCTCTTTACAGGAATATCAGTCAGTTAAGACTATCCTGATATGGATTGGTTCATCAAGCATCGTTTTCCTATCATATGTAACCTCAACTTCTTGCCAGGTATTTCAGAAGGATATCCTGATAGGACCGGAGCTTTTCGTTGAACTCTCTCCACTTGATTGCATTCATACATAATGAACTACCTATTCAAGAACTTCGCCTAATTTCAACCTCTTGGCATGAACACGCGAGTATAAACTAAACTGATGCTATTGCATGACTATAGCGATCTTTGCCACAGAAAGCAGGTTGTTAAGTATAACTCCATATTTTATGCAACTCACTTATCATTCGGAGATAATAATGGCCTCCGGTAAAGGCGGGGTTGATACAACTTCGACCTGCATCATATATGCTCAACTCACATATAAATTACGGCAAATTCGATCAAAATGGAGGACTCTCAAGTATCTCGTTCTAAATCCAAAATGAGCGAAGTAGCAAACTCCAACGTCGTCGTCATCGGCGGAGGCATCGTCGGCGCCTCAATCGCCTGGCACTTATCCTCCGAAACAAACGTAACCGTCATAGCAGAAGACATCGGCGGCGTAGCAACGTCCAACTCATTCGCCTGGCTAAACGCTGCATCGACAGATAAGAAGTTCTACTATGACTTCCGTCTTCGCTCGATGAAGCGATGGAAGGAAATCGAACAGGTCTTTGATTCGCTCCCGATTCACTGGGGTGGTACAACGACATGGGATAAGTCACCCGAGCAACTTGAAGCCGCAAAGACCAATGCTTCAGCTTGGGGCTACGATGTTATAAGGGTTGATAAGACGGAGATTGAGGAGATTGAACCACATGTTGAAGAAGCTCTTTTGCCTGAGTGGGGTCTTGCGTATGGACAAGAGGGTGCTCTTGAGGCTGAGATTGCTGCTCAGAAAATGATCGAGCAGGTCGAGGAAAGGGGAGGAAAGGTTCTCGAGACAAGAGCTAAAGGGTTCACCAAGAGTGATGGTCGTATCAGCGGCGTTGTTCTTGACTCTGGAGAGACTGTTCTAGCCGATCATGTCGTCGTGGCCGCTGGTCTGGGCAGTGTCGCCCTCCTCGCAACAGAAAACATCAAACTCCCCCTCGAAAGTTCAGAAGGTCTCCTAGTCAACACAAAACCCACATCAAAACGCCTCATCAACGGCGTCATCAACGCCCCCGATCTTCACATCCGCCAAACAGTCGAGGGAGCCCTACGCTTCGGCTCGAGCTACGCAGGCGGCGACCTCGGTGATGACGCAGAAAAGACAGCACTGGAACTCTTCGCCAGACTACAAAAGTCAGTCGTTGGTGGTGATGAGCTTGAGTACAGCCATTATACTATCGGAGACAGGGTTTTGCCGGTGGATGATTTGCCTATTCTTGGGGAGACTGGGCTTGAGGGACTAAGTGTTGCTGCTATGCATTCTGGTGTTACTAATGGGGCTCTTGTTGGTGAGCTTTTGAGTAAGATGATTTTGACGGGGGAGAAGGATCCTATTCTAGAGAACTTCCGGCTTGATCGGTTCCCTTGAAAATATAACCTATCGTTAGGGTAGTCAATTAGCTTAATTGGTATTGGCATCTGAGTGCAAGGTTTGTGCAACAAAATCTAGAGTTTAATATGGGTTATCTAGATAGGTAACGGAAGAAATATCCTCTCAGGCTTAGGCTACTAAGACAAATTTACCTAAATGCTTCTTTAAATTACCATAAGATGACTGAACTATTTTACCTCTTATGCCTATAACGGTTAATTCTCCTGACACGCTGCGGGTTATGTAAGATGCTCGATCTCTTATATGATTTTGATTCTGGGGTTGTGATGGCAATCACGAATGATCGAATTCATCGCCAGTTCATATTTGAGATGATTGAATATTCTTATTGTATTGCTAACCCTTGGGTATATCTGCATTCTAGGGTTTACTTGAAAGAGACACCAAATTTCAACAAACCAGGCAGCCTTCCTACTCACATTCGCCAAGTTCCACCCCAACTAAGGATGCACCAGCGAAACCAAACGCGGAAAAGCGTCTAACCAAGGAGGTCCCAGCTTCCAGTTATTAAGATCACATGCAATAGCCTCAAACTCGGGACTGACACAGACCTGCCCACCTTCCATCGTCATGAGCGAACACCCTGGCGGCCACTTCAGCTGCAAAGACTCGAGATACATCTTGACAGAATGCCTCGACTTGATACGCGGATTCGTACAGAGAAAGTCACGAAGATCGGGCCAAGGGATGTAATCGATGCTCACAGGATGGGGATATGTATTTTGGACCTCGGTTGGTAGAAGCCACGGCGGCACGTCCTTGAGCGTCATAGGATCGGGATGTAAGCGCCACTATTAAAGGTTAGTTTATGGTTCATAGGATTCAAAAGGAATACGAACCCTCATAAGTCGATAGGCAAAGAAATAAACGCCAAACAAAGTCTCCACACTGGCCATCTCGAACCCCTTGAGGAAGGAGGTAAGAAAACATGTGACAGCGTTGTCACCGTACGAGTGAAGCGTCATATTAGGCAACGAAGGGTTCCGAGGCAGGGATCGCGCATGAAGAGGATCCTGGGGAAACGCTGCATGGGTTTCGTACAGGATGGCGAAACTGCGGTACTCGAGACAGTCGGACTGGGAGTGATGCTGCACTCCGCATCGACAATCCACGTGCGATGGTGTGGGGAATAAACTTGACATGACCTCGGGTGGTGGCATCTGGATCTCGGGCTCGGGATGAGGCGCTTGTGCTGGTGTTGGTCTACCTGTGCCGTTTGATGTTGCAGATCGCGTTGCGGGGAAGTCCGGGGTCTCGGTGCTAGTATCCATCTCGTACGCTTCACCGGGGTTTTGACCTGTTGATGAAAACACATTCCCAGCCTGTCTTTGACTTGACCTTTGCTGTTGTTGCTGTTGTTGTGAAGCCATCATTTCAGCACCCAACTGAGGCAACGTCCTCAACTGTGCAGAAACAGTATCCAGATTTTTTCGAATCTGCGCAATATCCGATTCCATTCTCTCCATTCTCAGTTTATGCTCCTGGCGATTCTCTCTGTGCTTGACGCGGTCGGCCAGTCGCTTCTGGCTCATCTGAGCCTCTGTGCGGACCCGTCGCTTGGCCGAGCCGCTTGGTGGAGACGCCGACATAGAAGGCTGTAACTTTAATTGTCTTGATTAGGGAGGTGAAAACAAAAAAAGAGTTTTGTTTGGGTCCGTTTGAATCCACTTGTTTCTGAGCGAGGGATTGAGTTGTGAGTTGATTGAGTTGAGATTCAAAGTGAGAAAAGGGGCGCGTCGACGTCGACCAGTTAAATAAAAACTGAAAGGGTTCTGGACCAGAAGAGTAGCAGGGGTTGCAGACACACTGAGAGAGGATGGTATATGAGGCCCCTCGTGTCTAGACTTGGCAATCTATTCTGAGGTTAGTGATGTACACTAGGTAGATTAGGTTGTACAGTCAACGTACGTTACTACTGTATGGGATATGTCAGTTGGTAGTGATAGTCGTAGTGGCAGTAAGAAAAAAAAGGAATGAGAAAGCGTTGAATTTCTCTTGGGTGTGTGAGTTTCTGCCACGACCGACGGGAGAGCCGAAACGCGGGGTAAAGGCCGAGATGAGCACTCACTCTTTTCCTCTTCTGTTCTAGCTCTGCAAGGATTAAAAGAGTTTCTGTTGGGAAACCGTTTTGTTGATTTAGATGTTAAGAGTTTGATTGGTCAGCTGAGATCAGGAACTTGTAACATTTCGACATTCATAAGCAGATAACAGTTTAGAAATTAATATAGCCGGTTTTAGAACATGTATGCTCTGTATTATCCGTGCTAATAATAAGGGTTGTGAGAAACTAGACCCAACAAAGTAGCCTAAAGACGATCCGCACATCCCTGGTCACTCCAATCGATAAGGGTCCAGTCCAGTCCAGAGTCCAGACGAAAGCATCATTCTCCTACACGAAGTTCAAACCAACTGAAATCTGAGACATAAACGAAACTATAAACTCAGTACTCTATTTAAACTTCTGTCACTATAAAACAAACGAGGTTTCGAAACAGTCTAGCAACGTCATAGTTCGTCTGATAGTCAAGATATAAAACACAAAAAGCAAATGTCACATTCGTTTCAAAAAGTAAATATCTGCAGGATGGGTTTTGAGTTCTGCAACTATGACAAAAATAGAGTCTGGTTGTCATTTGATCACTTAGACCCTATTCGCTAGTCCATCGCCTCGGGCTTCTGCCCATACACGACGATTCTAAACCAAGATTAGTCAGACAAGACCTCAAACTCTGATACTATATAACTTACATAGGAAGATAAGCGTGGATCTTAGGATCCCTAAGCTGCTTCCTCACCTCCGCACAGAACAACAAAGTCTCTTCCTTGGTCCACTTCAACGCCCTCGTGAACAGCCCCAAGGTCAGCCCTTCAAGCCCTCCATCCAAATTCGCAAAGCACCAAGCTCCCATCTCTTTGTAGTAAGGATCTTTAGGCCATGCACTAAGCGGCCACTTGAGATGATGCTCCTTGATGTTGACAAAACCAGCCTCTTGCATTATGGCTTTATAGTGTCGGGGTGCTTCAGCGGAGCGGTTGAGGATCTTGCTACCTTTGCAGAAGTAGGTACCTAGTTTGAAGAGTTCGTGATGAGGTTTGAGGGTGCCGTCGTCAGATTTGTAGGGTGCGACTATGTCTTGCATTTCGAGCCATCCGCCTGGTTCAAGGGCGCTAGAAGGGAAGTTAGTATAGCCCTAGTCAGCTACGACGCAGTATCAAACAGACTTGTATGCTTTTGAAATGTAGGCGTCGTAGTCTTCGAAGCTACCTGCCATGACACGGCTGAAGATGAAGTCGAATGGCTTTGTCCAATTCCAGTCTTTTTCAAGATCGTCGACCTCAAAGGTACAGTTCACAGGGACCCTGAGCCTCGGTCAGTATGTAATCTAACTGATGGACAGAAAACTTACATGCTTGGCTGGGTTGGGCTCAAGTCAACGCCGATGACCTATCAAATCAGCAACCTAATTCAGAATCAAGGGAAACGACGTACCTCTGACTCCGGGAACGCATCAGCTTTGGAAATTGTTAGTAAGAATATGAATCGTTACTTCTCAGACGCACCATATTCAATAGCCCAACATCCAGTCCCGGTGCCCAAATCCAGAACTCGCTGCGCAGGTTCATTGCCCTTGGGACACAGCGCAAGACTTCCACGCAGGGTCAGCAGCCAGATGTTATGCTGAATTTCTTTGCGATTGTCAATAAAGATATCAAGAACTGTATAAGACACTCTTACCCAGCCGCTCATTCTCTCGTTGATCGTTCGGATATACGTATTCTGTTACATGTCAGATTCAGATCAGGCCACGTTCTGAAATGCGACCTACTTCCGGCGCTCATGGAATGATAAGTTCGACCATTCTCAATCTGATACTGGAGAATACTCGACCGAAGAGAAGCAACAGAGTCGGTAAGTGGCTGGCAGAGGTAAGTTTAAGTGCAAACTGAAGAGTCGCCAGGTAAGCTAAACTCACCTGAGAGATGGTAGAGTCTCCATCTGAGAAGTTATCGGCGTGCTTTCATAAGTCAGTACACGCGGCCCCAATATGATTTATTTTCTGATACTCACGATAATCTCACCCTCTTGGGTGACACCCTGGTCTTCGAAAGCCATCCTGAAAAACTGAAGATTAACTTTCTCAAGTCGAACAGGCTCTCAACCCCTCACTTTATAGGTGAACAAAAAGTCTCATTGCTATGTTGGTAACTCCCTGCCCTGCCCGCGTAACCGATCATGCACTTGCTAGGGTACTGTGGTGGTTTTGACAAACCCGATATCCCTGCTTCGTAAAATGTAACCAACATGCATGTTTTCGACAACCAACATATCATTTGTCGAATATGATCTCCATAATTCAAAAGGAACTTCGGCCCAGTGGTATGTCTTGCAAACATATCATATTAATTCTTTCCATATATGGCATAGGTAAATGGGTGAGATATCTCCTCGCACTCTTGGCCAGAAATGTCCCTTTCCCACCAATCTCAAAAAAGGCCACAATGCAGAAAAGCCGGTATAATCAACATATAGGCCGTTTCAACATTTGCCGCCAGTTCAGTATCAACCAGAAATCCGGCAATCTTTGGGAAAAGTGCATCATCGTGAATCGTTCCGTCATCAGAATGTATGCCGGCCACACCCAAAACTTCCTCAACCTGGGAAGCTACAGCGAGTATGAATATCGAGAAAAGTTCCTGTGCCCATATGATTAACGGATCTGTCGTTTCGCGGTCAGCGATGGCGAGTTCAATGGTCTTCTCTGGCACTTGTTCTTTTCTTCCAACACGACTCTGTTAGCATTCATATTGTAGGTGGAAGCTCGGGTGTGCTATACCTGGATAGTGACGAGAGAAACATGCCGAGACACCAAATGTCCCCGGCTGGCCTCCACCCATATGTATCAGGGTGTTCAGAATCTTTCTCTCTCTCCTGTATCAAAGCCTTCTCAACTTTGAGGCCGGAAATCTGTAACCACCGTTCAAGTTTATCAACCTTTTCCTGGATTTCTTCGACTGAACTATGCCCCACAATACGTCTGGAGAAACTGCTAGTTATCCTTGGATTGCGCTTTTCATCCAGAACTGCCCAGGAGCACGCAGAAAGTGATAAAATAGCCGTAAGATAATCCGCTTCGAGTAGCGTCCAGGTAGATCTCCCATTATTTCCTCTAGCGCTCAGGGATCTATCATTTTTCCTTCTGAATAGCAATTGAAGAGGCTCGACCGAAACAGTGGTCAAGCCATGTTCCGAGAACTGGCCCAATCCAATATCGAGTCCCCATACAATATCCATCGCCGGGTTGCCTTTGGTAAAAAGATACTGCTCTACCGACATCGATCGCGCAAGTTCTGGGTTCTTCCAGCGTACTATTCCTTGTTGGCTAATCAAGTTCATTACTTGCTCAAGAACCTTTTGGAGGGACTTTGCAATCTTGACAATTTCTTGGTCATCTGTTCCTCTTATTCGGAACCTTTGAGCTTCATTGAAAGTCAAAAGTGGTTTATGTTCGGCGGGAAGATGATTCTTCACTGCCGCAAGAGGAAGCACAGTCAAAGTGGTACTCAGAGGGCCGACTATCGGAACAGAAGATTGGGCCTTGAACAGCCGTTCCGGGACTTCCTCGTAAGGGGATGAGCCGATTGTCATGGTCGACGATATCAACTGCCAGAAGTTCTTCAACTTTAGGCCCTCGGATAAAGTGGCGTTTTCCTGTGCTTCGTTCATTAGCAAGAGGGCCAACCAAGCCAGTTCATGACCCTCTTTAGCTGGTATGGCTATCGGATGCTCCCCTAAACCGCGCCTGACCCAGGATCTGATGGCCGTGATGACGAGCGTTACGCCAAGTTGGACAACAGTGGCGGACCAGTGAAGAGCGCGAAATCCGACGAACTGGATGATGTATCCAGTTACCGCCAGCAAGGCTGAGCAGGTGGCAAGGAACCTGGTGACACATGCTTAGTGATTTCACCTCTCAAGAGCCTCTTAGCTTACCTATAATCCTTTTCCACTCGACGAGATGTTCTGACTGTCTGAGATCCATTGACATCCGCATTAAAGATGACATAAGCTGGAAAATGCTGGTCCCCAACCGTCCTTGCGCTTTGAAACCAGAAAACCCTCGCATCCCTCCATTTTCCTCTATCGGACACACAGAACTCATGTCCCTCGGTGGTGCCTTGAATGATTCTGCCACAGAGCATGGTCCCAATGATCAAGCATATCGTTCCAACGCAAAAGCAGGGGTATGCATAGGCGTCAGGAGGACTGTCATCTATTTTCCATCTCCACCAAAAGGTGATGAGTCCTGGGAAAAGCAATGCCACAGATTGTAACAGGATACTCAGAGCGGTCCATGACCATAATTCCCACTTTGGTGCCACAGCCTGAGGCACATTCAAGGCGAGGCTCGGAGCTGTGTCATTGATAATGCTACACAACTTGAAGGGTATCTTGTTAAATATATCGCCGCTTTTGTCGTCCCAAAAGAGTACCATCCCATTAGCAGTGGCGATGTCGCAGATCTTACCATTACCCAAGGCGACGAGCATCTTCGTTTCTTGCGAATCTCCAATCAAACGGACGATTTGTTGTCCGCTCCACATCTCACAGACGTCTCCGGATGTTGACGACAACAGATCTTGTTCTGCCACTGAATGACTTTCTCGTGCTCTTCAATATTGGTCTTAGTCTCTGTAATGGATTTGCTTCCCATATACTGACCTTCCAATGAGCGCCTTGAGCCTCTTATCACCTGCAACGCGTATAGCACTGACTATGATGGTAACTACACCGAGAGGACCCATCGATAATAAGATATTATCGGCCCATCCCATACTCATACTTAGGAATTGGATTGTAACCTGCTCACCGAACAAAGTGAGCAGCGGCGCCAGATCACTAAAAAGATTATTGGAGAAGTCATTGTCAAATTCAGGCATTGTCACGATTAGACGGCGAATCTTGAGAAAATTGAAAAGGATTGTAAGCTGTAATGAAAAGAGAATAGATTAGGGCTAGCGTGACTATCTGTGGTGATGCCTAAGGCCCCCCTGTACATGAACAATTGCGACAAACCCATGTACGCGCAGGCGTACCTTCCGTATAGCAACCATGAACAAGAATAAGTTAAACTACCTAGTCATAATTCTGAATACGTGGATCACCACTTTAAGTCCTCCCCAGTCACCTTCTCTGAAAACTTCCACAACTTCTCAGCCTCACTGCTCGAAACAGCAAGAGATCTCGCTTGCTCACTGATTTGACACTCAGCAAGATAAGTTCCATAATTCTCACTTCCCTCGTGAGTCTCACCAACTCCAACAGCCAACTTCGGGTCCAGCGCCGCAACAAGACCAGTCGAGGCTCCTGCGCCTACAGACTTGACAGCGTAGAGACCAGCTTCACAGAGCTTCGTCGCAGCTTCGATAGTCTCCTGCGGAAAGTGCCTTGGAAGTTCGGTGGTCATGATAACACCTGGATGGACAGCAACTGAAAGGATTCCGTGCTTTTCAAAGAGACGTTTGTTTGCGCCGATGCTGAAGAGGACGTTGGCGACTTTACTCCTATCGTAGCCATCTAGGGGGATGTAGGGCACGTCTTCAGCATTGTTGTAACCCCAGAGTTTGAAAAGATCATAACTTGGCTGTTCATCCTGTGGGAGATCTTTATTCTTCTTGTCAAAGTTCATGTCACTCCAGCGCATACTGGAAGACATTGGAGAGGCGGAAGTGATATTGGCGATTCTGACAGACCCCTTCGGCTTGCCTTCTGCTGCCTTGATAAGCTTCGGCATCAGAAGACAGGTAAGAAGCCAGTGTCCAAGATGGTTGGTTGCAAGTTGCAACTCGATACCATCTTCGCTGAGCGTACGTTTCTGAACACCCATTACAGCAGCACTGTTGATGACGATATCAATGGTTGGGATGTCGGACAATTCTTCAGCTGCCTTGCGGACGGACTTCTGGCTGGACAGGTCGACCTCAAGAAAACGGTACTTAACGTCCGGGAATTCTGACTTGAGAGCTTCGATACTCTCCTGGACTTTGGCTGGGCTGCGGCCTGCGAGGATGAGCAGAGCTGGTGCTTGCGTAGCCTTGAAGTGGTTAGATAAATATTCGATCTTAGTGGCTAGTGGTGGACTTACCAACGCATGGGCAGTTGAGAATGCAATACCACCACGGTTTACACCAGTGATGAGGATATTCTTGCCATGAATACCTTCAGGGAAAGCCTTAGCGATATCGACGCCTTCAGTGTTGCTTCCGAACTCTGAGTAGGTTGTAGAAGCCATGTTGGAAAGGTGCCTTTGAAAGCAATTGGATTTGTGTTAAGTAATTTAGTTGTGACTGTTCTTGGTTTCTGTTTGATAATTCTCATATTCCACTGGGCACTCACTCTTTTTATACCCAGATGATGTCTTCATGTCGATAGATCCTTTGTATGCGTTCATGTATACAAGTCGATATCAACCAATAAGAGACTTGCTTCCCGATTCGGAAACTCAGTTGAGCCGCAGTTCCTACGCTGCCATCCTTTCATCTTGGCCAATGGGAGACTTATTACTCGATTTGGTTAGAGCTTCTACGCCACGATGATGAATCTTTATTGGTTGAATCTCATTGAAGGACGACATCATTTCAGGAGCTTGGAAAGCTTCGTCGGACTTAAGATTATTACCAAGGGATTGGCTCATCAATTGGTCATAACTCCATTGCTTAACTCCATTTCCACACTCCGCACTTTATCCCACAGCCTTTGTCCTGATTCATCATGAATCACCGTCATCCAGGGAAACTTGGTCAAGCAATCCCTCGCATCCTTCCACGTTACGACACCGATCCTTGAAGCTTCCTCACGCAGTCTCGTGATCATCCACTCCTGGTCATCTCCCTTGGGAACAGATATACCTCCCAACATCAGAAGCCAAAAGGCAAAACCTCCGTCCGCCATTTTCAGAGCATGTCTGATACAGGCCGCAATTAATCCCGGCTTGGCAAGACGACTTTGGTGATTGTTCCAGAAGGTAGACATGAGGAATACCAACAGTCCGATGTGGTATGCTGAATCAATATCTTGTATCAGTCTGGACTCGTTCAATGTTCTGAATCCCATGAGTCTGTAGCAGACGGACACCAATATTTCTTGAAATTCAATAACGTCAAGAGGCTTTTTTTCGATGTGTTTGTTGAAGAGGTTGCAGACGCCCAGCAGATCTGAAAAGGCTTCCCTGAGCGTCCCGTCCAGTTGTTGTATTTGGGGACTTTTCACATCCGGGTTGCTCTTTAACGTAAAGCCTCTTGACAACAAAATTGCCCGCATCTCGGCCATTCTATTGCGATGAAAAAGCGGTTGGCCGCCTTGTTGCAAAGTAAACAGGATATCAGTGCTTGTAAGAGTCAGCACCAAACTCACTCGCGTAACTGATTTTCAAGTGACTACTCACCGGCAGATCTTGGTGGCCACAGCATCATCTTCTATCTTATCCAGCCCCCCACGGAGATCAACAATCTTTTTCATGCCCTGGACATGAGCTTCAGCGTCAGCGTAATGCCCCGCTACTTGCTCATGATTGATAAGAGCCATCACGATAGAGAGCGTTCCATCAGACAGAGCGTCACTACTGTTGAGGCGTTTTGCTAGTGTGTCAAGAGTTTGAGATAGGCAGGATAAGGATTTTGGGCAGCCGTAACCTGCGCCAAGATATGTTTCGTTTGATGATTGGATTAGAGCTAATGAGCATTCGTATGCTATAACCGTTAGCATATGTCTAGACAAGGTTTGATAAGAGATTTTCATACCGGGCTTGCTGAGAAACATGATTTCGAGCCACCGCATCTTATACTGCTCGATATCAAAACCCATCTGAGTTGGATATATCTGATTGATAGTGAAGGTGAAAACTAAGTTTGTCGTATCAGCCAATGTCATACACTCGATGATTAGTATAGCTCACAATCATAGATAGCTTTGCTAGCGATCTTAGTCATCGGTACAGGAAACGGAAAGGTGAGGAATTGAGTGCCGATAGGTCGTTCTATTCTCTCCATGGCGTGATATCGGACAACCTGATTCGCTTTTGACGGTCGGTGGAAAGTTTTGCCTGCATTTTTGCCTTTCATTACATGGCGTCGCATAAGTTTCTTTGAATTTCTATCGGCTTGCAAGCCGTCCACGAAGAAGAACGTCTGTTCCATCCCGTCGTTGATTGTATGTAAAAAGGAGTTTGGTGGGGTGATGTCAGCGTAAGCAGCTGCAGCCTCTTTGTTGGTTGAAGTCTGCTTATTAATCGCAATCAACTCCTATCGTCATCGACTTCACAATCCTCAAAGACTATAATATGTTTGAATAATGATAATATGTATTATGTTCATCTCGTAACTCATACTTTTGTACGTATTCTACAGAACCGGTCCACTAATAGGAACCTCATCAAACGCTCAACTTCTCATCAACTCATCATCAACTCATAATACAGGAATAATTAATTGTACATCAGACCTCCTTAAACCTCAACAGCACCGCAAGGGCCACCATGAGCGTGAGTGTGAGCGCTGGTGCGCTTGAAGATCTGAGCATGGTCGGCATCCCGGCGTCGGGTAAGGTGGTTCACTGCGGGAATACCCTTGAAGCTCTTGGCGTACTTGGCAACAGAGTTGGCAATAGCCTGTGTGTTGACGAGGAAAGCCTCCTTGTTGAGGTTGTTGATGTCGTCACCAGCCTTGTGGTAGTTGATATCGTAAGCGACACCAGCCTCACCACCGAACTTCTTAGCCTCCTCCTCGGTCTTGAGCTGCTCGGCACCGGTGAAGAGACCACCGGAGGGAATACCGTTCTCAATAAAAGCGGCGTAGTCAGAGCGACCGCTGAACTCGGAGGGAACAGATTGGAGACGCTTGGTCTTGAAGAACTTCTCAAAGTCCTTCTCGATGGCGTCGGAACCAGCAGGGCCGGTCAGGTTGAAAGCATCACCATCACCATCGTAGATACCGTAGACGTAGTTGGGGCTGGCAATCATGTCAAAGTTGAGGTAGGCACGGATCTTGGCGATCTCGGTGTCGGAGCTGTTGATGCTCTTCATGTAGGCGTAGGATCCGAGAAGACCGAACTCCTCAGCAGACCAGAAACCGAAGCGGACGGCGTTCTTGACGCGGTACTTGGTAAGAGCCTTGGCAACGTTGAGGATACCAATGATACCAGAGCCATCGTCGTTGATACCGGGTCCAGCAGCAACGGAGTCGGAGTGGCCTCCGACGACGAGGACGTTGTCGTGGTCACCCTCCTTGGTCTCAGCAATGACGTTGAAGGTAACGCGGTTCTCGACGGTAGCGTCAACAGTGAGGTCGACGTTAACCTCACCAGCCTTGGTCTTAGCAAGGATAGCCTCACCATCCTCCTGGCTGATACCAACAATGGGAGCAAAGTCACCGAAGGGCTCACCCAGAGTACCGCTCAGCTCGCCAGCAACGTTGTTGTAGACGATGACGGCGGCAGCACCGGCAGCCTTACCGCTGGAAGACTTGGCGGAGAAAGCACACTCTCCACGCTTGACAAGGACGACGTTGCCCTTGGACTCAGCAGGGAAATCGCTGGCCTCACAACCAAGGTTGGAGGCAACGACGAGGGGACCAGAGGCCTCACCAGCGGGGGTGTAGGTCATGATGGAGGCAGCAATGTCAGCGCCGTCGGCCTTGAGGGCGGCAGTACCGGCAGAGTACAGCTCAGTGAAGGGCTGCTTCTTGACGTCGTAGTAGTTCATGGCCTTGAGGGTGTTGTAGAGGTAGTCGACAGTGGCGTTGTGGCCCTTGCCTCCAAAGACGCGGGTGTCGTCGTTGGCATCGGCAATGTCCTGGAGCTTCTGGGCACCGGCCATGAGACCCTTCAAGGTGATGTCCTTCTGGAGCTTGAGCTCGTTGACCAGAGGCTTCTTGGTGGAAGCGGTGGCAAGGCCAGCCAAGGCGAGGACGGTAGAGTACTTCATCTTGAATGTGAGACGACGGAAGAGAGTAGAGGAGTGAGGAGGTGAGGTGAGAAGGGGATTGTTGAGGGTGGAAATCGATTGATATTTATATGTTGCAGATCGTCATCTATCTGCCATATTGTCAATCTATCTCTGTCGCTGGGCGAGTAACATTGCATACCAATACCAAGGCCTGTACCATAGTCAGTGCAACAGTCCAAGTCAAGACCTTGTCTAGGCAAAAAAGGCTATGCTGTTTATTGATAGGATGAAGTCGTTGAACTGCACGGCACTTCTGCATAGCACAAAAGAAGATTGCACCAATGAGCTGTTCCTTCCGATCACGGCGCTGACCCAAAAGAGGCAGTTCCAGGGATGGAAATGGCGATCGAATCTTGGCGTCCGCTCTCTTTCCCCGCAGGAACTGCCTGTTCCAGGATCTAGCGCCGACTCAAATCACACCTCGTCCAGGAACTTTTGGAGGGTTTCTCTTGCCCGCTGGCTAATCTTTCCACTAACTATGTTGATAACGGCAGGTCGCAGGGATAATGATTACTTGGCGGGGCTTTTGTGAGTGTCCGAGATAGCACGCGATTGACTAGGCATTAAGAGTAATAATAAGCATCATTCAAGCTTATTCGTCCTTCCCGAGATAGACAACCTCTATCTTTGTCGCCACTGAGGATACAGATATCTCATGACCAGTGGCTGGGCAAAATGCTCCGCTCTTTTTAGTCTTGTCTTTACTATCAATTTGTCTTGTCTACCTCGGCCAACTCTTGTCAAGTCCCCCTGCCCCATCTAGATAGAGAGGAGACTCACCGGTTCTTTTGTACGAGCCTTGTCCGGGGTAAAAACAAGGTTAGCCCCCGCCGATAGATAAGAACCTTGCACGCAATTGAGTTGTGCCACCTTCAGCCAAACGTTATATCCGTTACCGTATCTGTAGTTGATATCCGTTCTGTGGCTTTTCTGATGATCTTGTCCTACTAGGAAAGAAACATTTACGGGCTTCACCGATCGAGCGTTGCATTCGCTGCACCTGTCACGGTTTATAGAAATGATCTTCTCTATTGTACATGAGTAGTTCGTCGCGGCGACATGTGCTGTAACCCAGCCTTGTGAGGCGAATTGATTCTGAGAGCGGGAATGGGCACATGTTGGGACAAGATCTGGATGGTACTCTGCAGTTGGCCACCTACTGCTCGCATTGGCGTTTGCTTGGCTGCTTCAGTTAATGGCAAATTATACATGTTACCAAGAAACGGAATGAAGGAACCGCAGGACGGAAGATAGCCGGTGTCGTTCCGTCCGTCTGTCGTGTGCGTTGCATGGGATCTACCTGCCAGACAAACATTAGTCTCCCCACGTTACATCAAGGAATGCGGATGAAGACAGTTTCTTGGCAAACGCCAACGTCTCACCACGCATTGTCGTAATTAAACTTAAACCCATTTACCGACTCTTTTGAGCTGTGATCAAGACCAATGAGAGTCATCTGGAGTTAACTTTGTTTTTCATTCTTCAGTGCATCAACGACTTCGTTGCCAAGTAAAGTATATGAAGATCTTGGGAGATATAGCTCTGGCCACTTTCATCAATCAACAAAACCTAGGGGATTCGCTCCAGGATCCTTGTATGTTCGGTATCACCGTCTCGAAGCTTATATCCAGTAACCTTCTGGTTCGACACATTAGACTATTCTAACTTGTATCAGATTTCTTCATTGCATATTGCGACAGATTCTTGAGTCTTTTCGCATGTATCGACAGCAATGTCTATCTGTTTTCCCTTGGGCCTATCTCACAAACTTCTTCCAGTCATATGTTGCACTGACCATATTTGAGCCTATCGTTGTAAGAGTTTATGTGGTGACAAACATATGTAAGCAGTGTAGTAAGCTCCAACTAATCAATACACCGGACACAAGGACGAATAAGATTTGAATATGTAAGAAGGCAAAAGCATGATGTCGTGAGGGGTTGCGTTGATAATGCAATTCTTGTATAAATATCAAGACACCATTCGAACCCCTAGCCGACTTACTTCTATCAATATCCTAAGTTAAACGGGAGGCTCTTCGTTATCAACTATTCAATATAGTGGCTCAGACCCGTTCACAAGCAACAATGACATCCAACAGCGCGTCCAGCAATTCCAAAACCGAAGAGTACAAAGCTCTATACCAAGCATACCTCGAACGCTGCAACGCACACGACTTTGAGGGAATGAAAACCTTTTACAAATCCCCATTAAACGTCATGGATAAGCCTTTAGATCCAGACGACGTAGTCGCCCAGTTCAAGCCTCTGGTGGTAGCATTCCCAGACTGGAAATGGCACCTGCGACATTTGACCATCGAGGGTGACTATCTTTCACTACACTTCAAGATCACAGGGACACATCAAGGAGAGTTTCGAGGATATCAACCGACTGGACGAAAGGTGGAAACTACTGAGTTTACGCTGTATCATGTTGTTGATGGGAAGTTTGCCGAGGTTTGGGATTTGATTGACTTTGAGGCTTTGGTTGAGCAGATCAAGTAGGGTGTCACGAATATTATCCATTCTCAGTCATAATAAACTATAGAACGATTACTATTTTGCTATTGACAGCTCTTATAATCAATATGGGCTTGCAATCATTTGTAAGTGCTTGACTCAAGGTGGGATGTTCCTTATCGATAAGCCCCCTCACCGAAGCTCACCGTGAAATTGTCGATAGCAATCGGCCCACCTCCAACGGCTCTTCCACAATGCCTCAATTGAGTCAGACATAGCTCTACATTCGCCGTCATGGTGCTCCCCCTTGCTCGTTGCCGCGCTTCCCTGCGCTCAGGAGCATGCGCAAGACCATTGGCACTCCTTCGCACACAGCAATGCCTTCCTCGAACCCGAAGCTTCACCCAGAGCTCAATTGTCGCATCCCAAGCGGCACGCAACGACATCCTCAGTGCATGGGATAAATGTACGACTAGAAGTAGTTATAGGGCTTACTTATGTGCTGACATGCGCTAGATAGCAATTCCGATATCCCCCTCGATCTCGAAAATAGTGATAAATGCGTTGGCTTCTTGAGTAAACGACGAGTAATCCACAAGCAACTCTCCTTCGCAGACCTTACTACACCATCCGGCGAAACGGTCCAGATCTGCTCCGACGCAAAGAAAGACCCCGATGCGCACGCCCTCTTCACCCAAATCTCTCCATACAGCCCTGTCGTCATCAGCACCAGCGGCAAAGCCGATGATCCATCCTCCGACAAGTCCTCCAAACCCACCGTCTACCTAAAAGACATCCGAGCTCTAAACACAGTTCCTCAGAACCTCATCGTCACACCCGAAGTCCAATTCCCTCCCAAGAAGCGCCACTATCAAATCCGATTCCACCAAGAGTTACAAGAGAGACTCAAGTTCCGATCATGGCTGAAGGGGCAATTGACAAAGGGCTTGCAAGAGAAGGGATTCACGGATATTGAGACACCGACGCTGTTCAAGTCAACGCCCGAAGGTGCGAGGGAATTCTTGGTTCCTACTCGTCAGCGCGGAAAGGCATATGCGCTCAATCAGAGTCCCCAGCAGTATAAGCAGACGCTTATGGCTGGTGGTGTCTCGCGATATATGCAGTGGGCACGATGCTTCCGTGATGAGGATAGTCGTGCTGATCGGCAACCTGAGTTTACACAACTGGATATGGAGTGGTCTTTCGCAGGTGCACCAAAGGTCCGACAAGATGTGAACGACATAATACTGGCTGCTCTCGAGTCGCTACGACCGGCGCATAGCTACCAAGAGATCCGCGGAGAGCGCATACCTGTGCTATCTGAGATTCCTGAAGGAACCCGTCCAGCGGATGAACCTGTCGCACACACATTTACAACACTCAAGTTCCAAGATTGCATATCGTCATACGGAAGCGACAAGCCAGACTTGCGCATCCCCAATAAGGTACGTCCTCACATCATCATCCCAGTAATCAAGCTAATGATGTCAAGATCCACGCGCTACCAGATCTCGAACCATACAGACAATTCGTTAGCATGATCACACATCTCGAAGATCCCTTAATAGAGGCCTTCACTTTCCCCATCTCCACAGAAGACCCAAATGAAGCGCGCAAGCTGGTCACAAAGTTTATGGACAGCTTACCAAGCGCCCTGGCCGACAACCCAGATGGAAAGCCTCAAATTCTCGTATGCGATAGAAAAGCACCCCTGCAGGGCTTTTCCTCGCTGGGATTCGAGGGTCAGGACGTTCTCGATCTTGTATCAGAGGGCGAAGACATAGAGCAAGGTGACCTTGTCGTCTTCCAGGCACGAGAGAAGCCCCAAGGCCAATACTGCTCTGGTTCCACAAAGATAGGCGACCTGCGCATCGCACTATGGAAGTTCCTCGTCGAAGAAGGTTACATGGAGAAGCCCCGTCTAGGTGATCCAGGCTCACTGCAATTCGTCTGGGTAACAGACTTCCCCATGTTCAAGCCCACAGAAAAGGGCGAACCAGGTCAAGAAGGCGCCGCAGGCATTGCAGCGTCGCACCACCCTTTCACCGCTCCTCTCTCCAAATCCGACCTCGAACTCCTCTTCACCGACCCTCTCCAAGCCAAGAGCGCAGCCTACGATCTCGTCCTCAACGGCGTAGAAGTCGGTGGCGGCAGCGAACGTATCCACATTGCATCGGTGCAGAAGTTTATCATGAGCGACGTTCTCCAGATGACGGATAAGAGAATTGGGGACTTTGCGCACTTGTTTGAGGCGCTGGAATCTGGATGTCCGCCGCATGCTGGGTTTGCGCTGGGCTTTGATCGGCTTGTGGCGCTGTTGACGGATACGGCGACTGTAAGGGATGTTATGGCGTTCCCCAAGACGATGAAGGGCGAGGATCCGTTCGTTAAGTCGCCGAGTCGATTGACGGATGAGCAGCTTGAGCCTTACGGATTGCAGTTGCGTAAGAAGGCGAGTGAATGATGCATTTTCAATCACTGCGCTTCATGAAAAGCACGAATACAACGATCGCTTCAAACCCCACTGCATCTGCTGGACAACATAGCTTCATTGATGTTCCCGCTGTACTATAGAAACATTTATCATATGTAAAGCACTTTATAATATACAAAGGACCTAGAAGTCAATCACATGGAGCGTTCATATTAACTTGCACTTCACAAACATGGTCACGATGATAGATTCTAGTTGATTGGCATGAATTTTCGTTGATGTCCTAGCTGGTCATGATTCAGCGTCATTATTCCTTTCCCTATCCGAGCCAGGTCCACACACAATCTATGTCATGCTATCCTCTATGCCCTAGGGTCCCCAAACTCCGGTGTGTTTTGTAAAGAAGTGTACATGCTGCGTAAGGTATCTCGGTGCGTTGATCGAAAAAGCACAATAAACAGGTCGTTTAGATGAGGAAGAAGCCGAAGGCGGTGGCTCCGATGGCAGCCAACATGGCGACGGCACCGGACTGGCCACCGAGGGCAGAAGCAGCGTTGTCGTTGTCGTCGGCAGCAGCAGAGGCGCTGGCGGAAGCTCCGCTGATGGCACCCTCAATGCGAGTGCTGGCGGCATCGAGCTTGGTACCAACGTAGTCACCGGCGCTGTTGTAGTTGGACTCGACCCAGCTCTTGGCGTCACCGCCGTGCTCGGAAGCCCACTGCTTGACCTCATTGCCGTTGCTCTTGGCCCACTCCTCGATGTCGGTGACCTTACCGCCAGCCTTGCTCTCGGCCCAGTCCTTGATGTCGTCGGGGAGGTCACGAGGAAGGACAGCGCGGGCAGTGACCTGGGGGGCAGCCTGCTCAGCGGCAACGAAGCCGGCAGCGGCGACAATAGCGACCTTGGTGAAAAGCATTGTGATTGATTTGTTTTGAGGTGGTAGGTTTGTTTGTAGAAGGTAGCTTTGATGAATGTGAGATGAGAGTGAAGAGTTGTGTTGATGTGAGAATGTGAATGATGTAGCAGGAAAAGAGAGATCGGAAGTGGCAGCTCCTTCCCTTGATATAGATTTCTCTGTTTCCCCTTGTACGCCCAAGCTCAGGCTGTTGCCTCAGCTGCTGGGCTGCTTCCCGCCTTCTCCTGTCATTTACTGTAGCTCAGAGCTAGGCCCTGCATAAAATGCCACGGCTGAACTGCGTCATGTTCCACCACTGAACCCCTGTTTCCAACTGCCATCCATCCAATCAGAACATCATAATCTCCTGCCCCTGCGTAGATCCAACCCCGTTCCAAGGCCTGCGCCATGATATGTCATCACCAGCCGCGATTCTTGCCGTCAGGTGCAATGCCCCAGACCCACCATTTCTTCATTTTCGGTTTCAGCGATACTTTGTGGCGATGTCATTCCAGTTTTTTGTGCCTGGATTTAACTTGTTTCGGGTCGCTTTCAACGGGGACAGGCTATTTCTAGTAACAACAACAGTCGTGGCCGGCCATACGCTACCACGCAGCGTCAGTCGTATGTCAGCCAAGCCTCTTCCATCTTTTTTCTCTGCCGACTTCCCGCCTTGTCGATCGCGATGTTAAAGTTGAATAGAGTATTCCATGTGGGTTCTGACTCAGACGTTCAATTGGAAACACTTTACCCCAGACTTTAAGGTTTTCTGTAGATTGCGCGAGGATCAAGGAAGGAGGCCGCCAGTATGTATGACCTAAGCTCCCACTACAAGTGTGTTTGTGCATTCGTAGTGATAATAGACGCAAATAACGCGGCCACAGCAGTATCGTTGCCATTTTCGGGTTATTTGCGTATTCTTGTGCCGCGTGTTTGCGTGGCACAGTCCGCACTAGCTACGTGGTCCAGGTCTCACAAGACACAGCCATCTTCTTAACAACAAGGCTGGGAGATGTCCACGAATGTGCAGTATGTTAAAGAAAAGCAGGAAATACAGGTCAATCTATTATCCGTCAAAGCGCCTCTCCCATATTCGTCGTTAGAATCATCAGTCATATTTACACAGTTCCATCGCATATCTTCGTAGGCGACCGGACTTTCTCAACGCTCATCAAACCCAACGCCATCGTCTCTTCGCATCACACATTACTTTGCGTTGACAGATGGAGTCGGCGTGCTCCCAGCATCAACATCCGGGTGCTTTCTTTCTATATGTCTTTTCATGTTCTTTCTTGTAAGAACTTCTCCACAAATTTCGCATGGAATCCTTTCTCTGTATGTTCTAGTTAATGGTTGCCAGACTGGGTTTTCTATAGGGTAGGACTCACGATTGCGGCAGACGAAGTCTTTTGCAGTGGGATGAGACTGTGCGTCTCTCAACTTGGTCCACAGCTGCACAGACCGATTGACAGAAGCTCGAAAAGAAGTAATCACTTGGAAGTATCTCCTGCTCGTCGTGAGTTAGGCTTCTAATTGCAGCAGCAGCAGCAGGTGACTTTTTGACGTACATTTCCGAGCGATAGCATATAATGACGGGCTTCGTTCATGCTCTGCAGATAACCAAGGTTGATGAAGCTATCTATAACGGAGACTATGGCCTGAACACGTGGGTCTTTGAGGGAGTCGTTGTCTCGTAAACGTTGTATGTACACTGGCCCAATGCGATTGCCCGGTTCAGATTGGGTTGGTTGGATTGTCACCCTACGGCAGGAGGGGCTAGAGAGGATCAATGTAAGTTCCCCGCAACTTTCTAGAAAACGGGACAAGCTGTATATGATTGACGATTCCCGTAAATTCTGCAAATTCAGGGCTGTGGTGCTGGTAAACTGGGTACTTTCACTGGCCATTTGACTTCCCGACAGGGAGTTGAATGCCAGTAGGTCATATATCGTATGGTCAAGGTCTAGACTCGACCCCAGAATATTGTTCTCCACATGATCACCCTGGGGTGCAGGCGTTGTACTTGGCTCCTCTTGGTGACCTGGCTGCAGCGGATGGCTGTCATCCATAAACATCAAAAGGGTACAAAAGTCTGGGCCAACCAAGTGAGACTCTGGACAAGTAGCCCTGATCAGGTCGTCAAATGCCTCTCGGTGTTTGTGGTTGACTATTGCATTTCTCCAAATCTCAAAGTGAGAGAAGTCAAAGCTGACCTGGTTACCTGCACTATGTTGAATGACGTACGACAAGCTGCAGAGGGCAAGGACTTCTCCCAGAGTAGTGGGAGGCAGGTATAATAAGGTGTTCCGATAGCTGTTTACTGCAGTCTCGTAGAAGCGAGTACGCTTGACAAAAGAGTCGAGGCTATCGTCGATACCTGCAAGGTACAGGTTACGCCTTGCAGCCACTAGCCGTTGACGGGCTTCTTCTAATTTGACCTGGACAATTCGAAGAAGCCCCCATTGATGAGATATATGTCGATTGAAGGTTTCAGGATAAGGGAAGTAGGTTATTGGTGTTGCTGAGGAGTCGAGATAGACAAGGCTGGCAAGGAGGCCTTCAGCTCTTGGTTGCAAGAATGCCCATGTCGGAAAAGATAGGGTTGGGGTTGCCATGAGAAGGGTTTTGATGAAAAGATGAGGAAGCTGTGAACTGTAGTGGTAAATCCCTATCATGCGCAATTCGGAAAAAGTGAAAGGTCTATATATTATTGTTGGATACGTCGGTCCTTTAAATCGAGAAGATTGTTAACAGGGCGAGACAGGTCCCAAGCGAGCCATCTCACCTCAGGTTCTATCCAGGGAGGGCGTGTAAGGTTGACGGTTTGATGCTTGTTGCTTGTTAGACGGGAGTGTGTGGATCAAACTCGGGCGGATGCTCCTAAATTAAGAGCCCGACTGTCCGACTTCCAATCACAAAAGTAGGTTTCTCTCCTCCGCTCGTGTCGTAGACAGCCAGGCACGTCGTTACTGCAGGCCATCCTAAAAACTCAAGCTCCTCTCCTTTGGACGAATCGGCAACATTCCATAAACTACAGGCCACACCCCAAAGTTACTTTAGGTTGGTTTCGCTCGTTTCGCTCTCTTGCGGGCCCCGACAGATCAGGCACATTGCACTGTAGCTACAGGCCACACCCTAAGACAAAGAAGCGCGGTCGTCCCAGCCGCATGTTCCAGATCAGGCCAACAACCATTGAGCGCATGAGAATTCTGAACGACATGACAGGTGAGGATCTAAATATTATACCACACTACAGGGGCTCAGGTGTACATACACCATCATCACAGGAAAGGCGGTCTTTAGACATTTATAAATTGTTAGATAACAAGTTAAGCCTGTCAACTTAGTATTGAAGAACCTGACCTCACGAATCAAGCCTTGACATAAGGCATGTACTTTCGTCATTCGTTTGATAGCTTATTTTGTCACCTAATTATGTCCAAAAACCGCCCATAGCACAGTGTTAATTGAATGTGGGACAACCCCACCAGCTTCCCATCCAGCTTCAATTTGACGATAGTCTATATACTGCACCTTCCCTTCCCTGTCTTATTATATCGCCTTGATTGGACCCCTCCAACTCCCCCAAGGGAGGTGAGGGGTGTTTCTAGCAGGCTGTGCGACGAAATAACCGTCAACTGGATATCGAGACTACATGTAGCATATTGGTTCTAGCCAATAATGCTGGGTGCTTCAACGCCAGGTTAACAAGCCGATTTCGTTACTTAGGGTGTGAAGGGAAGAAGAAAAAAAGAAGAAAAAGAAACCGGTAAGAAAAAGCCGGTGGAAAAGGAAGAAAGGGGAAAGATAGGTTTGGTAGGGAGGGGGGTGAGAGAAGGGAAAGAAGAGAAAGAGAAAAAGAGACGAAAAAGGAAAAGAAACACCTGACCGGTACTCTGCAGCTCTGTACGGATGCTTCCACAAGCAAGTTACCGTTTGTCGCCCCGCAAAGCAACATAACCCCAAGGATTATCTAGGACCTTGGGGTAAGAAACTCCGCGCCGTCAACAGGGACTGACAGTACGCCGCAGATCACTGGCTAAGCCTGTCTCGGTCCTAACTCATACTTTGTTAGATAAATAAGAGCTCTTTGGCTTCATAATGAAAAAGTGACTGGGCTACAGCGTAGGGCTGATACTTCAGGATTCGTCAAAAGCTCCATTTATTTGGGCCCCTGGGGCCCAAATAAGTGGGTCGACTAGTGAATTCTAGACAACCTGGGAGCTGCTTCACAATTCTGTCACTCTCTCACCCTCTTATTTTCGGAAGGGCAATAGAGTTGAAGGAGATAAACAAGATGGGTGTATTTAGTGAGAAGGGAGGCACTGAATTTGGTGAGAATTTGTTGCAGGGGAAGAGCCCAATCAGATAGGACAGGACATACTATGGTACCTCGACCAGACATGGGTGAATACTAGATTCGAAGTATTTCATCTGAACAAATACACCTGTAATAAGGCACAGCCCAGTGGCTAGCATGACGTTACCGCGGTCGACCGCGTTGACCACGCTTGGCCACGCTTAACTAGGTACGCTTTACCACAGTTAACCACGCTTAACCCCTGCTTAACCACAATTGACCACAGTTGACCACGCTTGGCAACGCTTAACTAGGTACGCTTTACCACAGTTAACCACGCTTGGCCACGCTTAACTAGGTACGCTTCATCACAATTGACCACGCTTGGAAACGCTTAACTAGGTACGCTTTACCACAATGGACCACGGTTAACCCCTGCTTAACCACGATTGACCGCGGGACATTGATATGTATTCCTCCTGTCTGTGGGTATCGCTAAATGCTCCGGAGCCAGCACATCGGACCACACCACTCCTGCATCCACGCACTGTACTGTTGACAGGGAGCTCTACTTGCTTTGTGAAACCATTGGGAGAATCATGGAGTAGTAAAGAGTATGTGCTCCTCGACATCATTGGTGTCTGAGCTTACGCAGTCGGAGCCGGAGCTGGATTATGAACAACTCCAAGCAGCTCCAATACAATAAGTGAACAAGCCTGGAGCCCATCGGGAGCAACGCAGAGCTTGCGATGAATGAACAGATGTATATAATAAGACTATGAAGCAAGAACGAGACAGAGAAAGAATTCACAATGTCATAATTTACCATTCCCTCGCAAGTATATCCTTATCCATACAGCAACATGCCTACAGAAGAGCAACTTAGACAGATGCAGGAAATGAGGGACGACCAAGGTAATAACATCATCCAGTATCACCACTATATTGCCACTAACAGTATGTAGAATCTGTGATGCTACAGACATGGCTTTACGAACCCAAAGACGTTACTTCCGCTACGGATGTCTGGTCGTCTGAGCGAGCAATCGCCAAACCGAGACCCAAGACGAGTGCTACCAAGCCATACGAGAAGAACACCAAGAAGAATGATGCAGCAAAGGCGGGATGAGGTGCAATAAGGCTGAAACGAGGCGGGGGAAAAGTTGGTATTGACGGGAAACTATGCCTCTAGCCTCGTGGACGTGTCAAAGAGGCTTGAAGACGCCACGGAAAAGACTTCAAATGTTCTCGAAAGTATTTGCGATATGCTCCAGTTCATCAGTTATAATATTCATGAACACCGTTGTTTTCATGGCATGTCGCCCACAAAAAGTGTCTGTCTGTAGATACGCCTTCATTGCCCCTTGTTGGTAATGATATAAAGTCACATGGAATTGCAGAAGCTCCAAAGTTCTAGGCCTTACAACGCCTTCTCTTCGTAGAGGTCTTTCCTTCGCTATTGTTGTGCTGCAGATTCCCATGCCTCTTCAAATTGAATTTTCGATCGGTAGTGTAGTCGCATTCATCGCACGAGAAGAGGATTCTAATAATTGATCAGCAAAGACCTGTAGGTAGGGTATCAAGTGAAGCGTAACGAACTTGGGGGCAGACTTCTGTGTCGTGGATACAGACGGCGATGGGCTTGCGTGGAAACCATGGACCCAATCACGGAACTCTCGATATGCCGTTCGATCGTCGAACAACAACTGAAGATGGTTAGTGGAGTTCAATTATACGTCTTTCGAATCCCACGTACTTTTCCTGCCCGTTCCATATAGAACTCGATATCCTCCCGGTATTGTAGCAACCCTCGCTCGAAGAACGCTTCCGCAATGGCAACTATACCACGGGATACCAGATCGTGCTCGTTCTTTTGTGATGACAGGGGTTGAATGAAAGATGCTTGTAGCTGTGTCTTCTGTGGCAATCTCTCTTGACACCAGGCAAGACACGATCGAAAGTCCTTCGATGCCAGTCCGCCACCGGCAAGGTCATGCCAGAAGCATGCGTTTTCGTGGATAAATCGCACTACAGCTCTGAACACAGAGGTATCCTGAAGTTGTCTTATCGCATCGGACTCGGCTGCTGTGGTTGAAGAAGATAAGATATGAGTCTGACTGCTTAGCAGTTCCCTCTGCGAGTCATACATAGCAGGCGACTGCGCTGGGGCCCAGGGTACGGCGAATTCGTTATCCTCTGTTAGACTCATCTCAAAGTTGATAGGATAGGAGGGGCCTGGGTCAAGATCTTGCCAATGGGTCGGCGATATAGTCGGAAAGGATTCTGGAGGACCGGATGAACCAAGAGAAAAGTCACACGAGTCATGTGTCAACTGTGTGAGGTATTGAGCGTACATTGACAAGCTATCTCTTGCTTCTTGCAGAGTAAGGAGCGAAGGGTCTACCCCTTCGGACTGGGTATGTGATGTCGGGTGGACTGGAGTATCATCCTCGCTGTAATGAACATCGCTCTGGAAATTACATCTCGATAATGGCTGGTGGTCGAGGTAGGGGTTAGTGAAAGAGGGCGAGGCGAGCTGTGTGTAGGTTGGAAGTATAGATGAAGGAGTTCCGCCACGCCGTAAACTGGTCGCTTGTCTTTGAGATTGCTCCCCCAAGCCAAACTCCATGAAGTGAAGATGGTTTCGTGCTTCGGGCCAAAGATGCTCGGCGAGCAGCTTGAAAGCCTCCCGCTCATCCTCCTTCTCCAAAGCATCCAACCATAGACGAATACCAGCAAGGATATCGCCTTTTGCTATCCGATTTCTGGAGTACAATAGACAAGAAACGACGTATGATAAGCTGCAGAAAGCAAATACTTTGCAGAGGTCGTTTGGGACCAACCCAGTCACCGTGTTTCGAAAGGCAATCGCACCGGTCTGTCGGAGTCCTTTGGCGTCCTGATAGTCAGCAAGAATATTGTTGATGGCTGGATTGTCCAAATTTGCTGCAAAGTCGACAAAATGGTCCCAAAGAGCTGACATCCCATCGCGAACGGTTCGGATTGATGACCAGGCGATCTCGCGGGCACGAGCGTCATTGTGCACAGCGTAAAGCTGTGAGTCTGTTGCCTCGTTGAAGGAAGCTGTAGCGCATAGTGCTTGGAGCTCCTGTGCAAGATCATCCCGCGGGCGATTTGCACTTACACCTGTGCTCTCGGTTGCATCGAGGTAAACGAAAGCAGCAGAAAGTCCATCGACTTCTGCCAAAGCCTTCTCGAGGTGTTCTTGCGCCCTTGCGCCCCCAAGACCAGCACGTGTCGCGCCGCCACTGACTGAGAAAAAATTGGTATAGCTTGAAAGGTATCCCATAACGGAGGGTATGCACAAGAAAGGGGTGCTGTTGCCTTGTGAACTATCGAATAATAAAGGCAAAAGTGGTTGGCATCAGCACATTTTGATGGTTCGCAAAGTGGTTGAATTTATGCGAGATCCTTTTGAGGCTCATTACGGAGCTTGCTCCAACTTGTTTCCCTGTTGATGCTCATGAGCAAGACTCGGGGGCGGAAGGACCCTCCCGCGTAATTGAACCAGCATGCTATCGCTCCTGCCGTTGGCCGTAGAAGCACAGAATGCCTTGGCACGTCACTTCACTAACCTTAACAAGAACGATCGGCAGGATCAGGCTTGTAAATTCTGTTTCAAAAAAGCAATTACATTGGATGTTACTGTACTCCCGTTGCTCTGGAGCTGCTCCAAGCTGCTCATGAGTAAGTCATGCCAAGAGCATTGCTCACGAGCAAGGGTTGACGCTCATGAGCAACTCATGAGTAACTCACGAGCAACTCAAGAGCGCGACGTGAGTAGAAAGCGACAGTGAAAAAACAATTAGACATTTATATACCGATCAAAGGGTAGAAGTCAGTACTGTTTTCCAAGGCTGTTATTCATTGCCAAAGAACAATTCAGAGTCAGCAACGACGCCACTTTCAAGTACAGCCCATGTATAATGCTGCGCCATACCATGCAAGCAGGAAAAAACAGCCCAAGTCAAGGCAGCTTACAATATGCAGGCGAGTCCACCTAGTAAGGCTTCCTTGACTGTCTAGCTGACAAGATACACAGTCATTAAATCGAACATGCTTCAGATCTGGTTGGAAGAGCCAAACGACCTTGGGGTCTGGTCATCAGAACGGGCAATCTCGTTCCCGAAGGAACCTCACCGTGACAGCACAAAGGACGATCCTAAATTATGACGCATGGTAGTGAGATAATGTGGAAGGGCTTGATGATGGCGGGTAGCGGCTTTACTTGATTCGCCGCCTTGTAAGAATTGTCAGTCGGCTTGTGAGGGGATAGAATTCTGTGCTGTGTACTTAGAATGGGCGCGTTACCTACTGACTTTGTAGAGCTCTCGGGCACGCTCACAGAGTTCTGCAAATTGGATGGAGACAGTGAGGCTCAAGTTGATGTTATTGCCAGTCTACTTCTGAAGCTGACTGACTACCTTAGTACCTAAGTAGATGTTTGTGCGGCACTACATTTCCTGTTCTGACCGCAAAGCAGTCAAAAGAAGCTCACACTGGATGTAGAAATTAGATCGTCGATTTTGTTCTATTAACTATAAAGTTCCTTTTATCCATGTCATTTATATAATTCCCACTCAATTCACACCCCTTCTCAAAGGGTGAGCCTCCGTGTTAAACACCCACTCATCCAGACTGATGACCTCCTCATCCGCAAAAATGAGATAGAAATACTTCAAAGTCTCTGCCATCCAGAAACTCTCCATATAGTCCTTAAGCTTGACCTCCTCAGCACCGACATCCTCCACCGCCGCAAACGCCTCCTTCGTCTCAGCAGCAGCGCGGATAGAAGTCCACATGTTCCACGCAATGTCGCGAAACTCTTCTTTTCCGGTGATGCGGTAGAGGTAGAAGATGCTCTCAATGGTCTCGGGGCGGAGGAGGTAAGTTGAGTCTCTGGCGCGGAAACCGAGGGGCTTTTTGTGGGAGCTTGGATTGAAGTCGCAGGGTTCGAGAGTTGGACAGCGTTCAACGTGGACGATTTCGGGCATGAGGCCTGTTGGGTAGGCGGAGTAGGCTTTTGCGCATCCTCGAGCGAGTTTCTCGCCGATGATAACGTGGTCATCTCGTCCCAGAGCCTTTCCTCCGAGGGCGTACATGCCTCCTGCGAAACATGTGAGATGTTCCACATCTGTCTTTAACCGGATCTCTTTGCTTCGGGGAGCGATATCAGCTTCACCTAGCATAAGCACGTCCTCCTTTTCCGGCAACATTGGTCGGAACATCAAATGCTTAATAGCAGCATCGGCAGCCTTGACATACATCGTCTCATACTTTGGTTCGAGACCCTGCAGAAGAACGTATTGCTTGATGAGATACTCGTAAAGCGAGTCGCCGTTAGCGCCCAGGCCAAACGTGTCGTCAGTAACTCGGAAACCATCCTGCGCGTTGATCTGAATTGGCCATAGTCCAGGAATTGCGGTCTCATTCTGCGTCCTCTCAAATGCACTGGTGATAAAGTCAATCGCATCGTAGTACTTGGGGTTTCCCGTCTGCTGTGAAAGACGAGTAAACTCCATACTCATACTGCCCAAACTAGCAGCACTCTGTCGCGGCTCAGGGTGGCCTCTTCCCTCCTTGAGATCTCTGAATCTGATAGTATGCGGTGGCATATGTTCGGCGTTATCGAATGTGCCATACAGCAAATCTCCTATCTCAATCGCCTTGGCCAGCAAGGCGCTCTCTCCGCTGAGCTCATACGCTGAGAGTAAACCGCCAAGATGCCTGATGGTGGTTTCGAAAACGTTGAATCCGTCACTAGTAGGCAAGTCCCAGTCCATGCGGGAAACATAGTCGACAGCCTTGTAAAACTCTCGCTTCATACCCAGAAGCCATAGCGTGTCGAGGTTGTCGCAGATGGTAGCGGCCCACCCACCAAAGGTATCAGTACCAGTCAAGCTCAATGGCTTGAGTTCATCGCGTCCCCATGCGAACTGTTCGTATGAAGCCCAAGTCTTTTGGAAAGCTTGCTTGACCTCTTTTCGGCGCTGCTCTGCCGTTGCAAGCTCTCGTTTTCTCAATTCAGGGTTTGAGAAGTCGAATTGAATTCGGGGTAGTTCGGCAGGCGACCCGCGCGGGGGTCTGACCAATTTACTTGCATCCAATGGATGCCGCATTGTGTGTCTACTCCAGTCATAGCTGCTGGGAATGAAACTGATTCTGGGAGATCTGGGGCCCGATATTTGGTGGAAAAGACCATAGAATACTAGCGACGCAATGAGAAGTGAGAATATCGCCCTCGATGCGGCAAAAGGTAGAGCTACACCCATAGTTACAAGACACAAGAGAAAGGAAAGAAAATGAGTGAAATACAGGGTCAATTCAGGTCACCATTGAGACCGTCAGAAGAAGGACTCAATGCTAAAAGAACACGAAAGGGGATCGGGGTCAAGTCAGATCTTATACGGGATCAAAGACACAGTAAGCAAGGATCCTAAGACAAGGAGTCAAACAGTTCCTGACTGCCCTGTATTAGTGTCGCTCCCCCACTCTGACACGCAAGCTTTCTAAGAATAACTAGACGATTAACGTGAGATCCGCAGGCACTATGACATACTGAGTGGAGGGAGATGAGCGATCAGTCCATGCACGATTCTTGTATTACTTTAAAACACAAAGGGAAACAAGAGCTTAGACTGTTGCACGAGACCAATCTAGATGGGCGTCTATCGTCTCGAAAGTTGATTGAAGAGCAGTTGGAAGACATCCATTGGCAATCTGTTTCATCAATCAGATTCAGCAGCCCTGGATTGGCTTTCAGGGGTGCATTAGCTGTCGTGTGCGCTGAAAAGTCAAAAGTCAGCCCGCTGACAAGCTGAAACCCCTGGCCAAGCCACCTATTCAAGGAGATCAACGACTCGTAAGCCCTACAAAGAATTAAGATGAGAAACAAGCTCGCCAAGTTGTTATTGCTTCTAAGCGAAATCCGAGAATAAGCCATGCATTTTTAAGCTTGGCCTACCCGTTTATCGGCGGAACTGAATCTAGCTTCCGGTCGCGTGTTAAAGTCAACATCAAATGTGGCTGGTGAGCTTGATTGCGCCACAATTCCACTTGGACTTACCGCCAAAAAGTCAGATTCTGCCGCTTTTTTCAAGCTCTAGTCTGGACAAGCCATTAATTCTTCACCCAGCGCGGCTCCAGACATCTCGTCGCAACACATACCACAATCGTCAAAATGTCGTCTATGCGAAATGCCGTCGCGCGGCGACCTCACCGCGAGCGAGCTCAACCTTTAGAGCGTAAGAGACTCGGTCTTCTTGAGAAGCACAAGGTTTGTCCAACCCCCCACCAGTTAATCACCAGCTTCTAACCCGTCGCAGGATTACACCCTTCGTGCTCAAGACTTCAACAAGAAGAAGAAGACTCTCAAGAACCTCCAATCCAAGGCCGACGAGCGAAATGAAGATGAATTCTACTTTGGCATGATGTCCCGAAAGGGACCCGGCTCTAAACTCAAGGATGGCAAGAAATGGCAGGGAACAGTCGCAGGCGATCGAGGAAACAAGTCCTTGGACGTCGATACCGTGCGACTCCTCAAGACTCAGGATTTGGGCTACGTTCGAACGATGCGACAAGTTGTTTCGAAGGAAGTTGCCCAGTTGGAAGAGCAGGTAGTCCTCACCCGAGGATTCAATAAGCTGGACGAAGATGAGGAGGAAGAGGAAGACGATGGCAGCGACTCCGAGTTCGACTTCGCCACCGCCCCTTCAAAACCTAAGGCCCCACGAAAGATTGTATTCATGGACGACGAGCAAGAACGAGAAGAAATATTAGGGGACCGCCTGGACATGGACGATGAAGACGACGCCGAGAAGAAAGAGGATAGCAAGGACGAGGAGGAGCGCGCCAAGAACCTTCGCCGTCTCCGCAGTCAACTCGAAAACGCTCGCAAAAAGCTCAAGGTCCTCACAGACGCCGAGCACGAACTCGAGATCCAGCGCGCAAAGATGGCAAAGACGAAGACATCCGGAGGAACTACACGTAAAGGAAAGAAGATCATGATCCGAACAAGAAAGCGATAAAGGAGGAGCAAGGAAACAATCATCTGCAGTCTTTTTAAAAATCGTCATTTCCTCGTGTTTTATTCGTTACGGTAACGGCTTCGCTTTGCACATTCAAGAAAAGCAAAGCTAATAGATACCCCCCTTCAAGAACGCCGTGGGTGTATGATTCTACATGATACAAAAAATATGAAAATACGTTAAAATTCCCGAACTTCCTTGCGCTCGATTAGGAAAATTCCATGCGTTCCGTTACATCATGATTCAGATTATCGCCGTTGATTAATACTTTGACCCAATGCACTTATAACATCCCTTGAATGCGAACCCGACGCATCGGAAGCTTATCGTTAATATCCAGATCAAGCACGCGAACAGACCCTTTACGATCTTGACGATCACGCGGAGCAAGAAGGGGAGCTTGTCTTCCTTTTCTTTTGGCTTGCCCTTGCCGAGACTCTCGTCTTGGCTTTCGACATCGATCTCGAACGCTTCCATCTTGCGCTTCTTCTTTTCCTCACGCTTGCCCATCTTGCTGAAACGCCTTTCTTGCTTGGCGGTCAGGATCAGAGGTGGCGGGGGCTCGAAGGCTTCCATGATGGGGTTGTTCTTCTCGTCGGCTTGGGCGACGAGGAGAAGCGCTGTTACGGCTACGTCGACGATGAAGTAGGACTCGATCTTTGAGGCGATGCCTGTGTCGATTTCTAGCCAACCGCTACCAGTGCCATCGCGGGTGAGCTTGGCGAGATGTTGAGGTGATTCGTTATGCTCGAGGGTGTACTCTACGCGAGACCATGAGGGTGAACGCTCGATGGTGACGCAGAAGGGGGTTGCAAGAGCGGGATGGACGAGGAAGTGATGTGAACTATCCTCATCCCACACAAGACGTGCGCATTCCCTCTCGGCCAACATGACAGATGCGGGATCTTGCGATCTCTCAACAGCCATCTTGGTTGCAGGTGTAGGCATTAGAAGTGCAACAAGACCATCATTGGGAGGATGCCTCCTCGACTCTTCTTCCAGAGTCGTAGTAAGAGCTTCTTGCCAATGCTTTGTGTCTGTGATTTTGTTGCCCGAGCTGTTGCTATTGTGGCCGACAACGCCGCTAATAATGCTGCTTGCTGAAGAACTTGCTTCAGGCTTGGGTGCTTTATAGGGCTTGTTGGGATCATGTCTTGTGAGAGTCACATAAGCCGACGCCGAAGTTGGATCTAAGCGGAGGTTGTAAAAGGGCTGAGTTGCAGATGATAGACTGTAAACGGGGGCGTCTTTCTCTTGTGTCAACTTCATGCAGTACACCCTCCCCTCAGACGACGAGGCTTGCCATCCATTCGCAACCTTCCAATAGTTTTTGAGCAACTCATTCGAACTAACAGTTGGAATAAGCGGTGGCTCCTGTTGTTGCTGCATGCCACGATGCGGCCATGAGGGCGGCTGTGTAGATTGGATGCTCATAGGGCTAATCACCGGGCTTCGAACCGGTGGGTTTCTCGCGGCTCCAGCTGGTGTTTCGTGGTATGTCTGACGACTAATCACAGCTCGTGGGATCTCAGCAGGTCGAGTCTCTTGGGGAACATAGTTTTGTTGGTTCAGTGGTAGTTCCGGGTTATAAGCTGGGAAGATAGAGCGTAGCGGCTGCGCTGGAGCTTCACCACCCAGGGGAGGCTTTGCTATGGAACTCCGTGAACGATCACTGCTGCTGCGAATAAGTGTCGGTCCTTGAATATTTCCAGTATCTGCGCGCCCAGGAATCTGAACTGTCGGTCTCGGTCGTTGGACTTTCACAGGCTTAGGTTCAGGTTGCTGCTGTGGCTGAATAGGATCGAATTCAATCGGTGTATGCGATCTGTTCTGTGGTGTCTGTCGTCCATTATTCCTTGGTGGCGAAGTAGGTTCAGGTGACTGAGATGTTTCGGGAACCATGTTCTGCTGTGGTGTAGCGGCCCGTCGTTCGCTTGGTGTACCTGCTCTACGCTCACGAGACTCAGAGCGACGAGGTCGAGGGGTCTGATTTCGCGAAGCAGGCGGCGGTTTGGATGAGTTAGGACTCGGGAACAACGAGAACCCTCCTGGGGTTGGAGTCGACATTTTCTGTTTCAAACAGTGATTTCGCGTACTAAACAAATGCGACGCTTCTTCTCAGAAGAAGAGGATATGACAATCCGGGGTATCAAAAAATAAACAGGACAAGACGAGGGGTTGTTATGTTGATGCTGCTGCTACCGCTTCATGATCAATTGAGAAAGTAAATCCACAAAAGTCCAAGAGTTTTTTTATTGTCTAAAACAGAAACAACAGCAAAACATAAAACCAACAGAAACAGAAAACAAATACCGAAAAGAACAGTCAGTGATTGATATTATATCTCGTCCATCGAGTTTTCATGGTTTAAGCGCTCCGACTAACACTAACACTCGCATCCTTGCAACAAACAGGGGACACAAAAATAGCATCCCCTGCTGGAGTAGCCAATCGGCGGGGCCATCACACTGCAGCAGTCATCCTAAGCGCCCTGGAGACGCGCTGCAGTGAGGGGAAGAGACGGTGCGATTGGCTGGGGCATAAATTGATTGGGTTGGCGGGGGATGGATTTTACTGGCTTTTGGGAATAGAGATGGCGGGTGATTTAATGTGATGGGAGGATGCAGTAAGACAGAGTCCAAGTTGGTATGAGCTGAAGAAGAGGATCAACCGGCCTATTGAGGATGAGAAGTACAATAAGATGTTGGATCTGGGGCAATCTTTCTTTGAGAATAACTGAGAGAAAAAGAAAGGTTGGGTCTAGACGAGGGCCTCATTAAACAATTCTTATTCCCGTTTGACCATCCAGAATATCTTGAAACTCGACGGTTCACCGCTTGATGCACGTAACCCTATTGTTACATACATGAACTTTCCATCAACCACTTGAAATCTATCCGAGTCAAGATAGTGGATTCCCCGTTAGAGAACTCGAGGCTTGCAGTAGTAATGGTGCTGTGGTTGATCAATAAGCAGCGTCTGGCGGTAACTTATCACAATCTGTTTTTACCATGTTGAGAAAGTCTCCACGATGATCTTGGGGTAATGAGGCCCAGAGGCACAGCTTGTTTCGATATTGCGTGACAAGGGCGTTGGCTGCATGCTCTTAACTCAACCTGGTCAGTCGTCTGTTCTCTTATCTCGGTCTAAGGGTCTGTGAATGTCATCGTTGGCTTGGCTTGTGTCTGAAGCAATGCCCGTCATAGTCTAGTATTTAATCTTGGGATTTTTCTTGGCTTCTTTAATGTAATCGACGGTTAGGCCAGCCTCTCCCAGGCAAGTTAAATCCCAATGGGCTCATTCCAGTTGAAGTCGCCTGCAGCAACTAAACTCTGACTATTGTCAACATGGGTGTAACTTGTACAACTATGATGGTTAATCAGACTTCAGTTGCTGCGGGGGGCACCAATTGAACTGAGCCCATTGAGATCTAACCCGCCTGGAAGAGGTTGATGGGTAATTTAGTTATACAATTACTCTTGTACAGTTGCATCTCGCTTCTCATATTCTTACAAGCCCATCCATCTTCCGTGTCTCGTTCATGGCCCCCATTCGTAGATGTCTTTTGTCGTAGAAAACCGAACCAAACGCCATAGATGCAACCACTCTTCCTGTTCTCCTTTCCTTTTTCGTACTCATATCATCAATTCCTTGGTCGATCCTTCGCTGTAAGTCCATGTACCCTCTCCCCTCTCTGCTCCATCTCCTTCTGTCTCGACAACCTCACATGCTCTGGCAACCCCCACCACTCACGCATAAAGTCCTCCTGTGCCTGCGCAACTCTGGCTTTACGCTCCCTCTCCCTCTGGCGCTCTATCCTTAGGGCAAACCACTCCTCACGTGCTTCATCGTGTACGTCTTGTGTGGCGTGGAGTTTCATGCAGTTATTCATTACGCGGTGTTCGGCGCGGCAGGCGAAGGAGACTGTGAATGTTCGGCCGAGAGCGCATGCAGCGAACGCTGGAAGATTGTGTTAGTGGTCGGTATAACCTGATGATATCCGTATCACCCAAAACAGGCTTGCTCTGGACCGTATATTGTGATAGCGTACCTTTAATCTCATCGGCGCATTCCTTTCGGACTTTTTGGTAAAAGATATCTCGGACTTGTGCTTCTTGCGACGCAGATAGAGGTAGAGGGTTTCGAGATGGGACACCGAGCTTCTCTTGTGGCACTGGGGGATTCTGGGTAGCCATTGTGGCCATTGAGTGACGAGCGCGGGGCTCGGATCGAGGGGAATATGAGGAGAAGAGATAGGAGTCGAGGGGTCGTATGTGTGTCGTCGGGATGGTCGTCGTTGAGTCGTTGAAAAGGCGACTGGAGCTACATCGGACGAGGAGCTTGCGGGCTGCTGAGAGGTGAGCCCATGATTGCGTGGCAGAATCGCTGACCGCCTTCCGCTTTGGGGTATCGGAAGATCAACTGCACCATGACCGAAGGTCACTATCACGAGTTTCACGATGTTCAAGAGATTACATGTTGCTTAGTATCTTACTGCTGGACGTCTCAATGTTTGTTCTGCCTCTGGTGGGGGCTTTTTGGCCGGCAGGATGCTACTCTCCAATAATGCCTCCGCCGACGAGCACAATGTGTAAGCGTGAGCGCCTTCTCGACGACAACCAAATTGCGTTCATCGGAATTAGCCATTCATTTCTCGCCTTGTAGAGGCTGTGTTCAGTCTGGTCCAGGCATCTCTAGGCAGAAGTGCTTCTCCCTGGGAATGTCTCGGTCGCCGAAGTCTTGGCCCCATGCATCAGCCAGCAATAAGGTAGGATCAGCAGCCTCGTCACACCAAAAATGAGACTCGGTCTAGTATCATCGTGAGCTCTATGAATGCTCATTAGTCCGTATAGTTCTATCGCTGAGCATGGATGCGATTGAAGTTTTGAAGGATCGTTTAGGTCTTACTCTCCCATCTACAAAAGACCATGCCCCGCTCTCAGGCATCGTCTTATATCGTTCCTTAGATGCTTCACAAGTCTTATTAAAAGTGATAATTGTTCTATCATAAACATGGAATCTCTCGCCATCGACTCTCCCAAAGCCTCCGAGAGTTCTTCATCTGTCGAGGATCTCTTACAAAATGTCTCCTCGGCCCTGGCTAAGCGCGCTGGTAAGGACGTTTTTGCCATCGAAGGCCATTTTGAAGACCATGACAACACAACCTCACCCTCAAGCAATCCCAAGCTCACTATCAGATGGGATGATAAGACGCAAGGATATGCCCGCACTCTGAGACTTCCCTTGAGTGATGATACTGCAGCCCAGGACTCGTTCACTCTTTTGCTGAACGCTTGTCAACCCGCCACCTTCGGCGTCGGCAGCAAGGAGGTCCTTGACGAGGAGTATCGAAAAGCTGGCAAGATGGACACTCATGACTTCTGCACTGATTTCAGTCCATATGAGCATGGTATTGTTGATACAATCAATCAGGCCTTAGCTCAAGGTAGCCATTCTGCCGGAGGGCTTGGTGTGAAGGCTGAGCTGTATAAGCTGAACGTGGGTTTCTCTCACCTATGGTGTGTATACTTTCTGATGTGTTACTTAGGTATACTCTGCTCCTTCTGGGAAGTTCAAACCGCATGTTGATACTCCACGGTCGGATCGTCAGATGGGTTCTCTCGTGGTTTGTCTACCCGTCGCACACAAAGGTACGTTCCACGTCTCTCTAATCGTAACTCTCACTAAATTCCGGCCAGGGGGTCAGCTCGCAGTCCGACATGGCGGTCGCGAAGTCGTCTTCGACTGGGCATCTCGACGTCCAGACACTATCCAATGGGCCGCTTTCTTTTCTGATTGCGAACATGAAGTCCTACAAGTTACCGAGGGGCATCGTGTAACATTGACTTACAACCTCTTCTGGACAAACTATGGGCCTAGTTTCATGGCGAATCATCTTGAAGTCCTTGATCAGGAATCACTTCACTTCTATACGGCTCTTGAGAAGTTACTCGAGAAGATGAAATCTTCTGGCAAAGGTGATCATCCCTTCGGTTCACAGGTAATCTGATACTAAAACATTATCTTAGATACAACGGTTGGATTTACTTGCACTCACTCATACCCACATACCTCCAAATCCTCCATCGAGGACTTACATCACACGCTAAAAGGTATCGACATGGTAGTCTACCAAGCTCTCAAGCGCATCCTCGGCGATGCCAGTATCGCCACTGTACTGGATGAGTCAGAGTATGTGGAAGAGCAACTAGAAAGAAAGCAGTGGGAAAAGGAGCACCAGGAAGAAAGGAAGCGTAACCCCCCATCGCTTACACATCCTTTCAGCAGCGAAAGCCGTTTTTACAACTTTGACGATAGCGATTTTGAAAACACAGTTTGTATAGCCACATCGCTTCGGCCTCCCATCTCCCATGGACCATACGATTACGATGCTGGTCTACTGGACCCGAAAACTATTGAGGTTTCGGAAGGGGGCTATTGGAGTAGCTGCTATACGTATCCGTATAGTCGGGAGAAGATCAATTGGCTCAATCACCGTCCAGGCTCGCAGACTTCGAAAGAACTTGCTGTTGCTTTTGCCACGGTCAGTTTATTATATTGGTTAGAAGGTGACTAGTAACTAACAGACATTGATAGTGCGGTAATGAACCTGGCACCGGAGCCTACTATTCTTCTGCAGTCATCATTGCTGAGGTCAATGGGAATGTGAGCCATGAGAGGGACAGTGCTAAGGGAGACACCAGGAGTGAAAGTGCGAGTCAATGCGAGAGTGATCAGGATGAGTGACTAAAAAGTTAGATTAACTCGGATGAATGGTTTAGAATAGCCCGGCTTAGATTCTGACTGTAGGCAGGTAACAGAAGAATCATCCTCTAAGACTCATGGTGCCAAAACAAAGTAGCCTAAGTACTGGTCTAAGCTAGCATAAGGCGGCTAAATTATTTCGTCTTTTATGCTCTCGGCAGCTAATCCTCCTGACACCTGACGGTTGAGGGCGGTTACATGCTATATCTCAAATTTATGGCCCCGACGTTTAAGTATTAGAATGCATGGGAATTGTTATAGATCGAGTATGTTGAACCGTGGTTCTTAAATGAACGAGCTATCGCTTCAATTGGTATCAACAGGCAAAGGAAAGACAAAGGTAACCTCAACACGCTCATAACATCATCTCATCTCATCTTCTCGACCCATTATCTCCTTTACTTGTGTCATCTACTGCTGAGGGTAGCCCTGGGCGGGATAAGGCTGCTGAGGAGGTGGCGACGTAGCAACAGGAGGCTGCTGGTATTGCTGTCCAAAGTTCTGCTGACCTTGAACCTCGTAAGGTGCTCCAGGGGGAGGATAAGCGCCCTGTTGCTGATACGGGCTTTGGGCAGGCTGATAAGGGGAGGTGGTGGGTTGAGGAGGGTATTGCTGCTGTTGTTGCTGAGGGGCATACTGGCCGGGAGCAGCCTGTTGCTGGTATTGAGGCGCGGCCTGAACGGGTTGAGGTTGGACATTGACCTGGGCTTCGGTCTTGGGCTCCATTTGGTAGTTGTTGGTTGGGCCTGAGAGATCCACGGCGAAACGACCCTGCTTACGTCCTCTGATATACATAACCAGAGTCCAGACAAAAGTAACAATGAAGAAAACCCTAAAGCGCATTCTCAGTCAGCACAACTCAGTTCCAACGAGCAATATACAACTTACCAGAGCATAGCGCCCAAGCCAGCAATAGCGGCCAATACGGACAGGCCAGTCTTGAAGAGGATGACATTCTCACCATCACGCTTGAAGAACACACTGCAGTTCTTGCTATCCACCAGGCTTCCATCATCATAACAGCCACCCACGTTTACAGGAACAACATATCTCGCACGTCGAGCAGCTGTAGCGGCCCAGGCTGAGAGCCAAAGAACGAGCATTAGGCCATCGAGAGCGAGGACGGCGATGATGTGGTATAGGCTTCGAAGACCGGTGATCTTTTCTGTGAGGACGGTGTAGAGGACTATTATCCATGTGAGGACTGCCTGGGGAGTGTGTTAGTCAAGGAGAGATGAATGTAGGTATGTTGACTTACAATGGCGATGCAGAGGGAGTTTTCTGGTAGTCCAGCATCATGGATCATCCAGCCGCAGAGGCCGACAATGATGAGAGAGACAAGAAATTGAAGACCACGGATAATGACTATCCAGAGTGGTGTTTGGAGGACATGATCTGCCTCAGCCTGAGGTTGTTGTTGTTGATTCATTCTGTAACTATCACAAATAGTATAAGATTATGACAAGTTGTATAACTAACAATGATAATCGAGGGTCTTGTAGCAGATAAATGAGAGGAACTTGAACAAAGAGAGGACGGCTTGGCAGCCTTATACCCCATTCAACCCACGCCCTATGCAGCATATACCTGTCGACGAACAAACTCCCAAGCCCAAGGCAGATTCATGTTCAAGGAACAACAGGACCCTGGCAGATGGCTTGCGTTAGCGTCCCTCAGCCGCACCTCAGCTGGCCATTGGCGAAGCTTCACCAGCGCCGTTGGGCGTTCAAGTGTGGTGGGCGTCTTGGGAAATACAATATTAGTTCTGTGCCTGAATGAGAGGAAGGCCTCAAAATTTTGATCGGTTATATATCTTCTTGCACATTCACAAGTTTTCTATCTTAGCCTTTGGACTGTTGCAACAGAGGAGAGTTGTTCATCTATTAATTGTGTTATCACGATGTTTGAGACAAAGCGCCCACCCTCATCACAACCCCTGCACAAGGCTAGCAAAGAGAGACAACTGCCGATCCATACTGTGATCTAACAGAGTGAATTGATAATCAATAAGTTGTTGGACTGTGTGGCAAGCCCCCCAAGCTATCACTATCTTGTACGTCTAGACGTCACATCCAATCTCCATCATCTAGACAAGGCGTTTTCCCTAGAAGAAGCGGTGTTTCTAGCTCGTCTCTAAACTAGAGACTACCAGGTGGGTAACAGAAGAATTGTCCTCTAAGGCTTAGGTTACCAAAATAAAGTAGCCTAACTGCTAGTCTAAGCTAGCATAATGTGACCAAATTATTTCGTCTCTTATGTCTCTAGGGGCAAATTCTTGACGAAAGAGGCTTTGCGTGTAAGTGGTCCGATGGAGGTGACTCTCCAAAAGAGAATGCTTCGCGAGTTGGTCGAATGTGATTGGTCAGAAACCGCTTTGAGTGCACATGCACATGCATGAAGGATTCACTTGAGTGCCGATCAAATATCTCGAGCTTCTCTCCCTCTTTCAGGGCGATGAGGCTCTCATTTTTCGCGCAAGAACTAAGTTCACGTCAGCACTTACACTTACGTCGTTTATTATCCTCTTTAAGAACAAGGAGACGAGCTAAGTTGGCTTTAGTTTGTCTTGTTCAAGAAAGGTCGAGGAACGTGACGGGAAGAGCTCAAGTGGAGGTGGAGAAACATTATCGGCTGTGTTGTTCAGACTTCAGCCGTTTAAGCTAGGGATCCTGAAAGTGGATGGATGGGCGGAAAGGATTAGGCAGAGTGCGGAATTCAGAATGATTCCGTCATGAACCTGACCTCAGGGTGTCAGAAGAATTGGCCCCCAAGCATAAGAGACGAAATTACTCGGTCACTTTATGCAGGCTTAGACCAGTATTTAGGCTACTTTATTATTGTAGCCTAAGTCTCAGAAGACAATTCTTCTGTTACCCACCTGCCTGACAAATTGAGGCCCTTGAATAATTAACATGGCAGCTCGCCTGACCTTGTCTTCAATCTAGACTGGAGGCCGTATGCTACCCTCTGAATGCTACATGCGCTAAGTCTAAATAAATGTATGCACCAGTTACTCACTCGCACCTAGATGAATGCGGGAGAATATATCATCTTGAGTAAATGTTTGCCAAACACATTCATGCTATTCATTTATGAGGCACTTGAATGGCGTTGGCTCATGCAGGGCAAAGCCCCTACCCCGGTTGGCTATTGTTCGTTTACTCTCGCTAGATCTCTTCACGAAATATATTGTGCCTCCAAGTCTCTTCTTCCCTACAACCTCTTCTTTTTCAGATCTTCGGTCTTTACGGGGGAGTTTTTCTTGACTATCTTACGCACGAGATGCTTGTTACCAGTTTGTTTTTGGTAGCTCCTGGGATGCCTTACAGACCTGGATGAGACTTCTTCATCTGTGCAGCTTCGGATTGCTACGAGCCTTGTTTCACGATCTTTCTCTTACGAAAGACTCGAGAAAAACTTCTCACAGCTTACTTATAGATGCCTTGTGCATAAGGGGACATCCAGTCGTGTTTCCCTCACCTCTGCGGCGAGGTAATTGCGATGACTTCACTCTCGACAACACCTACCCTATAGATCTCTTGTACCTAATTTGGTTATGCGGATTCAACCGTTTACCGGTTTCAAACGGCCGCTAGATCATACGAGCCTCATTTTAAAGAGTCAAGACGAACGATATCCTTCATGCTACATCCTGAACGTCTCTGCAGTTTGCCGTTGATTCATAATGTTCATCCACTCAGGGGCTTTGGAGTTGCAGCTGCAGGTAGTGAATAAGCAAAGGGCTTCTTATGCAGCGACGGCGGTGAGATCGAAACAGGATTCAATATCAACTCCATCATCTCATATCGTCTCATCTAACGAATTTTCCATCACTTGTTTACCTCTACTCATACTTACGACAACCTGATACTACATTTCTTGTTGAGGTGCGACTCGTAACCAGTAACAACCAGGATTAGTGCTGATCTGGCCAATCACCTTCTGCTAAAGACACTGGCGCTGGCCCCCCAACCGCCCCAACCATCCAAACAAAACATCGACATTTTGCCGCCAGAACAATTCATTATCAAGAACGAGCCTCACATTCAAGGCTTATCATCCTCCACTCAGGCACTCGAATTTCATCATCATACTCTCCTGATAAGCACTCTGTTGCCATTTGCGCCTCTTTTTCCGCGCGTGGGCGGCTGTAGCCCAGTCAGCCTCTCTCCCCTCCATTCCCCCAAATCCAAATTCAATCCCATGCGCTCGTCATCACAAGACGCAATCGCCTAGTCACGAGCACGCCTCATCTATCATCGCCATCTTCGACGAAACGAACCGATACGATCACTTGCATTATCGCGAATCTTTTCAACCCCAGATTTCGATCGATTCGAATATTCGCTTCTCCATTTTCCCCGGATTTTCTGCCAGCAGTGACCCTGAAATGTGTCTCGGCTGCTTTTAAGCTTGGCCTATCGTTAATAGCTTCTCTGCGCTTAGAACGAAAGGTTATTCTATCATCCGACCATCGGCGAGCGACCCGCACGCTCTTGACCTCCACTTTTCGCATTCCTATCATTCATTTAGACACGATGACTATCCCTTCACATTTCCATATGCCCGGCGGCGGCTTCAATCGAGAGGGCGTTCATCCAGGCTTATTCCGTCCACCCATGTCCCCAAGCTCGAGCACCAGCTATGGTTACGCTTCCCCGCGGAGCGCTGCGACACCTGAAGGGCAAGCTGGGAAGCGCAAGCGACCTTGTCATGACATGTCACGATCGCAAGACATTCGCATACATGATGACGTCGATAGGCACAGTTACTTTGGAACGCCCCTTGCTCAGATTAGAAATGACGACATGCGTTATCAACTCGCTGGACAGCTCGATACACCAAGCGGCGGCCCTTTTGGAAGCGGCATGCTAGATGACAGTGTTTACTCCGATTCGGACTATCGTAGAGCCCTTGGATCTCAGCGGTCGCAACAGGAGATTGACTTCAATAACGCTGGCCCGACGCAGCTCTTCAATCTCCCTCCTCAACCGATGCCTTCGCAGGGATGGGGCAGCTTCGCATTCTCAACTATTGGTGGTGTTGTCGGCCGTGTATGGGAGTTTTGCAAAACCGGTTCATTTCGAGGATTCCAGGCCGGAGGTGGCAAGGCCTATACGATGAATTCTGGCAGGGTGGAAGAATTGGATCAGACACTATTCGAAAGCCATCACCTACCTGGACGATTTCCTCCTCCTCCTCCGCAGCAGGAAGATTACTTCAACCAAAACCAGCAAACCGATAATGCCGACCATGAGATGAACAGTGGTGCATCGACACCCACAGCACCAGCCCCCAAACGAAGACACACTGATAATAGGGATGAACTTGGCAGGAATTGGGTTATGGTGAGTGATGAGAAACCAGCTGAGCCAGAGCCTTCACCCAAGCCTCAACTGCGACGTCCATCTTATCATTCGACCCCTCGAAACCGAAACTCGGGCCCCTCCATGGCAACAGGCCGACGCATCAGCGCTACTCCATCTTCGCGATTCTCATCTGCCTCTACTCCTGGTCAGCGACGATCCACTACCAACCGACCATCAAGCCGTTTGTCTATCGCTCCCTCTCCCTCCGCTCCTTCACCCCGTGCAGCATCGACCGCTTCTTTCGCGTCATTCACCTCGTTCGGCTCCCCTCGGGAATCAACTCCAAGCAAAATTCCTCAGCCCAGCCGTCGTCGAGCCACAGCCGCACCATCGCCGATAACCAAGGTGTCGTCGCACCGCCGCTCGAACAGTAATGCCTCAGTAGCATCAGGACGTGGATCCGCCGAAGCAAGTCCACGTCTGACTGCAGAAGCCAAGCATCTCGCAGCACGCCGTAAGATGGAAGAACGAGATGCAGATGTGCGGATCAACGCGTTCAATAAGCAACTACAGGATATGATTCGTCAGGGTAGAGAAGCGTTGGGCACGACGATAGAAGTGGAAGGTAACTGGGATGATGACCTGTGATGCGAAACCAGCTGCCATCTACGATCTTACCTTAGCACTGTTTTGTCTCACTGATACCGATACCCTCCTTCTTCTAAGCGTCGCCGAGAGATTTTTGATGGGATTTCCTGTTTTCAGAGGGATCTTTACGAGGGGAGTTTAACTGATTGACAATCTGGGCGTTGACTGCATTGCTTGCTTCCTCAATTACTTACTAAAAACTGACTCATTGTATCCGTATTCTTTTCACCTCAAGGATCTTCACCCTTGCATAAATAAGCATAAATATTTCGCTCTTTTTTAACTCTTTTGACTATTTTTTAAACCTCGTGCTAAAGTCCGTGAGACAAGGGATCGTATATCCGCCAGTACGGTGAATATACCAACCCAGCTTCTAATATGGGAAACGTTGAGGCTCCAGAATGCTCCAATGAGAAGGACCGACATTGATAACCCCCGAATAGATGACCCCCTTTAGTGTCGGGATATCGTGCCAGATGCGGAGTAGCCAGTGCCCCTGGAGTATAATTGAACGTTTGATATCGTCTGGGGAATCTCACGATGGAGTTCTCATCCTCATCCCTGGAGGTGTTTGTGTGTTTTCTGTGTTAGTTTGCATAAAAGCGGCCTTTATCGGCGGTGACGTCTTTGTACAGCTCGTATTTAAAGGATTGGCATGCTTTAGTATCGTCACTACTCATTAACTACCTGGTGTTTTTCGCTCTTGGCACTCGGCTTAGGTCAGGCGAGTATTAAACGAGATGCAACTGTTGTGATGAGTGCTGCGTGCATTTGTTTTCTCCTTTATTATGGATACTTGAACAACTTGGCGCATATCACATCATATTGGTGTGGTCAGCCTTGCAGATCCAAACTTGCGAGATTGAGCTGAAGAGGCTCTTGGAGTTGAGATGTCCATTTTTAGGTCTTTGAAACGGGGGTAGAAAGGGGATAACACATCGGAGCTTACGATCTCCGTCTTGGTAACCACTTTTCGGTTTTTTTTTTCCCTTCCTTCTTCGTCTTTGTACATGGATTAATTTTTCCTTTTTTCTTTTCTCCCTTTGTCTCTACTTGCGACGTTACGTTCCAACGTTAGTCTCCTTTCAGTGGAGATGGATGAGTTCGGCAATCGACGCGAAGTTTAGGGGCGGCTAGACGAGAAATCCTTCCCTCGGTCGAGACCAAGACGGAGACCAAGAGATTAGTTCGCAGTTGGTGGGTTTCTTCACTGGGACGGGGCCGCCGCACGGATCGAATGCTGAATAAAAGAGGTCCTGTCCTGTAAGCGTTTAACTAATCAATTAAGCTTGTTTTGAGTAAAAATCCAATAATCATCGGCATCTTTATCGGTATTAGACCACAATTATTCGCGCGGATACGGGTACTGTAGGCTAGGCTGCACTCTGCACTCTGCTGTATGTAGATCTTTCTCGTATAAACTTGATAACTGATGGTGTTGAGGTTAGATTAGCATACGTCAAAGGAAGTGTGATTTGCTGTAGTATGCATGCACGGTACAGTAAGCATAGCTGCAAGCTGAGATTGACAGCAACCATTAAGACGTGATATGTGCTGTAATCAGTGAAATTTGTTGATGCGATCCAAGACATTTCTTTTCTTTATCTTGGCGTCGTACGTTGGTTACCTCAGATTTGGTTATGACCGAACCGAGACTCCCCTATAATCCATGTCTATTATGTCTACTCAGCCCTGAAGTTTGAACTGTGCCTCTTGTGCCTGATGAAAGGTAACATTCGTCGATGCGACCGTCCCCTATTATTGACAGATCACCAACCAAAAGTAAAAAAACCGGCTGCTGCCTAAAAAGGGATGCTGAGAATAGACGGTGCAATTCCATTCGAGGGGCTATTCTCCGGCTTGGGTGGTGGGTTTCAGGGCATTCGTTGGGCCTGGACCGGGACACCCAATGCTGAACCTCGTGAGACAAGCCATGATCGGTTATCGCGAATAAGGTTAACTAACGTTAAGATAACCTTGAATTAGGCTTAGTGTATCTAGTCAGCTCCAGCGTTTAAGAGACAGGACTCATTCACAAGGAGTCAGAGTCACCCATTCAGAGGCCCCGCGCGGACTGGACATCTGACGAACTGCACTAATACCCGCCCGCCGGACCCTGGTCCTCCCACTGTAACCCTCTGTAGCTGAGCAGAGACACAGAATATGCGAGACAGTTTTTTGAGGCAGATATCTTGTGATCAATGCTACTCTACAGTTACAGCATATGCTTTGCGATAACTCACGAGAAGAGTAACACGCTTTCATCAAAAGATATCACTCACTATCATGCTGTGATATCTACCTGAGACATAGACCACCTGCAGCGGGCTGCAGCTACAGAGACTGTTGCAGGAGCATTGGATCGTCCCGCCTAGATAACGCCACAGACCCATAGACAAGGTACAGGGGACAAGGTCTAGGCTGTGAGAAGAGGATGAGATGCAAGGGTATGGATAGATGAGCGTGAACATGGGAGGGAAGCATGGGAGGGAAGCATGGGACTGGAACCATGGGATGGGATACGCACCATGGGATCCCGAGTGCAGCAGAGACAAAGACAAGACAACGGGCAAGGGCATGTTTCTATCAGTTAAAAATGGATTGATATATCCATTTATACGCAAGCCACCCCTGGCTCTGGACACTGCCAAGATTCGCGAACTCCAGTCTACCGCTGCCATCCATCCAGTTGAATCCCAATCCTCGACTCTCGAGTCTTCCCGTCTGCCCGTAGCGTCACCTCCGGACCCCGGTCTAAAATCTGCAGTATTGAATAACCCCTGGTAAACGATATTCTGCTACCCAAGAACCGCAGTCTTACAGACTTCTCTAGGACAGGCCTCGTACGTTGAACGGTAGGGATACCCTGCTACCTTCAAGACAGCCACTCCCGGTTCCGAGCTGCGGCTGGAGCAGTTGCTGATGCTCATGGTGAATGTGATTCAGCTATCGGATTCATTGAGCAGTCTGAACCTACCGTACCTGCATACAGTGAAGCTCTGAAGAGCAGGCCTCGAAGTCCGGGTCTCTTCCAGCCAGGCCGAGATAAGTATATATGAGAAGCCTCTTCCCGCCTTTCTAGAGTCTTTTTTTCTGTAGGTTCAACAGCCCAGCTATCCATTCACTCGTTTCCTGTTTCTCTAAACAATTACATTCGTTTCGAAGCTATTCTAGCCTCATTACTGTCGTTTATCGTCTCTTTACCAATCTTCCTATCTCATCCCCAAGACCCTATACTATATCTTCAAGATGCAGTTCTCTCTTCTCAAGCTTGCCACCTACGCTGGCCTCATCCAGGCTGCTGCCGCCGCCGTCCCTGTCGGTGTCGAGATCAAGAAGTGCACTGTCGACAGGAACATTGCCCTCACCTTCGACGATGGTCCTTTCGAGTACACCAACGAGCTCCTTGATCAGCTCAAGAAGTACGGCTACAAGGCTACCTTCTTCATGAACGGCCAGAACTGGGCCAACATCAACGACTACGCTGCCACTGTTAAGCGAGTCGTCGCCGAGGGTCACCAGCTTGGCTCCCACACGTATGTCTCCTCTTTTCTCGTTTGAGTTCTCAAGATACTAACAACCTCACAGTTACAGCCACCCTGACCTCGCTACCGTCAGCAACTCTGAGGCTCGCACTCAGATGACCCGTCTCGAGGCCGACTTCCTCAAGATCGTCGGAAAGTACCCTACCTACATGCGACCTCCCTACTTCAGCTACACCTCCAACACCCTCTCCGTCATGAAGACCCTTGGCTACCATGTCATCGGTGCTGATGTTGACTCCCTTGACTGGGAGTACAACACTCCTGCTGAGACCAACACCGCTCTCAATCTCTTTAAGAAGGGTATTACCGCCGGTGGTTCCATCTCTCTCTTCCACGACGTCCACCAGAACACTGTCCGCAACCTCATGCCCAAGGTCCTCGACGCTGTCTCCCGCAGCACCCGTATTCGTAAGTTGATATCCTCTACCTCTCTCATGAACCATATACTAACAATACTCAGCCGTCACTGTCGGCCAGTGCCTCGGCGACCCTTCTGCCAACTGGTACAAGACCACCAAGCGCACCAAGCGTGACCTTGAGGAGATTGACGCCGCTGAGGAGAAGGAGGTTACTGAGCGTGCTCTCGCCAACTACGTTGAGCACTCCCGCTTCCGCCGCCACACCAAGGCTTAAGCGTCCACGACACGACATGATATCTATTTAATGAGCCTAAGAATTATTGGATTTGTTTGTCTTTTCTGAAAGCATTTTGTATTACCAATACTTCCTTTGTGTGGCTTGCACATATATAATAGACATGCCCTATACTTACACTACCTAAACTTAATACATGACCTTATTCCTATTGTCACAATAAATTCTGTTTTCCAACGTCGTTATCTGTCAGCTCTTAGTGCTTATAAGTGTTACATCCTATAGGTCCATTGACTTACACGGACCCTGCTATATTCGATGCTACTATGGAGTGAATGACTCGTGACTCTTCATGCCAACCCCGTCGCCACGAGGATGGTCTCAGGGTTAACCGAGACAACTACAAAATGTCTTTTGTAAATGTCAAATATGACTTGAAGATGTCTCGGGCCTCGATATGTAGACTAATCTATAGCTTAGACTATACGAGCATTGGCGAGGCAAGTAAGACTGACCAAGTCTGCGCCAAGGTCAACGCCAAGCACTTCACTTGGCAGAACATACAGCCTGTCATGTTACTATTTCTGCTCTACCAGCTGTCATAATAAGAGAATGTTACTGATATACTTGATTGGGTATGGCCTTATCTCTTAACTCGGCCATCCCAACAAGCGCATGTCATGTTCTCGGCAATGTCATCAATTGCCCATCATGTCTTGGCAGAGACTACCTGAGTGGAATACGGTCAGTAGAACACACTTTCAGCACCTCTCTACTAAGTAAATGTCGGCCATATTTTCGACTTCCTGTAACAGATTGATACAAAAATGGCAGCCGTTCCCGCAGAACTGTCGGAGGAACTTGCTTGACCTTGACCCGTTGGTCAACTAAAGAGAAGCTTGACACTAACTTACCCTTCACAGCTCACTATTGTTTGATCAATTCTCGCCAGTTTCTTTAAGTCTTGACAGCGATTTGTAAGCCCAAATGGCATGTGGGATAATCAGTAAGTCGTAGAACTCTGGAAATACGACATTGCCGAGATCCCGGCTTGTCCGACTGAATCCAAGACACGCGAAGCTACATATACTCAAACATATTAAAACAACTAGGTTATACCCCATATATAGTTCTTAAGACGATCCAGCATATTGGACCCTGGAGTTCCACGAAGCTCACCGTCAAGGACCTTGATCCTGGTCGTTATCTCAGGTCGCATTCAAGCATGTTACCACCAGGTGGGCAGCGACGATAGCGAAACCTTATTCCCTTTTTGTTGGTCTTATAATGCACCCTTGCCCACTATTGTCACACGAGATAATTATCTCATGAATATTGGTATCTGATTTTGTGTGAGAAGAACATCTGGATAGGTGAGAATGACATTCGTGGGTGGCACAGCAGTTTCATGTCTGAAACAGTGAGATTTATTGGATAAGTTCTATATCTGCATATCGGCAATCCAAGATACCGAGCCGTCATAAGACATCGGACAATCCAGTTACGCACTGAGATTATTTTCCAATGGATTCATCAATGGTGCATCCCAATTCCATAGCTCTGTACAGCCTGCTTCCTGTAGTCGACTTGCCTACAAAGAGCTGGCGGAACTCTCTTCCAGTCCGGTCCAAGAGATTTTCTTCGAATATCCGCCACTTGCGAGGTCTTTCTTCATACTTCCTAGTTTATAGTTAACATCTACATATCGGACAGAGGCGATGTATATAGCAGTTACCTCTTTTGTGTTCTGAAGTTTGCAATTGCTTCGCCGTGGGATTGATTGCCCTCTACAGCCACTGCATGGATGTAGCCTTGTGCAGCTTGCTCGAGAGACTTGCCTACCAGAGCGCTCGTAACCCTAGTCGCAAAATGAAGCCACGGCATATGCTCTATCGAGTTATAGAGCTGAGTATCTCTGATGGACCAGTTGCAAACGGCATTGACGATGACTTCGTTAGGGCTGACACTACGGGAGAGGTCATACAGAACGATATGCAGAAGGCTTCTGGGGATTATGAACCGATCTTGCCACCATTCGACGGTGCTGTCTTTCGTTTTTTGTAGTCGGACGAGGCTGTCCATAGACTCCCATGTTGGTGGGTCGTATCGAATTTCGTCGTGGGGTAAAGCAATGCTCGTACTGGCGACGGTCAACCGTCCAGGGGACCCCCTTTGGAGAACGCTCCCGGAGCACGGGCACGAAAAGTCTTGCGAGGAGAGCCGTGGAGAGGTAGTTAACCTGGAACATTACCTCGTGCTCTGTGTAAGCCGCTTGATATACATCATCTTGCAAAGTGCCGGCGTTGAGGATGACTATATCAAGCCGCTTTAGGTCCTTGAGCGCACGTTCAGCAAAAGCAATAACAGAGTCATAAGACTCCATTTCCAGCTCCCAGACCTGGATTTCAGCCCGAGGATATTGAAGTCGAAGACCGGCAGCCACATCCTCGCCTTTCTTTTGTGTTCGTGAGCTCATGATGAGCTGGGACACGCCATGAGAGAGGAGGGATCTACATGTCTCTAGACCCACGCCGCTGGTTGTGCCAGTGACGAGAGCTGTGGCGCCATGGAGCTTGATGTCTGAGGGCGAGTAAGGGCGTCGAAAGGCTGGGCTGAAAAGGCGGAGCCACAGACCTGGTTTCTTTGGCTTGGGCTGGACTGGAACTTTGGACTGGCTGTTCATGATGAGTGTGGTTTGTTCATCGCGATAGAAAGGAAGAGAGGAAGATGGAGAGGTTTTGAGATAAGTTGAATGAAAAGAAAAGCTGTACTGGAAGTTTACATCGTACGTTGCCTTTGAAGTTTGTATGTGATAGAGTTTTGATAGATCTATAATAACTGATAGAGGAAGCCCTCTTTGAACCTACTCTTCAAAATTGGACACAGAGATAGTCTATATGGAGGGCAATCCTTCAAAGTTAGATGTGGTAAGATATTGACTGGCCTACGAGACACATGCCTATAGCACCAGGTGGTTGTCAGAAGGAACATCCTCCAAGATTCAGACTACAGAAGTAAAGTAGCCTAAATACTAGCCTACCTAAGCCGGCATAAGGTAATCAAATTATTATATCCCTTATGCTCTTAGGGGCCAATTCTTATGATACCCTGAGGAGCACCAAAGCTATCTTTCTTTGATTATCCACCACCACCTTAGTATGTGTACTCTTGGAGATTTAGATGTCGTTCATGAACTAGAAATGAATAGAAACAAGTGGAATTATAGCAAAATATCCTCATTTGATATGTATTATTATCGAACTATCGCGACGGAATTCTGAAGTGGCATAACTCAAAGTGAAGCCATCACGGTATCAGGACAACACTTCTTTACGCCCTTGTTGTTCTGAAACTCTATATGACCACTCTAATGGTACTGAATATCCCATCCCAAGTCGTAAAAAGCGCGATCGCATTTACTCCTATTTTTTGAAAGTCCATTTTCGGATCCGACTGCATGTGGTGTACTCCACCTGCCGTATGGAGGAAAATCAGTGACATGTAAAAAGCTGTTGATACGCCGGACAAAAGACGGGAATGAGAGTTACATCAAGATTTTCCTGGCGTCACGTCACTGGGTCTGGAACCGGGTCTGGGTCTTTGGTCACGGGGAGCTCGGCCTCTAAATCGTCGATTAATTTAGTGGGCGGAAGTCGGAGGATGAAAGCGGCCGGGCGATGGGCCGAGATTTTACTGCTTCACTTTGCATACAGTGTGTCGCGTGTAGGACCACGGGGAGTTTTGAGAGCATATGATTTGTGGAATTTTAGAAGTACTGAGATCATCAGTTATGTCAGACATGATCATAATATTGAACAACTCATAGAATCTCAAACAATCAGTAGTTTTGACCTCTCAGTACGTAATTACTAGACCCTGGTGCTGGATGTCGGGGCCATCGGGGAGGTCGGGGAGTTGTTGAGGCCCTTGATGGAGCCGGTCACTCGTAACGCCAATGAATGTAGCCGATGACCGACGGCCGAACTGTCACGAGCAGAGTATCCATAAAAGTCGAGGTGCCCGCTGTAATTCATGTACAGTACGTAGGTAGTGGAGGGTTTTGCAACACTAAACCAACTTCAAGACCCTGATCTGGGGTGCATCTTGGAGGCATATTACTTATAAGCAATAAGAGACATTATTTGAATTCTATTACCATCAGTGTCATCAATCGTCATTGATCACGTGCCCATCTGTGCTGTTGCTCCTCCATCAATTCCCCGATGGCCCGATACCCGTTCACCAGAAAATCTCCACTTGAACACTCTTAAACCACACAACAACTACCGACAACCGCACAAAATGGCCACCCCGGTGGCCGTCTTAGACCAACCCGCGGGACATGCCTCGTAAGGTCAAGCCCAAGTCAAGGGGGGGAAAAGCCGACCTGACTCAAAGATAGAGAGAGCCTCCAAAATTTGACCTGACCTGACCTGACCACTCCTACCTCTATCTGCTGAACGATCTGTTCAGTCTTTCTGTGAATACTTTGATCGTATATTTTCTGTATCTTAAGAGCATGACACGGACAAAGTCTTCTCCTCCCGCGTCCGGACCCTCGGCTTCTGCGACTGCGACGCGCCGACAGGCTTCCGCAAGACCTGGAAAGGCGAGATCCCTCGCCTGTCGACAATGTCGCGATCGTAAAATCCGCTGCGACGGCGCTCGCCCTGTTTGCGATTCGTGTTCCAGACGAGGTCTTTGTGCGGAACAATGCGTTTACCCCGAGATTGAGCATGAAGGGTCTATCGCTTCGTCGCGCAGGTGAGCAACTTTAAAGAACTCAACCATGTAGATAGAGATTGACTTCGTAATAGCTATATCCGCGCCCTCCAGAAACGGGTTCAGGAACTTGAAGAAAAGGAAAGGCAATTGGTAAGTCTTTTTATACCAAGTACCTTGCTCGTGTCTTTCATTCGTAGTACATTTACTCATAATGTCGCAGGAGCTTGTCGCTCATGGCCGCGATGCTTTCGCTGCTACTACGCCTGCACATGACGAATGGAGGAAACATTCTACATCTCCCAGCGTGGCATCAGAGCGTATGACACGACCACCGAGACCTTCTGATCATGCTCTTCCACCAATTCATGCCGATTCTGGCTATCCTCTACCCAGTTTTCCTATCAGAGCTGGCTCGCTGCCTATGGTTCATGAACCAGCAAGCTACTACTCCCGCCCGCACCATCCCATGGGTGCTAGCCCGCCTTTGACCGACGATCTTGAAGATGCCGCTCCTGTCAAGCCTTCGTCTTTCGGCTCTTACTCTTCCAACGTCAAGGCTGCTTTGATGCTCCAGAAGATTACCCTTCCTCCAACAGACCTGATGGACGAGCTTCTAGCCGAGTACTTCGCCATTGACTGGATCACGATGCCTATTGTCCACCGTCCATCTTTCTACCAACGCTACCATCGCCTTATCGCTGTAGCAAACTCCCGTTATCGTCGCGATATCCCTCTCGAAGAAGCAACCGAACTCGCCGCAACTTACTCCCTTTTACTCGGAATGCTGGCAATCGGTCAGCTAGCCAAATCTGCGACCGCCGAATCGAACGAGTCTCATCTAACCCACGCCTACGAATTCCACCAGCAAGCCAAGACGCTGCTTCTGGTCGACCTTTTATCCGTAGCTTCTCTTCCTGTAGTGCAGGCATTGGTTGTTCACACTCGGTTCTTACGACGGGCGGGTGCAGCTCAGGATAGTTGGATGATGACAGGAATGGCTTATCGACTTGCAGAGGGTCTTATGCTTCATGTTGATCTACCAGGAAAGGCGCAGGCGGAAATTGAGGAGCGAAGAAGGACATGGTGTGCTTGTGCTCTACTTGTTAGAATGCAAAACTCTTCCGAAAGCCAAAACCCAACATTTGGCACTTTGCCCCAGGAAATTGACGACGAATATCTTGAGGTTTATGCCAATAACATTAACAGGACACAGCCTTGCGATACCCCTTCAAAGTTATCCTTCTTCAACCAAACACTGCAACTAGCGGACAACGTTCTGCAGCCTATTCACGATGCCTACTTCAGCTCAACCTGCAACACCAAAGACGCTATCCCAGACATTCTATCTACTGCACTCAAGCTCGATTGTGAGTTAGAGGAATGGCATGCTGCTTTGCCTGAACATCTTCATGTGACGTTTCCTTGCACCCAGCCCGAAGCAGTCTTTCGCCGCCAAGCTACTCTACTGCGCATGAGGTATGTCCCCCCCTTTCCCGCATACACAACGGCTCTAACATGAAAGTAGATACCTTGAGGCCAAGGCATTGATCCCTCGGGCAGCTATCATGAAGCTCATCAGCAGTAATACAACTCAGCCAGCTTCCCTGATCGCAAAGTCCATGCTTGCAGGATTATTCGAGTCTTGTTACGCTGCAAGTGTCGAACTGGAGGATATCATGGCGCGCGAAAAGAGACTGGTCACTTTCGACGGACCCCCCGAGAGCCACTCTGCCATCGGTAAGTTTGCAATACTCTGGTCAGCGTGCCTTTACTAACTTCAATTCAGCTCTAGGCATAATTGGCATGACTCTCACCATCCTGGTTCAACACCCTCTCTTCAGAGAAACTATCACCAACCCCGTCCTCATAACCGACGAAGCAAGACGCTGTCTCGCCACAGCAAAGCAGTACACAAACACAAACAACCCACTATCTGAGCGCTTCGTGCATGCCCTCGAGTCAGCCTTGCAGCCTTCGTCCCTACGCGACGCGTTGGACCAGACCCCTGCGGAGATGGCCTTGCTTGAGGCCTGGTATATGAAGAGGCAGGACCTCGTTTCTGCGTGCGGTATGCCTGTTACGGAAATCGTTTCTTTGTGGTGATTTGGATACCCAGTGTAGTATTGATGGATACCCTATATAGTATGGAAAGGAAAAAGGGAGGATTCGGCGTTTGTTTTAGCGAGATACCCAAGCATGAAGTCAATTGAATGATTATGTTAATATGTTTTGACTCCTATCGAGTTGTTTTTTCCTGGTTACCTCCCGTGTTGGCTCTGTCGTTCTAGTTGCCTGTCATGTTGGTGATGTAAGTTGCCTTGTTGCAGGGGGGTCATGTTGGTCCAAGATGCAGCGGCCCGGTCGGACTGCGCCTTGCATGTGCCAGGTATAGTTACCATTGGTCTGATGATTCTCGATTCGTTGAATTAATCTCATTATCAGAGAAAGTTCTGGTCTATGCGCGGCCGCTTGCTGGGATCTTTGAAGTGGTAGGCCTCCGACCTAAAATTCTACCAGCAGGACGATAGCATCGACTCATCATCAAACTGCCAAATAATGAATCAGGGGTGCGCTAAGAAATTACCCAAACTCATAGGCTATAGGTATAATAACATACTCCCTAAGAAAATCTCTCTGCTACTTAGTAGCCATGCATCTGCCTAGCCGGGTAGCTGCATGGGGGCAGAAGTAGGAAAATGCGGTCTGTTACAGCCTTCCAACAAACTACATTACGATATATCAGATAATCCACTTGGAGATAGATAACTGCGACAATCTATTTCGCAAGGCAACAGGCTTGGTGGAAGGCCTCCAGCAGCAAGCAAGGAACCGCCAGCCCATGTTTGTTCATGAGCCACCTTGATTCACTCCATCAGGACTCGAGCGAATTGACTCGATCTTGTATAAGTACCAAGTTTTTCTCCTTCTCCGAACACTTCCTTTCTAACCTCTCAACGCTCCACAGCACACTAGATACATCCTACTGCGCACAGAAAAGAGAAACTTCGTAGCTGGCACTTTTATCCATGACAAAATCAGTGGCAGAAATGACAGCCAAGACAGATAAGTCGGGGGAGGGTCTCGCTAACCGAACCCTCCTCGACAAGATGGACAAGCTTCGAGAGCTTGGTATATCCGATATGGTTCCTCTTCCACAAGTAAGCACCTGCACTCCCTTGCGACTCACGCAGCAATGACTCTAATCGTTTCAACAGATGGTAGTCGTTGGAGACCAGAGTGCAGGAAAGTCGAGTGTCCTTGAATCTCTTACTGGCTTCCACTTCCCCCGAGACGTTACTCTATGCACCCGCCATGCCACAGAGATCATCTGTCGCCGCGAGGAAACCTCAAAAATCGTCATCTCTATCCATGCTGTCGATGCGGATGAGGAAGAGGCCAGGTCCTTTCGTCGTACCGTTGAGAACCTTGACGCAAAGGAGTTCGGTCAGATCTTCAAGGATGTAAGTCTACTTTACCTGGTTCATCATTCGTTACTGACTGAATACAAAAGGCGGCTAAAGTCATGGGCATCGAATCAGACTCTAACGGCAACACAAGCGGCTCAGCCTTCAGTCGTGACGTTCTCCGTGTTGAAATCAGCGGGCCGAACGAGGATCACTTAACAGTGATTGATGTCCCTGGCATGTTTGAGAACGAAACCCCCGGAATGACAACCAAGGCCGATATTGAGCTTGTGAAAAGTATGGTCAAGCGATACATCAACGAGTCACGAACCATCATCCTCGCTGTTGTCCCTTGCAACGGCGATATTGCCAACCAGAAAATCTTGACGTACGCCAAGGAGGCTGACCCCGAAGGCAAGAGAACACTCGGTGTCCTCACCAAGCCGGATCTAGCTGTCGAGGAGGCTACCAAGAGAGTTGTCGTTGACCTTGTACTGGGAAAGCGTCGTGATCTTCAACTCGGTTATTGCGTCGTCAAGAACCGGGGCGCAGACGATACCTCTTCTAGCCCAGAAGATCGCAACCTCCAGGAGAGAAGCTTCTTCACGCAAGCTTCCTGGACCAAACTTCCTGCTGATCGTGTGGGAATTCCCGCTCTCAAGACACGTCTAGGACAACTCCTCATGGATCGCACAAAGAGCGAGTTTCCCAAAGTCCGGGCCGAACTTGGCACCAAGCTCAAAGAGTGCGATAGTCTCCTTAAAGACATGGGTCAATCGCGCAGCACTGAAGCAGAGCAGCGTATCTACCTCGGTAACGTCGCGGCCCAGTTCGCACAAATCAAAAACTATGGTCTTGACGCTTACTACACGCGCCACAAGATCTTCGAGAATGAGGAGCTCAAACTGATCACTCGCATTCGAGAGATTAACGAGGGTTTCGGAAAGGTTCTCTACGAAAGGGGACATACGCGGGGCTTCTTTAAGTCTGGCGAAGAGGAAGAGGTTGCGACAGAACCAGGCTCGGAATCCGAAGCTTCTAGTGATTGTGATGAGAACCAAGACACCAAGAGAGGGGACCTGTACAATGAAACGACCTTCACTATTCCTTTACTTGGTGAAGATGACTTGGAAGATGATATTCTCTACGATGCCTACTGCTGTCCCGAGCCTCAGGAAGAGGATATTATGACATATATCGAGAAGGAGTACTTGACCTCGCGAGGTTACGAGATTGGAACTGTAAGTTTACTCCAATGTTTAAACTAATACAGACGATAAAGCTAACATTATCTAGTTCAGTGGTGAGATGGTTCCTATCACATTCAAGGAGCAATCGAAGAAGTGGCGTCCCATGGCTCAGGCGCACGTCTCTAATGCCATCCTCATCGTTCACCATTTCATCCGCACCGTTCTCGACTCTTGTTGCGCTCATTCTTCGATCCGCGATCAGCTCTGGGATTACCTCCTCGAAGATCTTCAAAAGCGCTACCGTCGTGCCGTCGACCATGTCGAGTTCCTGCTCGAAGTCGAGTTTGAGGGGAAGAGCATTACGTACAACCCGAACTTCAGTGACTCCCTCAGCAAGCTCAAGTTGGCCCATGTCAAAGGCCTTGGCCAAGAAGTTCAAAACATGCTGGAAAACCACCAAATCAACAACTACCACAAGAATTACAACGCAGGAAGCGCAGCTACGGCGGCGCGTGAGATGATCGAAAGGCGACTCAACAACGAAACTACTCTACAAACCACCCGCCGAGACATTCACAATGTTCTTTACACCTTCTATGAAAATGCACGCGGTCGCTTTGTAGATGTTGTATGTCAGCAAGTCATTGACCACTTCCTCCTTCACGCCTCGGATGGTCCTCTTGCTGTGCTTTCTGAAAAGATTGCTCTCCAGATGACTGCCGACCAGCTTGAGGCCATTGCAGGCGAAGACATGCTCAGCAGAGATCGCCGCGAGAAGCTGACTCGCGATATTGGCAACCTGAAGGAGGCCCTCAAGGTTCTTCGCGGTTAAGACTAGTACCAGAAAGGGGTTTGTTGTACTACAGTTGGAGTTGGTATACAGAGTTGCTTTTCGTAAAATGGGAAGTGTATTCGTATAGACAAGAACTGGATTGAGTTGTAGACAAGTGTAGAGAATAGAGTTGATCGCTATCACCCCATCTGCCTGTGATGCAACAATATTGATGTTATGTGATCACGGTAGCCAGCTCGCAGTTATATATACACATTTCTATCAAGGGTAGTCACCAGCTGTTTGGATAGGGCAAATATTGTCTGGAGATTCTTTATTCGTTATTCATTCGTACAAGTTGCAAGCATTTCTGCTTGCAAGTCTCCTACTGCCGACGTTAAATGCGGCATATTTCCTAAATCAAACATCTAAGGTATCATAGTCTAAATTTCATTAATCCACCAACGCCTGTAATATGCCAATCATGTACGACCAACACCGTTTTTGTCCTTTCAGAACATCATTTTAGAAGACTGCCGACATCCTGCAGCTGAACCGAGTTCAACAGTGGAGGTGGCCCTCCTCGATCTATTCGCCCCCATCCAGCTCCCCAGCTTGGTGGTGGAGGCGGAGGAGGGCTACTTGCTGTAGCAGGCGCGGGTGCCCCTGCTGGGAATATGTCGTCCTCTACCGTACCCGAGCTTCGAGTACTGAGGGCAATATCTGTACCACTGCTCGACTTGGCCTTGCGATGTCTTCTCCAGAGACGAGGCTTCCGCAGTCGAGATGTTTCCGCCATGAGCTCGGGTGATGTCATGATGCCAACGCGGTCGCTCTTTCGGAACTGGCCCATTCTAGACCTGGGATACGAAAATCCTGCAGGCTGACCACCATGGAACGGGTTCCATGCCCTGAGTTTGGGCGATCCAAGACTTATACTGCCATTACATCCTGAGTTATAGCTCGTTCGAGGCTCGCCAGAAAGCTCCTCCAAAGTCATGCCCTTGGTCTCAGGGATCAACAGCGAGGTGAAAGTGCCGAATAACATGAAAAGGGCAAAGAGTTGAAGCAAACGGTCGAGATTCGGTGTGCACTCGGTATCCTTGCAGTCCTCCGCGGCTCCTTGACGCACCATAGGGATGCTGATAACTTGAGCGACGATGGCACCGATCTTGCCCATAGCAGCGCTAATTCCATGTCCAGTGGAGCGATATCGGGTCGGGAAACATTCGCCAGGAACGATAAACGTAGTCGTGTTCGGGCCAGCGTTGAAGAGGAACTGGCCAATAATGTATAGTGCGAGCAAGCCTCCTTGGCTCAGGTTGTTGTACGCAAAACCAAGAATGCAGAAGAGAATGGTGAGCAAAAGGAAGCCAACTACTTGCAATGGCTTGCGGCCGAATGTGTCAACGGTGAGAATCGCCATCCAGTAGCCAGGGAGTGAGCCGGCACAAGTCAAGATGATCATTCCCACCGCTTGGTTGTGAAGTTTGTCGAAAAGGTTGTTGCCCGAACCATAGCCAACTGCATGGAGGACAAAGGTATTATTAAGTCCGAGACCGTAGAACGCGAGGTCCTTCAGAAAGGTTAGCTAGTGTGGGGGCAAGGTTTCCAAGAGAACTTACCAAGAAGAACCAAGAGAGCGTTGTGCCAAGAAGCATCTTGAAATTGGCCCATTGGCGGAAGAAGGCAAGAAGGTCAGACCAAGACGCACGAGGTACGTTAAGACCACGTCCAGATTGACGCTTGGATCTGACCTGATGAACAACATCAAAAGACCCCTTGGACTTGCTTGCTACGTATGCTTTGATATCGGCATCGGCTTTCTCAACGTCGTGTTCAACATCGAATGTGTATCGAGGGGTTTCGGGAATAGTAATGCGGTAGTAAAGAGCCGCACAGGCAGGGATCGCGCCTACTCCAACAATGATTCTCCATGCTCGGTCGGCAGCCAATCGACACTCGAAACCGCATTGACTTTCGTCAAGAGCACCAACAAAAGCGTCCTTGAAGGCAACAGTAGTGATTAGAGCAACGATAGCAGCCGCAACTTGTCCAAGGCCTTGCATAGAAAAGACAGCAGCAACCATAGCGCCGCGCCACCTTGTCGGTGCGAACCTAGTGGGATCTCAGTCAGCTCCATTCAATGCAAGTGTTTTGGGGGTTTGGTCAAACTAGACGCCAGCCACAAAACTTTCTTGACAACAAACAAGACTCAACTTACTCAGAGGTAATAACACTGGATAGCGGATAATCGCCACCGATTCCAATGCCCTGGATTGCAGTCAATAAATGCTATCTGAAAACGGTTTCTAAAAGCTTACCATAATGATGCGCCAAAAGATCAGGAGCCCAGTCGATCCCATAGCAGGGCTCGAGGAGATAAGGGCACAGCAAAGGGTAGCCATGATAATGATAGCCAGTTCCACACCGTACATACGTCGTCGACCAAAACCACTGATGAGTTGTCAGAACATTGTTGTCCAGCTAGAGGATAAACTCCACCAATAAGAATAGAGGGGTACTGACTCTGCCAGCCATCCAAAGACAATCATGCCTACTACAATTCCAGCACTGGTGGAGGCTTTAAAGGCTTGGTTGACTCGGTCAGGAAGGTAGCCATCGTTACCGCTGAAACCGTTTTGAGGGTTCGGATCTCCCCAGAAAACAACTCCAAGGAGTACTGTAATAAGATTGATGGCAAAGATATCGTAAGAGTCTAGGAAGAAACCAACACCTGCTACTAAAACAGCACGGATATCTGATAGAGGGTCAGTAAATACATATAAAGCGGTGCTGCATCGACTCAGTGTAGTCACATACGGTATGCGCCAAAAGGAACCTTGTCGATCTCAGACAAGGCAAGACGGCGGCGAAGATTTGGGTCAGGAATATGAGAGAAGTCGTTAAAGAAGTTGTGAAAAGCCCGGTTGCCGCCCCAAGTTCGATCCTGCTGAGAGCCGGTCGCAGGCTCGGGGAGTATGTCGTCGTCGTAGTCTGGCATTTTGAAGTTTATGGTGAAGGAATATCGGGAGCGATGATATCTGTAATCGACGACATGGGTTGTTTGGGATGAGAATGTGTCGAGATGAGTTTCGCGATACTGATCTCCACCTCTTCGGGCGCTGTTCCGTTGAGATCAGGAATGCATAGGAACCAAGATTCCGGTGTCGATGATTTTCAATAATTAATCCAACTCTTCCCAAGTATGTCCAATTCGAGATTTTTCACTTCTTTTCGCTCAAACCGTGGTTCGCTAAAACGATAGCTGAGTGCCCAATTGATTCAGTCCACGGGGATAGATGTTTGAGGTGGCTGGGGTCCAGTATCAACACCGATATCAAGTTTCCTTCTATTCCAAAGCCGCAGATTTAATTGGCGATAGTTTAACAAAGATAATAGAATGCCGATGTATTGTTCAAATGCGACATCGATACTATGGATCGGAGTTTCGGCGTCGCTGGCCGTCGGGGGGTGCGGATTCGTGAGGGTCGATAGATGCGATGAGTGGTGAAGGTTTACGACAAGTCTAGACCTAAGGCGAGGGGAGAATCGAGCGAAACCATAGATACAATGAAGAGAATATTATGTTTTCTAATAACAGAGATAATAACAATACGTAGGTATGGATGAGAAATGGAGAAGTTTGAGAGGATTCTTCACAGGCCCGGGCAGTTGGGATTAGATAGGTACGGCCGGATATAGCGTGCGAGCCGTGCTTTGCCAGGTTGGTTACTTTTACGTACGCTACGGATTAGGGGATGGACGAACATACTGTCTCTGTCTTGTCTGTAACGAGATGGGTGGTGATTTTGAGGCAGGTGCAATGGTGGAGACACACCTGCGCACGCCTTCCAGAATGGAACCTCCGGACAAGTCACTGACCAGTCAGCGCTCAGCACTCACCCAGTCACCCACCTCTGGAAGCCGAGGAAGAAGCAAGATGGAAAGTCCACTGCACACCCACTCGAACCTCCCCGGACCAGTTAGAGTCCAGTATTCGATGCAGACCACTGAGATGAATGGAACACCAGGTTGCCCATGCTCTAAGAGAATCCACCAGGTCCCGCCTTGTTCAAAGCAGGTCATTCTGCTAAACACCGACCACCTCCTTCATCTAGAATAGCATGAACATCGGCTCGGTGCTTTGCAATAGCGAAATAGGCCAGCAACGCCTAGCTTCCACCTCAACCAAGATCCTAAACACGATTCCCATTCAGCTCACGACCGACCGAACAGAAGAGACTTCTTGCTCCCTGGCAAAACAGATGCACCCTTGCAATCCCCTGTCATCCACTAACCTCCCTTCAACCAATTGGAAGCTATCGGAGGCCAGTGGCCAAACTCGCCCCGGTGGAGAGAAGTTGACCTAACGCCCGCGTCTTACACACTGAGAGGGCTGCCCCCCACTTCAAGTCCCAGGGTCGTTTCGCTATCTGTTCGCTCTGACTCTGGTTCTGGCTGGGCTGAGGACTGCTGAAGGATGCGAACAGAGTTTATTTTGAATAAGAGGCGTTGTGACCTTTGCATTCAGGAGAATGTAACTTCTCCTTGCACCTCAGGGATCTATCGCCGTTGGTTCGCTTGAATCACAAATTTGACGCCTTGTTACAGAAATTAGATCTGTCTGTCTGATGTGATGCAGACAGTCAGACAGACAAGACAAGACAGACCAAACCCCCTGGCCCCTGTTTTCCAGAACAAATTCTTGACGCCTCAGGCAATTATGAATTTACTTCTGTCACGGGAAGGCTTCCAGAAAACAATAGAGTCGTTCCATGGATCCATCACACCCACATCATCATGCCGCATCGAGCAATCCATTTCATCTTACCTGGTCACTTGGTCGCAGATCTCGCCGACCGGGAACTTTCAAGATTTTACCGGCGTTTCTTTCACCTTGATCGACATATATAATACCCGAAGCTTTTTATATCCATCCCACATTGCATCGATACGCTGCAGCATATCGATGACGATTGATTGAAAAAAAGATCGACAGCAACCTCTAGACCAGGCTGCATTACGATACACAACATTCTTTGTTGACTTTCCCCTCTTTCTCGTGATGGTAAATGCCGACACGTGCTTACATCCTCTGTTAGTCTATCTGACAACACGATGAAAAGAGTGAGAGAATAGCACCGAGACGGGCGTACTATTCGATTGTACGTAAAAAGTGCACGTTGTACAATCAGCCGGTCAGATACAGTGGATTGCTCGATTCCCCATCACCGAAGAGGTTCCCAGAGACGGTTGAGTGGGTGACAGAAGAATTGTCCTCCAAGGCTTAGGCTGTCAAAATAAAACAGCCCAAGTGCCAACATTCGGCTGGCATAAGATGATCGATTTATTTCGTCTCTTATCCTTTCGGCGTCTAATTCTTCTGACACCACAACGACGCTTTCCGGCAAACAGCAAGCTCTATCCCAGTTTGCCCCAGCGTGATTGGGTCGTGCGCGGCTGTTCGCATTGAGAAACATTCAAGAAAACCTTCAAGCGTGACTCTTAGTGATCCATTATTCACACAAAGTGAAACGGCGCGGTCTCCTCTTTCGTGATTCATTGTGGCCAAGAGAAAACAAGATCAATCAATGTCAGACCCAAACCCCGACCCATCTGGCACGTTGTCCAACTGTCTCCACCGGCTTACCTTCGAAAATGCTTCTAGCCGTATTCTGAAGTTTGCCACAGCATGGGTCTAAGAGGACAAAGGCTTGGGGAAACAGAAATTTTGACGTCCGTGTTCAGGATGCAGGAAAGATGAGAGCAGAGAGTTACCCATTCTGTTGGCCTCATGTCTCCTACTATTTTGTCTCGGTTGCTAACAGCAATCTAGATTTTCAACACCGCGTGAGAAACTACAATAACTCGCCTGATATTAACTAAAAAGTTACGTATTACGGGTCTGTGTTTCGTTCTCGCTGATCCGTGCTTTTGTACCTGAGAGTACGCGATACGTTTTGCTAATCTTGTTAATCTGCGACGCCAACCGCTCGAAACCGTTACCTAAAACATAGCTCTAGTCATTTTACTAGACATCCTTTATCTTTTCAGCTCCATTTCATGACTTGTCATGGCCTTTTGTCCCTCACTATCCCATCCCGCTGTCATTCTCGGTGAGGAAGTGCATTCCGGCAGCACTGACCGAGCCAAGCCGGGCCAAGAGCGGTCGCCCGACGGGTATGGGTTTCCTCTTGTCTCATCACATTTGCATATCCTCGCCTTTCCTCACTTGTTTCTCAATCTCTCAGCTCATCATTCTCGTTTCGCAAATTTTGAGCAGGGGCTGCAGCTGTCGTAATACAACTGACCAATCGGTTATCCACGTGTGTTGCTCTTTTCACTTGATCCTCCACCGGCTTTGCGAGTCTCTTGCCTTGTACAAGACTGTACCTTGAAAGATTTGCTAATCCCATGCCTCTCGAAACTGTTGCTGGGGATTCTGTAAGCTGGGGAATTCGTAAGCCCGGTGGGCCAGTGGGTTATCAGTCAGTTCTTCCGTACACGTCAAAGAACATCCTGGAGGCTAGTATAGCCGAGCCTCTCTGTTTTTTTCCTGTTAGTTACCAACAGAGGCCAAGAGGTCAACTTGTTCCTGGCTGGATGATTGGTGAGATTACGGTATTTCCTTGTAGATGAGGGATGAGTTGACAAGCTCGGCTTTCGAGGCACTCATCTACATGCATGCACACTCCAATATGGATAACTTGGAAGAGCCGCTCGTAAAGACAGAGTTCTAATCTATTTCTGGCTCTTTGCTGGAAATGGAGCATACTATACAATTCTGCATTTCTTTGTGGTTCTTTGATATGGCGTTGCTTCAAAGTGTCGCATCACTACACTCGAAGTCTCAGTCTCCATAGAGGTTGACTCATGACAACACTCCATACCGGCCTATAATGTAGAGGAGGTGGTGTGTATTAGTGACACCTAATCCTGTAATTCCTCAAGGTCCTACACCCTAGAGCATTGAAATGGAAGCCAAAGTCTCTTGCATTGACATCTCAACGGCCGCAATCTGATGATCAATCTGCAGCAGTCGGTTACACAACACAAACTGTGCGGAAACACGCATTAAGGCGCAAATAAGCGAATTCCGTCTGTAATTGGGTTCTTTGCACATGTCTCTCCTGTTTTCATCCATCTGCATTCCATGCGTGTCACTTTTGCAACAGCCTCATGTTTTAGCCCGCAGCCACCATCACCGTCTCAATCTACAATGCGCCATATTCCTCAGTGGCTTTATTCATGAATGTGACAAACCTGAATATCGATTTGTAAGAAATAGCATTGTAGATGGATGGCGGCTTTTGTTGTCAATGAAGAGTGGTGTCGTGTGGCTTCAGGATGGCAACATGGTTTGGCGGGAATAAAGACTTGAGCAAATAAGCGTTTTGTGTAGCTGGTCAGTTGCGCGACAATGCACAAGGAGTGGTATGTATTGTTTGTGCTCAGATGCGTCCCGATGGTTCTCAAAAGAGATATGATTCTCTTACTCCGCGGCTAGAGTACTGCACGGCACTCGGATGGCCACCGGGAGAAGGAGGCGGGACTTGAACCCATGAGCCGATATCATTCAATCAGTTCATCATCGAGATCAATGAACAGATGCTCATATGCATATTATATGCATGGTGGTGAATCCGTACGTAAAATGACTCCAGAAGCTCAAGCACATATGATCTATCACTCTCTATAGTAAGACCTGTAGCCGGGCGATCATTAAACCCAACAAGGAAACGGAGCAGGTAGTAGCATCTCTACTTCCCGTCACTTGAAAAAGGTCTATTGAAGTCTAGTGATAGGTTGTTGTTAAAAGAGCGATGATTGTATACACCAATATCGATTGGTGCCTCGACTTGTGGATGAGCGCTGCATGACTGACTCGTTGCTCCCTTTTCACATGCACTTTCAAGTTATACCACCATCCAAATATGTCTATCTTGATTATGATACTGTTTGGTTGATCCAATTGTGACGTTAGTTACGCCTAGAAAACGCGGGGAATCATGGTATTTAACGTCACATTGACAGATGTTCGTATAATCAACAGCCACAATAATACAGTTCTCGTTCTTCATGTTCGTCATTATATTCTCGATATTGTCTAATTCCTTTCTAGCTCGTTGTAGCGTCTTGGCCTCGTTCTAAATATTGTTTACCAGGCAGTGATGTCCTCAACCTCAGCTTCACCAAATGTGCTTGACTTGGTAAGCTGACCAACACTAGCTTCTTCAGGCGCAGCACCGTCCTTGGACATGATGTCTGGCAAGACCTCCTTGAAGAAGTTCAGGACATAGTTGTTGACTTGCTCGAACTGCAACAAGAACGCATCGTGACCCTCGGGGCTTTCAATGCGCTCTAGTCGGGCGTTGGGAACATGTCGCGCAATCTCCTCCTGCTCTGCGAAAGTGAAGAGACCGTCGCTTTCAATACCCAAAACAAGTGTAGGTTGTTCGATCATAGCCAATGCATCTCCGATAGTCTCTGCTCGGTTACGCGACACGTCATGTGTGTCTAGCTTACGAGTCATGGCAATGTAGCAGTTGCTATCGAATCGTCCAACGAACTTGCGGCCTTGGTACCGCAGATACGATTGGGCAGAGAAATAGTGCGATTGCGGCATCTCTCCCCCGGTGAGACTACCGTTCGTAGGGCCATGGAATTGAGGATCAGCAATATCAGCCGCTGCAGGTGTCTGAGGAGCTGAAGGGGTGCCAGTTGAGCTGCCCTGGGATATGGAAGTGCGCTTAACATGATGACCGTCGTTGTGAATGTGGAAGTGTGCCTCTGAAGGAGTTGAGGGGCGCGGTCGGCCGCCAATTGTTTGAACCTTGGACGGGTCGGGGATGTTGCGTCCGAATCGCGATTCGAAAGAGTTGCGACTTCGATATGTCAGAAGAGCAGACATACGGGCCGCGCCCAAACCAGTAGAAGGCGGATCGTCGAAAGAATAGTATCCATCATCGTACTTGGGGTCGGCATAGATGCTCTGTCGCTGGGCTTCACCCCAGCTGATGCCCCAAGCACTGTGTCTGCTGGAGGTAGCAATGGGGACGATACATCGGATGTAGTCCTTTCCAAAGTACGCCCACTCAAGCACAAACATACCACCAAGAGATCCTCCAACTACAGCAGCTAGCTGCTTCACACCCAAGTCATCAAGGATGAGTCTGTGGAGGCTATCAATAGTTAGTATAAGTGATTCTTTGCCCCCTTCTCCAAGCTTCAGTAACCATTCTAGGAACACAAAACTTACTTGACATCGTCACGAATAGTTGTGAGAGGGAACTCAGGACCATATCGGCCCTTGTCGGGGTCATTGTCCTTAGCTGTCACAGGGCTCGCAGTACCGTAGGGACTGCCTAGACTGTTCATGCAAACGATGAAGAACCTCGATGTGTCGAAAGCTCGACCAGGACCTCCAAGGAGAGGACCCCACCAGTCACTCACATCGGCGCTTCCAGTGAGCGCATGACAAATAACCATGGCATTGTTACCCTCTTCGTTGAGCTTGCCACGGGTGGTGTAAGCGACTGGGAGGTTGTAAAGAGTAACTCCAGACTCGAGAGTAAATTCTGGAACAATCGCTAGCTGCTGCTCAGGAATGAGCGCAGCGAACGGGTTCTCAGGCTGTGATTGCGTTCTTTCTTACAGGTATTCAGCCACCAGTCTTCTCAAGTGATACAAGGGGATGAACCATGGCAATGAATGAGAGACAGGGAATACGGTGAAAGGGATAGTGTGAAAGCATGGGTAAATACTGACCATATTGCTTGCGAGATTCGCCGCTGATAGCATCGTTTCCGTTCATAGTGGCAGCTGGCATGACTATGTATGAATATAGTTTGTCTTCTCACGACGTAGCCTGTGAGAGGTTATACAGAGAGATCGGACCGGGGTCGCAACCAGATAAGCTGGAGTTTGATATTTGAGCCGATTTACCCCAAATTTTGATCGAATTGGCGGAAATTTAGGTCCAATGGATAGTAGAATCCTACTCAAATGTATTTATTGCCTTGATTCGACTAGAAAAGTCTTTGGATAAAAGATCAGAGGGAAAAGACTGCTCCTAGGTATGGCGTAATTCTGGCTGGTCTCCATGGCTGCAGTGACTCAGCCAATTGCGATGCTGTCCTGAATGCAACAAGTGGCCGGCAACGGAGCCAATGACGATCACGTGCATGAGTTGAGTGAGAGCGGGAATAAGCCGTGAATAGGATACGACTATGCACAAGAAGTGTCATCAGAGAAGGAAGAAAAGGGACACAAATAACTCAAAGAAATCAGCCACTCTCTTGGAAACCCAATCGGTCAATGGTAGCCACACTAATCAGTTCTCGTATCTTGAAAGTCAGTATTGCTGTTCGTCTCACAATATTATTGGAGTTTCCAAGGTCAATGAGGCCTGATACAATCGGTACGTACCTTCTTCCACTGCATGTGGCCTGTGCGGCGACGTGCCTGCCACCTACCACGCGTTGGCAGCCTCGTTTCCCCAGTACCTAAGGGAAGGCTGCCAGCGACTGGCTACCAAGAAGTCGTGACATCTAATTCCAGCTTTGTTTGAGCTTCCTTTATTCTTTCCTCTCCAACCCCATCGCAACTGGGCTCAACCACCCGCAACACGAATCGCTGAAGTCGCTTTCTATCCCTGAAGCCACATATTACACAATTTGGACCTTTTTGGCTTCTTCCCTTTCAAATCTTTCCCTTGTCAGCTTTGTCGCGACCATCAACCTTCCCCACCCGAACTCCTTGCAGTCAAAAGTCAGTCTTTCTTATCCGCGCCGTCCGCAAATGCAACAACAAAAGTTATAGCTTCTTTTATTCCGAACCAGCAAACTCATTTTTTTTTTTTTTTTCC